AATTTATTACGGATTATAAAAAAAAAAACTCGTGTGTAACGATTGTGTACGATGTACGAGTGAAAAATAGAATAGACATTAGATATCGTGCAGAAAATAGAGATTGATTATCGCGTTCATAATTATATACGAATAACTAACAATATTTCTATAATAAACATAGATTAATAAACTTACGCGCCCAAATAACAACAGATACAGAGACTTCGATAAGATTACAACGATAATATTTATCGTACACATAACTATAAAAAGAATTTATCGAGGTTCATTGACAATTTTGCCAAGAAATTTCTGTATCAAATAACTGATAATCATTACTTCCTTATTAATATTATAAATTTGAAAGTGAATTTGTTTGTTACATCTTCTGTCACATTCTTGTCACATTACTCTATGTATAGGTCCAAGAAAGAATTCAGGCTACTTTGTATTCCGGTCATGCAGACGAAGCCGCGGGTAAAAACTAGCAATTAGTGATTTCTACTAAAAAAATATATGTAACTATTATTACGCATAGCACGAAAATATTACAAGTTTAATTTTTTTTAAGATATATATATATATAATTTCACCTTCTTGGTTCTCATATTTTTTTAATATGTGATAATGGAATATTAACCCCACCTGCACTATTGGACGCTTTTTTTTTTTTTACAACACAGGGGGCAAACGAGCATGCGGCTCACCTGATGGTAAAAAACTACCGCCGCCCAATTAGTGATTTCTACTAAAAAGGAAAAAAAATATATGTAACTATTATTACGCATGAAAAACGCACGGTGGAAAATATTACAATGATTGGGATAACTTTTTTTTAAGATATATATATATATATATATATATATATATATATATATATATATATATATATATATATATATATATATATATATTGAAAAAATATGGGGTTAATATATATATATATATATATATATATATATATATATATATATATATATATATATATATATATATATATATATATGTCCGCGAGATCTTTGCATGACCGGTATATAATGTATCTCCTGTACTGTCGTCTGCATAGCAATGAATATTACTTATCTGTAACATATCATGCTGGAGCACCAGTGATGGACGATAGATTAGAATAAAAAGGAAGATCAGTTAATCCATAGTGACGAATTACACTAGAATTAACCACGATAGTTTCCAGGGGGAACCGCGTGGAGGTCGACCTGATAGGGTCTATTGCTAGCAATGAATCAAATAAATCCCATGACTAACAATCCCTTTGCCCAAGTTCTCATGTTAGGTAACAGACTATCGTGACTAATTTATCGTTGAATTCGTCACGATGGGTTAACTGACCTGCCTTTTCATCCTTACCTATCCTCTACCCCTACCTCTCACTGTTAGCTCGTCAGTGTATACCGTAGCCCAAGCGGGGTTACTATTCCATTATCATCTAAAAAAAAAACTGAAAGAAATCCCTTTAAGGGACAATTCTTTCTTGTGTGCATTGTGATTAATACTCACAAAGCGGGAAGGAATTCTTAGTAATGCAAACTATCAGTCCCATTGCTAATAATATAGGGTCAAGTTAAGCACCACATGGTCCAGTCTGAAAAGCATCGTGCTGAATTTCAGGTGTATTCATCACGGTGTTGACTTGCCTTTTCATCCTCAAGTATCATCCCTCACTAGTATACCGTTAGCAACAGGCGGAGTTTTTATTCCATTATCATCCATTAAAAATACTCGCAAAGCTTTAAACAAACGAAAAATAACCTTAAAATACTTTTATTCCATTTTTGTTTTTTCCATTAATATTTCGTTAAAAGGCTATACTGGCAAAAATAAATAATTAACAAATATAACAAATAAAAAATATCAGATAATACCTACATAGATATATTTAACATTAGACAAAAACCCTAAGGCGAAACATCAACAGAAAAGTAAAAATAATGATCCATGTAAGTAGGTACCACGTACAGTGCCCGGTCAGAGCACTGTGATACCTATCAATAACATATAGCCTTTATTAATAATACCTATATTACGACAAACAATAGAAGTTGCTATCCGAAGATGATTATGTAGGGGTGAGACACTACGTGACCGGAATGTACGCGTGATGGATGCCTGTAAAAGCCGGCGAATATCCGCGTCCGTCGTCCGTACTCATATCCGCATCCAATATCCGAAGATATTTTTGCAATTTATTGGTCTGCGTTTGCAAAATAAATGTGATCTCTGAACGATCTTTACATCGAAAAGTATGAGCTTGTTAATTTTTTTTTTAATTATTACTTAGATCTATTGTATTATAAAATGGATATATCGCATCATAATTATATCTTAAAATGATAAATACCTACAGGAATTTCTAATCCTAGATTCTAAAATAAATCTCATGAGATTATCAAATTATACTCAAAGTATATTTTCTTAACTGCCAATATGTCCATTATCTACGTGGACCTTTAATAAGCTTAGGCTTCATGATGATAGGAATAAACTAAAAATAGCAGCCACAAACCATCTAGGTATAAAAAAAGTCTTAAGAGATTAAACAACATGGTTTTTGTTACTTTATTGTGTTCATTTGTTTATACCTACAAATAATTAAAATAATTTGAAATGTCGTTTAGTTGTTGTATATTGAAGTTATTAATCAATTAGTATAAAACAGTGATGTCAAGGGTTCACATATCACCTTAATCATAATGGCTTGATTTTCCTTTAGCTGTTATGATAATTAAAGTTGTCAACATTTTTTTTACATTTATTACATACCCATTTAATTAAGTAATCTCTCACTATTATATACTTGTATATAATATATATTTATATTTGTGCTATTAAGAATGTGTATGTTTATGTATATATTTATTTATATGTATGTATATGAATGATGAATGTGGAAGAAGCGAAAGAGGTTTGTTTGAATCGAAGCATTTATATATATATAATAGTATGCCTCTGTCTTTTTTCTCAATGGCCTCTATTCAAAGGTTATCTGGAAGAGATTGCTAAGCGATAAGGTTACCTTTTGTATTTCTTTTCATTAAAATTACTTAATTGTATTTATTATTTTATAAATCATGCAATAAAGAGTAATATTAAATAAATAAATATTTAAATAAGTAGTTGGTTTAAGTTTTATAATGGGTGTAAAAGAAATGGAAACCCTACTTGCGCTATCGGTATGCAAGACACCTGTGAGAGATGATATGCGAAGATGAAAGCAAACCAGTTGGTTCATTGTCATGAGTACAACAAGAATTAACCATTATGGTTAGGTACCAGGGAGAACCATGTGGAGCTTGAACTAATAGGATTAATAAAGGCATGCTTCAGATAGTATATTTTATATATGTAAATACTCAAGTATTTCTAAGCCCTAAATAAAACTGTTAGACTAATAGAAAGAAATAACATAGGATTATAAAAAAATCTATTTAAGTTTTAAGAAGTGTTAATGTAATAAGTAAAAGTATTTTTATTATATATTATTAAAGGAAAAAACTTATTACACATGATTAGATATGGTAACTATATATGACTAATGTTTCCTATATTAGTCACACATATAATCCTCACTAATAATATTAAATAAGTGTATTAATGTTATTGTTTGTTACCTCTTTGTATTTTAATACCTAAACCTATAGTAATAAATTATAATTAATTAATTTGCTTAACTTTATTAGTAATATGTAAATTTTTTTTCATAACATTATTTCACTGCATCATATGGAGTGTAAATATTGGTCATTGATTTATTAGGATATATCATTAATTATCAATAACTAATTATTTCTAATGGCTATACCTATATGAATTTGTATACAAAAGTATCCTATATGTTAAATGCAAATATGTTCAGCTGTTTAGGCGTGTTTGAGTAAAAAACATCTATACAAAATGTTACATCTATTATATATATTAGTAAAATTTTATCTTTTACATAATTGCAATACTATACATAAATCAAAGCTTACTTCATAGTTGGCTAGGAAAGGATGTTATTCAGTATCAAGTAATAGGAATAAGAAATATACATGTATTATTTAAGACAGAGAAAAACAGGCTATTTTTTGTTCTTATCAATTAATATATTCTCTTTAAGCCAACAAAATTAGTAAGTAAAAGCTAATACAAATAATATAATATTAAACTTTATATAGTTTGATATATATTTACTTATTTTAAATATGAATTAAAATTTAAGAACCACATGCTATAACCTTTCTACACCTTTAAGAAAATAGTTAAATAGATTTAACTGCTGATTAAATTTAAAATTAGGCATCAGACTCTGCTATACAAGGTTTGTTTCTTATGCCTATCATTTATAAAAAAAAAGAATGACAAAAAGAAAAAATAGCTAATGTGAATAGAGTCAAGATACATCAATATGCACAATAGCTTGTTATAATAATATAATTATCAAATATTAATAAATATTGAAAATCCTAATGAAAATGTGGTGTAGGTAAGTCATCTCAGTCTGAAAATTTGATCTAATGTAGCTCTCTACTCAAATGAAGATTACAATATCAATTTCCAAATATAATGCAATTTATAGATTTATTTAATAACATAAAATTTATCAAAGTAAGAAATTGACATTAAATATATTAAAAAATGTGCATTATGGTTAACATTTAGTATTGTTATAAAATAGTCACATAACTATTAGTTGATATATCTTTGAATGTAAAAACTATGCATATGTGTTATCAAAATATACTATTGGCATTTACAACTCATATTTACAGTGACTTATATACATGAGATGTATAAGATCTTTATACAACTCATTGGAGATAAAACCGTGAGTATATAAATATTAATTTAGTACTCTACATAATTATTAATTGATGTAGTTTTACTTATAAAAAAATTGCTTAGCCCCAATAAAAATTAAAGTGCAATGAATTTTTACATCAGTAATTTGAAATTATAAACCTTTTTAACTAAAGACTTGACTAAAATAATATTTTCTATGATTCTTTGTAAGTACTTACACAACCATCCCATAGGCCCCTTCGCCTATATACTGCAGGTTTGTGTACCGAGGCCCAACTTCGAACACTTGGCCTCGGACGATCTCAGCGTTGGGGTTGGTGCTAGTAGCACCTGCAGCCTCAGCCATCGCGACGCTCAGAACTAGCTTAGCACTGAATGATGAGAATGAACTGTTTACTGTCACAGAATCTCTGAATCCGACATGAAATATCACAGGCTACGATATACGACCGTGCCCGCACTCGACAAATCACAAGTAATATTAATAATTAATCAAAACAAACTACTTTAGTCCGACCTACATTATCCACTATGAACAAATCGTCCACTTGTCACTCGCTTATCATCCTTATTCGCAAGCCCGCCCGACAACAGTTGGACACTCCCGTACAGACGCAATACCGTTACAAAAATGAACAGGTTATATATTCCTATCCTTTTCTCATCTACTGACAGCAGTACGTTCGAAAACACAAATACTTGACAATTTTATTCTTATACACATTGGACGAATGAATGAAAGGGATCACCGAGGGATAGCACTGACGGAAATAGATGTTTAATACAAACCAAATAGTATACTGTCGTTTTTAAAATAAAGACGCTGTTATTCTATTTCGATTAGAAACAACAAGTTTTTTATGCATGAATTATTTTGTCCAACCATTCAAAACATAGATTAAGTGTAGTATATTAGTTAATTACTTTATCTGTGTATCAATCCCTTGTCATTCATGAATACGACAGTCATTTTTATCAGTTCATTCAAATATTAATTCTTTCTAGTTCTAGTGTATACCTACCTGTTTCATTCATTGTTCATTCAAATTCTCTTTTCTCTATTATTAGGTATCTATTCTATTCAATTCATTAATTAATATTCAATGCTTGTTTTTGTTTTTTGGCGTTTGCGTGGATAAAAACAATGGTTTAAAATAAATTTCATTCGATCAATTCGAGAAACAATCATAAATTATTACTCTCTATTCGAAAATACATTTATCTTTATCGTTCTTTCATATTCTTTATTAACATGGAAAATTAGTGAAAAAATTGACAGCTTATTGACCTCGCTGTCGAAGTCGAGACGAAGGACTATCGTGCAAATTATCTAGGTATGTCGGTTTGGTCAGCCAGTACGGTTGGAAATAATTGCAACTGCATACACACAAGCGGTCGTTACAATCAACCTAATAATTGGTGTCCAAAACTGAGCAAGGTAATCTTTACTTGCACTTAATTTTTTAGTCCAACAGTTTGTACAATTATTGGGTGTATTTATTACATTTTGTATTCACACAGCTTGATATTATTTCAATAATTGCATAGGTCTAATTAACACAAAACATCCAATTTAATGATTGCTGTTCATGTCAATATTACTTTTAATAAATGTATAAACAAACTAAAACTTTTTATCGAAATCATAAATCTTAAAATGCACATTTTGTTGATTATGCATAGGTATAAAAATATTAAATTGAAATAATTCACCATCACCTCTGGCTACTATTAGCCTAGTCGGTGTATATAAGCTAGTATGCTACTATAAATTAGTTTGGGAGACCAATTTTTCCTCTATTTTTACATGACCTTCTTTTTACCCATACTCATGATCTGCTGATTGACAAAATTATTATTTTTTATAAAAGAATGCTCAAGTGCATGGCTAAGCAGTTTTAATATTTTTCAATACCTATTTATCATTGCATGTGGTAGTTATAAATATGGTTTCCCAAGTAGTATCTTTTATTTGTGAGTGCTATTCTATTAATTTAAATGTTTCATATGCAGAAAGTGTTACTTTATACAGTGACTTCATTACTTTTTAAAAATTGTGCTATAATCTTTATTATATTTTTTTTTAAATAGTGTTTTATTCTATTTTTCTGGCAAAACCCTTTGTGGAGAAGGCTAATATCCAGCAGTGGACTGTTAATGGCTGAAATAATAATACTAAAACAAATATCTTTCAAAGTAATGGAAGTTGTTTATTAAAGATTTAATGAAATAATATTGTTTCCTGATTAATGTTAGATATAATTATTATTATTTTTTCTAATTATTTTGTTCTATTTATTAGCAATATTGATGACAGATCTTACGAAATCATCGAATTTGACTTTGTAATACAGCTGCAGGAGACTCATCTATTATAGCAAACAGTGAGTTATAGCTAAGATTGGTTGCAGGGCGTTGGGTTCCATCATGCTGGTTCGGTTCATCCGTTTAACATTCGGAAACTATTCATAATTTAAAAAAAACTTTTAAATCCAGTGTTTGTAACAAATATGAAAATAAAAAAATATATATTGGTGTAACAATGAGTAATTTCAGTATATTCATATTTTTGTCGCAGCTTTATCATAAATGCTTGTGCTTGTTGTAATAAAGCTATCTGTGGATTTTGGTGAGAATTATGATAATTTAACATAATATAATAAATACTGATATTATTATTGTTATAATATGAAATTTAATCTTTAAGTTCCACACAATCAAGCCTAATCCTCCTGGTCCTGGAATCAGACAATGAAAATCTGAAAAAACAACCCAGAATACTCAAACCATGACCAATTCTAAAAAATTTGTTTCCTAAATTAATTTAACTAGAAATCGAACCTGGGACCTCATTTTTGCATAACAAATCATCATCATTGCACCACAGCTAGTAACTTTTAAATCTACTAATAATGCCTACTAATGTTTCCTTTAATTAAGTAACATAAAATACTATTTTCACTGCTTAATATGTATATCGTATCTATTTTTTAGTCAATGTATTTTATGTAATTTAATTTAGGACATTAAAAATTAGGATAAACAAATTTCATTCCATCAAGCTTTTCATGCTATTTATATATACTGGAATCTTTTGGTAATGCAATATAATAGCTGCTTTTATTTGCATTCACTACATAAATTGTAGCATCATTTTAAATTAATCTTTCTTTTAATGTATGAATATACAGCTTTCCAATGTAACTGTTAGGAATTATGTATACTAAAATACATTCTTTTTGTGTAATGTCTTGCCTAGTCTGATAATGTAAAGGGTCACTGTCACTACTAACACTAACTTATCAATGAATATATACTTACCCACCATATCCATTCTCCCCCATGGCTATTATGTTAAAAATGTAGAATGACTACTCAAATTAATGAAGTCATTTGCCCGTCTGCCTATACTATTTTCATTTTATTAATATGTTATTATAAAACCTCGTACATTGGTAAATTTTAGAATTTACCGACATGTGCTTTTAAATTAAGTTTTATTAAAAAAAAAAAGTTAATTTTTCGAGCATTCTTCAAACCAATCCTAACCTACCTTTCTGATCACGAGTACGACCACCACACACAGACAACATAATTGTATAACATATTAGAATCGAGTTTTTTTTATCGAAAATTGAAAAAAAGATTTCCCATACACTAACGCAATGTTGTTTGAGCATATGTTAAATTGAACATTTTTTTAGTGAAAATGTTCAATTTAACTGGTGGAACATTCTCTTCAAAGGGCGCTAACGGTTTCGATTTCTCTCTGCATGAATGTAATTAATAACATTTCATTCATATATTTTATCATTTTCGCTATTACTATATATTGTTTATATTGTACTATGTATATATACTATCGGTTAACACTACTGATTAGTACACCTTATCAATATTAATCACTATAATTTATATCAATTATACTTTCAGATTATTTTCCAAATATATTTCGTTACGAATACAACTCAGTCATAAACTAGTTAATGTCTTTTTTAATCTGTATCGTAGGTATAATTTAACATTTTATTTTTTTTATTAGTACTATGAGATCGCTATATTTCCAGCACAAGTGTGTGATGTCGGGCGAAACTCCTATCCAGTCTGCTGAGGGGCTGCACACGCCGGCCTACCTCTCGTGGCGCAAGTTGCAACTCAGCCGCGCCAAGTTGAAGGCCTCCAGCAAGACGTCGGCCTTACTTTCCGGATTTGCAATGGTAATCATTATATTTAAGTACTGATTTTACCCAGGGCGTTGTTCACTACTAATCCCAAATATTACGTGTATAATGATTTTGATCATGCCGAATTGAGCCGTTGAAGACAAGTCACTTTCATATTTTATATAGTAAGGGGTTATTAATACGTTCCCTAATAAGCATGTTTTGCTACGCAATAAAAGCGATTTCAATTGTAAAGACATCGAAAAACTACGAGATGTTTCGTGACAATGAAGGATAAATGAATGCATTGTAAATATCGCGTGTTTACATAAAAGCAGTTCTTGACATCAAGGTCGAATAGAAAAACTGCACCTTTAATCCTCATAAAAATAACATGAAGCCAATCCACAGTTACAAAAATAAAATGGTTCAGAATGGGCGACCGTATTCGTGTACTACAATACAGTACAGTCAAAAAATCAGAAAAATTGAGTATACCCTAGTAAATTACTTTAAAGATTCAAAAGTATTTGCCCAATCCTTTCCAAATTGCCTTAATTTTTTTTTTTGAGATTTTTTATTGTAAGTCGAAAAAAATACAAGGCATAAAAGTAAACTAGAATTTTAGTTCTTAAATGTGCAAAAAAAAATGTGTAGTGCATCACGTCTTTCTTGATAGACCACACTCTGAGTATAATAATATACATCACAGTGTAAAAAACTACTTTATATCAATATTTTTATTTATTTATTTTTTTACGCACATTAAAATGTGTATACTGAGCGGATTTAATGCCTCATGCGATTCTCTACCAATCAACCGTTACACTAAACAGAGAGTCAAACACTATGTCTGTTGTCTACAGGTAGCTATGGTTGAAGTGCAGCTGAATCCACCAAACGCGACCGCGGTGCCCACAGAAATGCTAGTCGCATTTACGGTCTGCACCACACTACTAGTCGCTGTTCATATGCTCGCTCTGATGATAAGCACGTGCATTCTGCCCAACATCGAAGCAGTCGGTAACCTCCACAGCATATCTCTTGTCCACGAATCTCCTCACGAACGTTTGCATTGGTACATCGAAATCGCGTGGGCGTTCTCCACGCTTCTGGGCCTTATACTCTTTCTCATAGAGATAGCAATACTTTGTTGGGTGAAATTTTACGATCTCAGCGCCACTGCCGCGTGGTCAGCATGTGTCGTATTAATACCAGTTATGATCGTGTTCTTAGCATTCGCTATACACTTTTATATGTCGTTGGCGACTCATAAGTATGAAGTGACAGTAACGGGGATAAAGGAGTTGGAATTGTTAAAGGAACAAATTGAAATGGGTGATCAGGACACTAGGATGAATAATCTAACGTTGCTAGACCAGAGTCGTATTGTTTGATTAATATGTTTTAATGTTTTTATTACGGAATGTTATTGTAGTTTATTTTAACATAGTGTCGTATCTGTGGCACAAGTGAGGACAAAAGTTACCATTGGGCCTTTTTGAAATTAAAAAAAGAAGTAAATGATTGTGTCTATTTGTATATTATATTTTCACAGCCGAAACATTATAGACAGGTTTAAATGAAATTTGATGAAACAATAGTTCGATAGCTATAATTCCGCCATATTGAATTTGTCGTGACGTCATATCTATTATATAATCTTAGGACATATACAGATAAATTATAGTGTTATCATAAGTCCAATAGAAATCTTATTAGATATGGATTAGGTACATATATTGAATGACCTTAGTAAACAAAACAAATATTAGTTAATACACTTTACATACAAACTGTTTATTGTAAGTTAATATCTACATACAATTTGGAATCCAGTAAAGATTTAAGTCACTTATGGACCTATTGTATAATTGAAACGGTCCCTATTAATATTGTAGGCTTGTGAGACGAAAATGTAATATGTGCCTTGTTTTTGGAAGTGATTTTTTTACACAATTCATTATATAGCTAACAGATACATATGTGTTCAAATTCAATTTTCTAGTTTCCTTTGCTATAGTAATATATGATTTTTTAAATTTCAATAAAATAATAGCATTTCCAATAGAGGGAAGAGGTCTCTGTAACAATCTGCGTTTTCAAAGACTGTAATGTTATAATGTTGTACGTTGTCGACGTAGCGAAGAAATATATGCTCAAATGTACATAGTAATTTTTATTATCTGCTCATAATGATTTCGACTTTATTTAAAAAAAAAAAAACGTATAATAAATGCGGTTATACGTTTTTTTTATTTAACTATTCACGTTGTTTAACGTGGAGCAAAATTATAAATTTTATTAATGACTTAAAGTCACGAAACATTTACAACACTAAATTATAGTAAACTAGCGACCCACCCCAGCTTCGCACGGGTGCAATGCTAATACTAAATATACCTACTTACTACAGAATGTCCTTAAAACCAATGTTAACCGCTTTTTTGTCATTAGACAATACAAACATGATAGGGCGAAGCACGGCCTTCGACGCGCTATTTATAGGATAATATCTTCGGAAATATTTATTTAAATTACATGCTGTAAAGGGTCATATTGATCTAAATTAAATGGATGTATTTAAGGTACTTAATTGGATAAAAATTAATGCTGTATTGCTTAAAATCACTTCGTAAATAAGCCATTCTTTCCCGTAAAATATAGAGGATAAAAAATGATTATTGTGGGTTATCATTAAGAGATAGACATATATCATCGCGCACTTTTTGTTGTCCTTTTTACAATATAGATGTACAATACTGTAGTATATTGTTTTGTTTTATCTCGTGGGGTTCAGCCAGCGTTTGCAATGTAAGCGCAAAAAATGTGTTTATTTACGACATCACATTAGAAATCTCTAAATTTATCAGTGTTTCTCTATAATATTATTATTATTATTATTATATTATGCATGTATTATACATATAAACCTTCCTCTTGAATCACTCTATTTATAAAAAAAAACGCTTCAAAATCCATTACGTAGTTTTAAAGATTTAAGCATACATAGGGACGGACAGACAGAGACAGCGACTTTGTTTTATACTAGGTAGTGATAGTGAAGTGTAGATACCGCCTTCAGGTGACCAATTACGAGGTTTTTCTTTTTTTTTTCCTTATTGAAAACAAAAGTGTCAGTTTGTGGCAATTTTTTTACTTACAAATAAGCTTGATATAATAGAAATAGTAATACTAATTCTATTGATTTAGCTATGAGCTACAATTCAACAACACATATGCAGTTAATTGGAATTAGACATATTTACAAGTATATCTAATTTGCGGATTGAGAATCATAACTCCCACTCGGAGAATCAATTGAGAATCTTTAAATTCTGCAAAACCCAGTTTAGAAATGGTATAGATTATAATTGATCTATGAATGTCATGAATACAATCAATTTTTGACTAGTTATTACTGCCATAGGTGCGATACTACAATTTTCCCTATACCTATAATAATATATTTTTATGCATATGTACTTATCCGATAAAACTGTACTTATCAAGTTATCTTTGTAAGTGCCAATTAATGGACGTTGCCCATTTCGTACAGTGCTCTGTTTACGTTGAAAGTTCTTAGAGATAAGACAAAATGGATGTTCGACTTAGTTTTGATTTCTCAGAGTTTTCATTTGGCGACATACTAGCGTCTAGACGCAGTCTCTTAATATGAAACTAATAATTGCACTCGGACCATATTTTTAAATTATATAGAACTGTCAAAACTAAATTTGACATCAATTATCAACCTGTTTTTTATTAAGAGTATACTTGAGTAGGCATTAGATTGTAAGATTTAATTACTTGACAATATTTTATGCTGAATGGATTCCCAGTTATAAACCCACGAAAGAAATACTGCCTAACATCAGTTGGCAATTTTTTTAAACCATTTTAAAACAAAAGTGATTCTCGTTAAAGTACGTGATATAGTCACACCGGTAGATCGCGTCCTTCTACTGGGACCACACTTACACTCCGATAGAGATGCGGGTTCATATCGGATCTAATTCTTAGGAGAATAAATTCGACGTAATATTTAAGATTTATTGTAGACAATTATATTCCTGTACATGGCATGACAAATGAATCTCTGATCAGTTCCATAGATAAAGTACATATCGTTTCTGCACTTTGTCTAAGGGACAGACTCATCAAAACAAGTGATAAACGAATCAATTTTCTAGATACGTTTCCACTATTACATATAATGGAGTAAAAGTTCTGTCTTTTTCTAAACATATGAATGCGGTAGCTTAAACGTAGATTCTACAAATCGTTTGCAACTTGTTAAGAGAGTCAGTTATACTTGTATTGAAATAGACATAGATAACTTTCTAATAGTAATACATTTTATACACTTAATATTTAATCTATATTACTGAAGTTAAAAATAATAATTGGTGACACTAGACAAAATTACGTAGACGTTTACAATTTTTTTTTTTTTTAATAGATTATTCCAAAGATATTGAAGTGAGGTATTTAACTTAGTTTCATCTTAATATTGAAAATATATCTTTTTATTTATCCAAATGGTATGAAAATTTATCTGGCGCAATAAACTTTCTCATGTATTTATGGAGAACAAGAGGACTTTGTTTAGGTGCTATTTATGTGTTATTTGCACCATTGCTATCTCATATAAGTTATATCACAATATATGAAACTGCTCCCAATGTCCAAAATCACTAATTATCAGGGCTGACAATAGAACCAATTTATAGAATTATATCGCGGGGTTCCTAAAGTAATGAAAAATTTCCGAGTCCGCTCAAGATTAATGGTCCCAGATTGTCTAGAAACTAGTCGAGCTTTCTCGATTAAATAACACATTATTAAAATATGTTTACTTACAAAACTTAACAATAAAATTTGTTGTGAAGTTGTTTTTCGGCATACAATTTGACATCAATCAACTTAATGGGTATTCAAAGTTATTTTTTTTTTTTACATTAAATTACATAAAATTATTAAATAGCAAAATTTAAATACCATGCACTGGACACGATGCGTTGCACTTCGATTTGTAAAATGTGTTGTATTTTCATATAAAATATATAATTGTACATCAGAATTGTGATCCTCAAAATATTTTCAAATCATACAAAGACACAAAATCCTTAATTGTACAGTTGTTAATTCTAATTAGTCCTGATAATTAGTGAATTTAAAGATTGTAAAATCTCTTGATCAATTGCACAATTACTTTGATGTATATTAGAGCGAGCAATAATAAGATATTGACTGTATATGTTACTTAATAAGTACTCTGTGATATAATAATGACATGTATATTTAATATAAAGTTTAGTATAAGATTTTATTATAATACAAAAATTTTATAACACCAATTTTTGTATGTTATATGTATTATACCCTGTATTTACACATAATGATCTGTTATTCATTGTACATTTAATACATTTGGTCAATACAATATTGCAGTTGTTTGTCTATGTCGCCTATCTTCTGTGTGAGCCACAATTCACTTTCGTCTAGAATTTCCCTTGAATCGTGTAACTCGTGCTGAAATATCAGTTGCAACATAATTATTAATAAGCAAATACTAACTAACATCAGTTGGCAATTTTTTCAAACTACTTTAAAACAAAAGTGATTCGCGTTAAAGTACGTATAAGATATAAAGTAGTTACACCGGTAGATCGCGTCCTTCTACTGGGACCACACTCACACTCCGATAGAGATGCGGGTTAAAGTACGTGAAATAAATATATATATATATATATATATATATATATATTTCACGGCTATGGCTAATATGTTGATGATGATGATGACGATGAAATATATCGGCATCGAGTAACTGGGCATTACAGTTAATTTCGTGATTTCTATCAGCTGTCAATTCTATAGGTGACGGTTGCTTATTTCCATCAAAAAGCCTGTCAACTTATTTTCAATTCCCAATTGTATAAAAAAATATAACGAAATATTTTGATGTCTTTCCTTCCTTCCTTATTTGATATCTAAATTTCTTATTTACAAAAATGAATAAGTAACTCACTACGGTGGAATTTATTTTACCATTTTTTTTTTAAAAGAAGATAAGTAACTGAAAAATTAGTTAAGAATTATTATAATTATAATAATATTAAAATCATTTATTAAGCTAAAAATAAAGTAATACTTTAAAAAAATATATACTAATACTACTTTATTCTAAGAACATTTAATATTATCTATACATTAATATCGTAATGTTCTGTGTGTAGCAGCTGAAATGGTCCCCATTGAAATTATTTAATATTATTTCTTAAGGCTTACTTAAAAATATTTTTAAAAATACTAGCTTGTAATATCTACTCTAATTAATATCAAATTGTTCAAATATAAGAAATGAGAATGTCTCGTATATTTACCGGTGGTATAGGATATTCTGTTGGTAAATCACAGTATTGCCTTATTAAGATGTCCGACATTTTGGATCTCACGCACACATCATTCACCCAACAGCCCTCCTGCAGCTGACCTGTGTGCATGTGGTAAAAACGGCCGAGTCCACACTTGACATTTTTCTCCCAGTGACCCTCGTAACGATTATTGTTAACTGTCAAATGCAACTTTTTTATTAAAAGTAATTCATACACATTTTTTTTTATACAACTTAGATTGGCAAACAAGCTGACAGCCCATCTGATGGTAAGTGGTAACCGTCGCCTATAGACATGAGCAGTACCATGGACATAACAGATTTCGCCTTTACCCTCCATGCGTTGCCATTCCTGAGGACTCAGGTGTTATTCCTCTGTACCCAGTAAATTCACGCCATATCCCACCCTTCAAACCGAAACACACCATGCAAACACAACTGCATTCAATATACGAGCAAATCCTTACTAATATTTTAAATATGACAGTGAGTTTGTTCGCTTGTCTTTATAGTACCTTAACTATTTAACCAATCCCTATGTTTTTTTATCAATAACAATGGATTGGTATTCCTGCCTGCGCTAACGGTAGGTATACATTGCCAGGGCACCAATGAGGGATAATAGGTGTGGATGAAATAGGTCAGTTAGCCCATCGTGACAGATACAACAATAAATCAGTTCCAGGGGTAACCGCGTGGAGATCGATCCGATAGGATGTGTTGTTAGCAAAGGCGCTGTTCGGTCCCATTACTAAGAATTCCTTTCCCCCCACCACTCCGCATTTCCCCCTAGATAGCACAGTAGTATCACACTGCGAGGAAGTCAACTTGATAGGGTTTATTGCTAGCAATGGGGTTATTAATCCCCATTAAATATGGTATATACATTATAGAGGTTGAAGAAGAATATAAGCTATTTTTTATTCTGGTCAGTAACCGTAACTCGATCACGCGGATGAAATCGAGAGGAAAAACTTTAATTTTGGTGGAACATCTAGACATAATAGTTTCTGAATACGACCGAAAATAGAACGTTCCACTCTCAATGATTGGCCACACTACGCCAGTCCACTAAGCGCTTTTTCGTACTACGTTATTAGGATCCGAGGTTATAGGACGAAGGGAGCATTATTAATTATGCATATAATAAAGTTAACCGCTCGGTTACCTTGCACCAACATGCCTAGTCCTTCTCTTTGACTTGTCTTCCAGTATCCAACATAGTAAGTGCCATCAGCGTACCACATTTTACCGTACCCATGGCACTCCCCCTTCTTCCAGTACCCAAAATAAACGTCTCCATTGTCATAATATCTCCAACCGATGCCTTCTGGCTTGCCTCGAACCCACTCACCACGGTATTCGAGGCTTAACGTGCCATTCGACAGAGTATTGCTGAGAGTCCCAAACCCGTGTCTACCAGGAAAATGGTTTATAAATTAAAGCCTATAGGCACTGGGATAATTTATATATTTAATTCCAATAGATATACTATATACTAAATAGGACATTTTATAAGGAGTTCTGTTCGATACCCAAATTGACGGTTTTATTTATGGGTGAAAATGGTATGGTAACCCCGCCTGCGCTAACGGGATACGCTGGCGGGACACCAGTGAAGGGTTATCGATGAAAATGAAAACAAGCCAATTAGCCCATCATGATGAATTCATCTGGAATTAATCATGATAGTTTCCAGTGGGAACCGCGTTGAGGTCGACCTGGTTGGGTATATTGCTAGCAATGGGATTCTTAGTCTCTATTACTAACAATCCCTCCCCCCTTCCCTGACTGTTTATTGATTCTTTATTACTCACATTACAAAAAAAAAAAAATACCTAGTAGTTTACCTACTGGATCAAACGATCTACAGTTTATAGGCTAAACTGGTTTAATGCAATTGGTCTCACAAATGTATCATATCCTTGGTTAAAACAGTATATTACTATTTACATTTTACATATATTATATATCACACAGGCAGTCAAGGTTTCACAACTGGTGATAATGTGCATTGTGCTTATACGTACCTATTCACTTATCTATTGAACGTTCCGTCAATGAGAAGTCGACACAAATGTTGATTCACTTTGCTTTGCTTAAAGATTCACAAGTTCGAATTTGTACGACACCTCTATTATGTAATAGTAATAATGGATATTTCCCGCTCTTTCCCGTGGATGTCGTAAAAGACGACTAAGGGAACTTAATGGTCAAAGATTGCAGCAGGGTTTTTCTTAAAACATCACCAAAAGCCTAACTGCGGTTGTCAACCCACCTGAGGCTGGCAACTACTGGCAAAACTCGCATTTGGGGGGGCCTATATTCAGGAGTGGGGGAAAGGGATTGTGAGCAATGGAGTTTGACAGCCCCATTGCTAGCAATATGCCTTATTAGTTCGAACTCCACGTGGTTCGCCCTGGAAACCATCGTAAACAATTCTTGTCGAATTCGTCACGATGGGCTAACTGACCTGCTTCATCCTCACCTATCATCCTTCACTGGTGCCCCGCCGATGTATACCGATAGCGCGGGTGGGGTTACCATTCTATTATCATCCATTAAAAAAAAATATTCAGGAGTGAACAATTAACTGTTAATATCATGATGATGATATGATGAATAATGGGTAAACAAGTGAAATTAAAACGTGTATTATGGTAAACGGAAACATTTTCCACTTGAATTTAAAATGGCAATCTTCACATTTATGAGATGCAACATTAGTACTTAACAGCCGAAATCGAACTAATCGCAGTGAAGGGGTAAGTATTTGTATCTACTTGCTTCCAACTGCTGGGATACGGGCATTTTATTAGGAAAATTTTAGTAATATAAATTTTCTTATATATTTTATATAGATAGAGCAACGAATCTCAAAAACGGGTCTTTTTTGTCAGGTAATTGTCAAATTAGCCGACTTGTTTCTTTTATCAGTTCAGTGTTCTATATAATTACGCACACAATGTTTCTCGATATATTATTTAATAAATAAAATGCCATACGCATTAAAAATGCAGAAATTATAAGGTAAAATAAATATAGAAGTTATAGAGAAATCTCTATTATCTCTAATAAATAACCTAAACTATTTACCATGCAACATTGTATAAAAAAAGTTGACCGTTTTCTCGAAGCATTTCTATGGAGACTGTATCTATATAATCTAAGATTATTTTACTATTTTTTCTTACCTGAAGCCTTTATACCAGTCTCCTTCGTACAATTTACCATTAACGGTTAGGAACAAACCTTTACCTGAGAATATATAGGTAATTAAATAATTATTAATTCTCATGCCAACTCTCCCTCTCTAAACAAGTATCTTACCTTGTCTCAAATCATTTTTCCAGTCACCGATGTATTTATCAAACCTTGATGTAAAGATAGCGTGATGGACACCATTTTTAATTGCCTTTTTTTCCGCAGCCTTCAAAAGAGGTGTAAAATTTCGAGGTTTTCGATAAAATGGCATAATTGTGTATGTTATGTAGACAGTAACGAAATAAAATACAATTTCAAATTATTAACAGTTCTTAATCTTAGATTCTTAGACAAATAAAATAATGACATTTTACATGACTAAAAGATTTTTTATTTTAATTTTTTATGCCAATAAATTTTATATTTTCTTGCCATTGTGAAAAAATAATGTAAATCATTATTTTTATAACTATCATAGGAAACTTAAAAATATAAACCAGAAATAAAACATACCCAGGAAAACGCATGTAATAAGTAATCTACGTACCAAAGAGATAAAATTGCAAAAAAAAATCTTCCATATTTTGTTGCTTCAATATGAAACCCTATTTTCCAGATTAGAAATGTGAAATTCTAACCAGAATGTACAATTTAATGTAATGAGATATACTTTTAAAGGTGACAAAACTACAAATGACAACAAGAGTTCAACTAGATTTATTCTTTAATCTATTTAACTATAGTAAAAATCAATAATATTATTTTTTAACTTATTCACTAAAAAATCATCTTCACTCATCACGTCTGATCAGATGAGAGAATTTTTCGAAGACAAATTTTCACTTTGTGTTTGGCGGGACTTGTGTGCGTTATACCTATATAAAGAATCTACACCGCCACAAACGAGGAATATTTTCTCTAAAGGAGTCATGATTTGAGTGACAACAATGTACGCCAAAAAGTTTCTCTTATCTGAGCAGATCCATATTCAAATATTTATGCAATATTAATTGGAGACTTTTCCGTGGGCCTTTTGTAAACCTCTGCTCAAATCGATCAAGTGTTGATAGTATTCCCTGAAGCCTTGTAGAGCTAGCTCATGCTGACTCTTCATAGCAGAATTGCTCACAATGTATTTCTCTATACATTCTACACATTTATTGTCTAATTGAATATCCTCTTCTGTGAGGCGGTCCGGTTTTGTTAATTGCACTGGTGTTGGTAAGATCTGGAATGAAAATTATAGATATTTTAGTAATTTTTATCGTTACTTTGTATGTGTAGATTTCAGAAATAGAAAAACAAAAGAAATATACTATTTCTAGATGGCGTATCAAGATAAAACATACACCAGATTTTAAGTTAGACTTTCAGAAACACAACTGTGAAACTTGCATCCCATTTGGAGTAGTAGTTTGTGTGTGATGTCGAAACAAACATAAGGACAGACAGAACTTTTTTAATTATTGTTTCAGTATCTATTGGTCTTATACCTCTCATATTAATATTTCTTAAATTGTTGCCATATGCAGACATCATTTAGTGCAATTTTATTATATGTAGACAAGATTTAAATATTTAAATAATTTATATGACTATAAACAGCTAAAATACTGTCGTATTGATAGAAATAAATATCTGATGAAGTATGTTAATCAGTGCACATAAATTATTACCAATATGTATCAACCAGAGGGGAAAATATAAATATACAACAGTAATGTGTTTAGGCATCTCTGTCCCCGTTTGTTTTGTTCGCTAAAATAATTTAATAAAACGCATATAAAACATAATAAAGTTTTTTTTTTTATATCACGAAAGTGGCAAAGAAGCGTACATGCCGTCTGATGGTAAACTGCCATGTTGAGCTTAATAGTGCCAATTTATTTTTATACCTGATATTTCGCTCGTAAATATTGCTGGCTTTTTCAAATAAATGAGAATTGTTTTTCACAAGAAATGCAACCTTTAATCCCTTATCTTCTAATTATGTAGATATTTTAAGAACTTACTTGTTGAACAATCGTTTGAGCCACATCGCCATTAGTAACATCAGCTTGTAGCTCATGTCGTAACGCCACCAGTAGTACAGCTTCTCTGACTGTGCCAGATTGCAGTAACTCCAACATGAGATTGTCAATATTGTGATGCCACGTGAGGTAGAAGGTCATAGGTCCAAAATGTCTAGTCGACCTAAAAAATTAAGATTGAAATATATTTTTTTTTAATTTCAATGGAAGAAATAGAATATTTAAACAATGAGGGTGCTACTTCGAATATGTTTTACCATTATTTATATATTATTATTTTAATAATATTTCAAAGTTTAAAGTAATATTTTAAAAATCAATTTTTATAATAAAAAGTAAACATGTTATAAAATCCACATGTACAAAGTTGTGTGTAAAACCTAGTTATAAAGATTGTTATATTAAAATAGATAGAGATATTAAAGTTACCGTAATAAGTTGTAATTAGTATTTATATCGACATGTTGGTATGTAATACTGGTTACTTTTTGGTATGTAAACTCATCTGGCTCATATTGTATGCAGGCTCTATCTAGTATAAACTCATACTCTTGTCTTTCAAGTAGACTGTTGAATTTTTCTGTATCAGTAAACATCAGCGGCTCTTTTATTTTACGTCCGTGAATTGGAAAGTATACCTGAAAATATTAATTACTTTATTATGAAAAAAAATATAAGATTTCTATCTATTTTGAAAGTAAAAACTATTATAAATATTATATTACTTGAAAGAAAGAACTAGTAACAAACAACAGTAGGTTTTTCCTCCAAAACATTGGATAATAAAACGCTCTGCGAAATGGGCATATTGATTGTCACATTTACCACAACAGCAACAATTCACCAATATATTTGACAAACTTATTGTGTGATATTTACTAATTAAAAAAAAAAGAATAGAAAAATACTAATTTAATATTACTTAATTATATCATCACATCAGCCATTATCTGTCCACTGCTGAACATAAGCCTCTTCCTGTTGGAGAGTTTTGCCAGTAGTTGCTACGCTTGGCAGGCGGAATGGCAACCGTAGCTAGGCTTTAGTAATGTTTTAAGAGGGACACTGCTGCTCATTCCTCGACCAATAAGTTCCCTTCGTCGCCTCTTACGACACCCATGGGAAAGGAAGTGGCCTATTATATGTAGGGAACACACAGCGATAAATATTACTAGCAAAGGAATTAAAATCAAATTATTTTAACCCCTTTGGCAGTCCATTGCCTGATTTCTGTCTATCATAGATTAGATTATACATTAGATTTAATAGTCATTTATCTATTGGTGTGGTTGTTTTACGTTGGTATTATTTTACCTGATTCAATCGTTTTCGTATTTCATGATCACAGCTCTGTAGAGTACCATCTGGATCTCTGGAATGATTAACGTTGCCAAATAAAATAATAGAAATTATTTAGATTGATTTGTCAGGAAAAGTAAGAGGTTCCTAAGAGTGACAATGTGTCAGGGGTGTCACATGCTCGAGTAAAAGGTAGTATTAAATGACAGTAAAACAAGAGTATATTAATACCTAAAAAAATATAGATAAAGACTGAATTCAATATTGTATGATCAGAAAAGGAGTGAATACAGAAACTGCAAATAATTGATAAGAAAATTGTCTTACACCATATTATATCTTGAATGATATAAGGTCAAGGAGATAAAGACATATACAATTCATTCACACATTCAATTTATAACATAAAAATATACATACCTTTCCACAACAATTCTATTTTCATTGGCAACACCAAATGTAATATCTGTAAATACAAATTTGGAAGTGTCATACCCGACTAGGGCAGGATCTTTGGATAACACATCAGTGATTGGTTTTTGTATCTGTAAATAATATTATATAAAACATGTATATATATTGATAAATACATAATTATATAATAATCCTTACTCATAAATAAATCATGTGAGTCTTGGAGGGGTTTGGAAAAATCAGAAAATATCACAAGGGATGAGGGGTGTAGTGAGATATCATGTGTATTTATTTTTTTGTTGAATTTCTAAACAGAAAAGCAGTATCTTTGCAACCATAATGTTTAGCTAGACATTTCTATCATGGTAGTTAATTTTCCATAATTAAATTAGATTATACCTGTATTTAAAGAAAATATTTTGATGTGTTCTAAGATTACTTGATATCAAAAATACACATATTTTTTGGTAGGGGAGATCAGTCTAAAACTTTATCATGTATCACCAGAGTGAAGGAGAGTTATAAGTTACAAAAACAGATTAATAGATAACTCCTTAATTCAATGTCTTAGTAGGTTTTTATTTTTAGACATGAGCAATACTATGGACATAACAGAGTATACTGTTTCGCCCATGATACTCCCCAAGTGTTGCCATTCCTGAGGACTCAGGTGTTATTCCTCTGTACCCTGTAAATTTACTGCTATATCTATAAAATTTTGTATGCACAAACTACATGGGATGGAGAAGGATACAGGCTACTTTTTATCATAGTCAATGAACATATTCCAGTTACATAGACGAAGTTGTACATAAAGTGTAGTATGTTTACAATAATATTTTAAATGTGATGACTAATTAATTTGTTTTATATAGAATATAGATACACAATTAAGTAGGTTTTTAGTAATAATGATTGTAATATCAAAATAAATAAAAGTTACAAACTCATGACTAAAAATGTTATTCTTCAATATAAACAATAAATTGTCTCATATAATTGAAATAATAATGAAAAAAATACCTTTACGATAGGTGGCATTTGTAATAATTTATCAGCTTTCTTATTTGCCTTTGCAATTTCTGATTCAAGTTGTTCATTTGTAAGGAACTTGTAGATGGGCGTGCGAAGTACAGGTAGATCTGTATTTTTTCTTTTTCGAAATACTTTGGCAAAATCTGGTCGAGTCAAACGTTTCAACAACACTTGCACATTTTTTGAAAAGAATTTAGGAGCCGGATCTTTCTCTCCATCTGTATTTATAAATTAATTAATGTATAATAATTACTGTATTAAAATCTAGATTCTATATTAAAAATAAAAACATGTATGCTCACTATTATTTAAGGTACTTAACAAGGCAGCATTAGAGGCCTTTGGAGTGAACGTAAGAGTTGATTATATGGACAACATTTCGTATTATTCAAGTAAAATATAATACATATAAATCTAGTTAATCTAGATTTTTATATCTGAATAATACTATTATATAACTGCGTGGGAAAAGAATTATAATTACTAACTAATAAATGTTGTTGTATTACGTATATACGTTAATATAAAAATATCTTTGGTTTCTTTTACTCACCATACACCGATGGAACGATACTTAATTTTCTAGATGAAAATATAAGAGTTTGACTTTCGTAATGCTTAGCGACTACATGCTTAACATTATTTTGGGATAATTTTCTAATAAACAAAGACATTTCCAGAAATTTTATTGAATTTGTAGTCAAAATAAAACATAACCTATTTCTCGATTTTATATATGTACCACAGGTTGAAAAGACTATGTTTAAAACCACAGATTACAGAAACTATGATATGTACCTAAGAACAAGGAATTACATAGGAGTGATAAAATAAAAACTCTAAATCATATGATTATCTCCTTTCTTCTTATGCAAATATAATTAGTAAAAAGAGGACTAAAGATATACTATCAGTTGTTACTTTTTTCAATTCATAGCCAACTAGTATATAGAAAATATTTGATATGTCAATTATTTGTCAATAACAAATTGTACATTACTAGATTATATATTCGACACAGTTTATACAAAAAGTATGCAAACAGGTGGCATCTAAATTTGGTAGGGTTATACGGCTGTATAATAATTTCAATACTAGCCAGCTATAAATTGACAAATATAGCAACTGATGGAGTATCTTTCGTCCTCTTTTTACTAATTATATTTACATAAGAAGAAAGGAGAAAATCATATGATTTACAGTTGTTATTTTGTCATCTCTTCTATGTAATTCCTTATTATTAAGTAATAACATAGTTACAGGTTATAAAAAAATTGTTCATATAATCTTTTTTCATTTAAGAGTTTCCCCTTATCGGTGCAACTAATTCATGCATTTTCTTCCAGTCAGCTCTATCCCAGGTTATATCTTTGACCTCCCTATACGACATAACATCTAGTTTTTCCTATATTGTTTATATATGTATATCTAATTTTGCAATGTATCGCTACTCCATTATCAATAAATACAATAAAATCGTAACTGGTCGCTGTTTGTACATGAAAGATATACAAGATAAATTATTATAGTGGGGTGATTGATAAATTAAAATGCTTAATATTGTAGTTCTCTTTAAACACGTCTTCATCGGTAGGAAAACAAAAACTAATAATGTCAAAATTCTAAAAACATAAGAACAATAGAAATATAAAAATATGAAAGACGGAATATGATGGCCAGTTATATAAAAGGCGTATTGTGATGGCCAGTAATACGCCACAAACCCAAAACAATGATTTTTAGAATTTTTTGTCTGTCTATACGTTTGTGCACGCTAACCTCAGAAACGGCTTAATCGATTAATGTGGCTTACACAAATGCATTGCGATTTGGTCCACTTAACATTTTGTGTTTGTTTTATTTCAATCGGTTGATAAATATAAAAGTTATATCATAGAAAAATAAACACAGCTTCGCCGCCGTACTGTGGTCGCTATGACCTTATGCAAGGACAATGTAGTGAAGAGAAGCTCACAAAGGAAGTATGAGTGACATGAACAAACGGTTGATGTGATAGACCTGCACATCTATGTATAGCACAGAAATAGATGGTCATTTGAAAAAAAATACTCATATCCTGCGTAAAGTAAGTATATCACTTACATCACGTTTATTCTAAAACATTTAAAATTAAAAGTCCACCCGTGCAATGCCGGGCCGGGTCGCTAGTTATTAAATAAAGTGTATTTAATTATTGTGTATACGTACAAAATATTTTGACAATCCTTTACCTTTTCCTTTATTCATCCCACTTCTATACCAAGTGACACCAAATCTAGTATAAATTGGGATACACACATTTTGTTATAAATAATCAACTATATATATGTAAGTATACTTACAATATGACAAAATGACTATTTGTCTAACAAAATGAAGAAATTGACGAGTGAAGTTCGATTTCGTATCTATTCGCCCCGTTTTAAGTAATCAAGTAAAAAAAAAAATTATAAACAGATTTTAAGGACACTGGAGTCTTAGTTCCTACGAGTCATAGGTAAAAGAGAGAGAGAGAGAGAGTATAATTTTTTTTCTGTGCTGTTGTCGTTTTTGCGTGTCTCTTGTGTTTCTTAAAATAAATTAAACTTGTGTTGTTTATAATTATGATTAATACAACGCTATAAAACGTGCAAAAAACTTATCATGTCCAAACGAAAGGCTGGTGTTAATAATATTATTTATGAATTAGACAATGAAGATGTCGAGATTAGTAGCGACGAAGAAGTAATAGAATCCAAAATAAGTCGGATCGATACAAAAATCTGTGAAAATCATCTAGAAAATATACTCATAAACAATCAAAGGAATGCTGATGTTATTAACATTGATTGTTCCAATAAAGATATTGATAATAGCGAACTAACCCTAAATTCTCAGAATGGAGGGAAAAGTTCTCCTGTCATTATAATTGAAGAGAAAAACAATGGACTGGGTACTAAGAATGTTGAAAGTGAACTGGATAATAAAAAGTTGACTGCTGAAGGTTCCAAAACAACCATATTTAATGAGGACATTGTTATAGATTCCCCAGCATCAAATAGTGATTTGGGGGTTGTTGGCTGCGAAAATAGGACGCCTTTAGTCACAATAAGATTCAGAGATAATAGGATGGCGAAAAATTATAAAAGTCAGTTGAAAGCATTTATGTTGAATTTGATAAAACTGCATGATGAGGAAAACTTTGAGGGTTCTGAGACGGAGTCTGATTTGGAGCTAGATATCTGGCCTGAAGATTTAATTGATGAGGAGTTTGAAAAGAGAAATGAGCCTCAAGATAATCTATTTTTTATAGATACAGCCCCATGTGAGGATGTGCATTCCGAAGTACCAAAGTATAAACAGGTTTGTTTTTTATATTTGTCTTCCTTCATATTTTTGAATAGAATTTTGTTGGCCAATAAGTCCTTATACAGACATGGAATATTTTGTGTTATGGAGAAATTTCTTTGTTTTATTGCTCAAGGTTTTTCAGTTTAACAAGAGATTATTTGGTTTATATTTTTGGTTCTAGAATCCTTTAAAACCTTTAAAATCACATACTGGACATATATTTACACAATATGCCTATATAATTGTTATTGAATACTTGATTCAAATGAAGTTAAATGTAGAAGAATGTATTTTAATTTTTTTTTATTATTATAATTATTTGTTTGTTTTATTTAATTTTAGGTGTCATCATTAATTTCAAATGCACCTGATCAAAAGCCATCACCGCCACCAGTGGTACGTCGAGGTCCAATTTGCTTCAACTGTGATGGTGGTCATCCATTACGTGACTGCCCAGTTCCCAAGAACAGAGCTAGAATAGCAGAGAATAGAAAAAACATGGGATCTGTACGAGTTGGGTTAGTATTTACACATTCTGTATAAATACTCCTTGTATACATCTCTATTGTGCGCAATAAAGAGTTTATTATTATTATTTATATTTTTATATTATTTTTTTTTTTATTTATACAACATATTCTGTTTACAATATGTTTTAATATTAATAATAATTTAGGATTCATTAGACAAGTTACAAAGCAGAAGGTATGGTTTTGGCGTGGCACATATTGTCATAAAGTTTTTCATTTTGTAGCTCTAACATAGTTTTGAGATTTGGATCTTGATAGATCTTGGCATGGTATTTTTAATGAAGCTTAGGTTATGATTTTTCGTAATGCTTTTATCTTTAAAGAGGAGAGTTTCATATTTATTTATCACTTCTAGAAGTAGGAAAATGGATGAAATAGACCACTTCTAGATAGCATATCAAGATAAAATATATACTAGTTTTAAAGCTAGATTTTTGAGCAGTAGTTTTTGTGTGTTGCTAGAACAAATATACAGATGGATATATGAAATTTCTAAACATTAATGTTTTGGCTTCTATTGCTATTAACTATTACAATCCCTCAAATATTTTTTTCTTAAATATCTTCAATGTATATGGGAGATAAGGACATTGTCTAGTTACAATTTTATAATAAAATGAAATGATTTCATGAAAATTTAACTACTTACACTAGATATATTTATGTATATTTATATTGTATATGATACACAATAGATTACAATACATTTTTTCCTAAATACTTATATAAGAACACAGAAAATATCAAGCCTATACAAATAAACACACTCTTGAATACAAACATTTGTATTATATAGGTGTGGAAATTCTGTCTATCAGAAAGCAACATTAAAACACTACACCACAAAGTTTCTCAAAATATAATATTGTAACCAATTATTTTAATAAAACTACCATTTAACATTGTAACAAACTTTATGTACTCTTTCATTTTTAGGGTTCCACTGAACCCTTATAGGATCACTTTGTTATCATCGGTCTGTCTGTCAAGACTTTTTTCTTAGGAATGTGTGAAGCTATCAAGTTGAAATTAATATTATATACTCACATCTGCAATCTCTTAAAGCAGTAAAAAATCAAGCTTCTAAATGGACGCAATTAAAAGATAGGCCCTTTGTGTTCCATTTATATTTTGACATTCGCAAAGGGAATCAAAGCCTACAGGGTACTTCTCGTTGACTTAGAGTCATGAAATTTAGCAAGAAGCAATGTTATTTAGCACAAGTGAAGGAAAAATCCAAATTCCGTAAATTTATAGTTATTACACAAAAAAAAAAACATTTAAACTTGATAATTATGTACAGAATCCTTGTTACGCGAGCCGACTCGCACTTGATCGGTTTTTTTACACGTTTATAAAATTTATGTTATGTTAACAGTACAGGGAATTTTATTTTTAGTCGCTATCACGTAGAGGATGAGCAGAAGTATGGCCATCTCATTGCTGGCCGTATATCGGGCCAGCTGCGTCATGCTCTGGGACTAAAGCGGCATGAACTCCCACTTCACATCTATAGGATGAGGATGCTGGGGTACCCACCAGGCTGGCTTGAAGAGGCCAGGATATCACATTCAGGCATCACTATGTTTGATTCAACGGTATGTATATACAAGCAATATTTTGAAGTTACAGGTTTAGTTATAGTTATTAAATATATAACATAGATATCTTTTAATATTAATACAAAGAAAATTTTTTTTATACAACTTTGAATGGCAAAACAAGCTGACAGCCCATGTGATGGATCGTGGTAACCATCACCTATAGACATGAGCAGTGCCATGGAAATAACAGAGTATACTGTTTTGCCCATGATACCCCCTATGTGTTGCCATTCCTGAGGACTCGGGTGTTATTCCTGTGTATTACAAACTGGTATTATAATATTAATAGGATTTATTTACTAGAAATTTTGTTTATATATCACTTAATACAAGATGTCATACTAGACAACAAGGGTACATATTCAACTAGGGTATATAATGATGATGATGAAATATGATTAGAATAAAGTAGATATTTTAACCATCTTCATCAAGATGGTACAATCCCAGTGGATTGGGGGATTGTTAGTAATGGAGACTAATGTCCCCATTGCTAGCAATATCATCTAATCAGGGCGACCTCCATGTGGTCCCTCCTGAAAACCTCCTCACCCATCATCCCCCAGTCGTGTCCCGCCGGTGTACACTGTTAGTGCGGACAGGGTTTACCCTTCCATTGTAATTCATTATAAAAAATACTAGTGGATTGAGTGATGATTCCCATTTGTATTCTGGTGAATATAACATGAATTCGACGTGGAAGTGAGTTTTACTTATTTCAAAATAATGTATTTACTTACTACTTTGACATGTACAATTTACTCATGTTCTTTTTCCTCAAACAACAATGCCTCAGGATACTCTAATATTTAATAGTGATAGTTGATAATTTTCATGTCATAGCAGGACAAGGCTACATGTCACCACTCCTTTTCATCTTCAGGATGTCGTAAGAAGCAACTAAGGGAACATAGCACAGTACGTCAGTGCAAGAGAAGGAAATCACGAAACCCTACACCAACTTGCCTGTGCCCACCAGTGGGAAGGTAAAGGGTTGTTAAGGAAGAGTGTGTTAATAAAAAAATTAAATATTTCACAATACGTAAACATAAAATTGTGTTATTTGCATATTATGTATATGTAATATGGGTACTATTTTTATTTTTCTAAAGTACATACAGGTCACTTATTCATAGTGTTAAAATGTATTTTAAGGGTACAGCAATAATGGATCCTGATGAAGAGGAGGGCGAATTATGTGAACCGGGCTCCAAAGATAAATTTGACATTAAAAAGATACTAGATTTTCCGGGATTCAATGTGCCAACTACGTCTCGTTACAAAGAGGTAGGAAAAGACAAATTTGGTAAATTGTATCAGCTTTTTTCAATAGAAACTGTAAGAAAGATTGTAATTTTACTATTACTGGACTTCTAAACTTATTTCTATCGTGAAGTAGCAGTGCTTCCATTATTGTGTTACGATTTGTAGACGAATATAATAGATACTCTATATATTTTAAGAGTTATTCTATTTTTCAAGCTATGTCAGCAACTCGTAATTGTAAAATTTGTGGTTAACATTGCGGGTTTCTATATACCAGACTAGTAAATATATTTTGCAATACAGGAGGCGCATTTATATGGCTTACCACCAATGTCGGAGCGAGACAGCAAGTTGGCAATGCTGCAAATGCTGGCTCCAAATGCAATGAAGGCATATAAACGCAAGAAATTGACCTTCTTTCCTTCTGCATCTATGAATAACTCCACACAAGAAGGTCAAGCAGAGATGGATTTGGACAGTGGAGATGGTATGGAACAATTTGTTTTTCCTAGCAAAACAGAACATTGAAAGACTGCTTATGCATATGCCTATATTTCTTATTTTTGTTTCTATTTCAAAATACTTGTGCTTGCATGGCTGTTTTTGTTTGAAACAAAAATAGAGTTATTTTGTAATGTCCATGATGCTGTTTATGAATATGTTATAACTTTTCTTGAAGTGTATCCTTTGCTTATTGGTATATCCAAGTTTTATCAAAACATGACTGATTGCAATAATTATTTGTTATATTTCAGAGACAGCTGATTTCCCCTCGGTACCCCCATTACCAGATGAAGCTCCCCCATCGGTACCTTTGCCGCCACCGCCACCGCCGCCGTTACCACCGTCGCCGCCACCACCCCCACCTGACGACGAAATCGTAAACCAAAATGATAATCGAGATGAAAAGACTGAATGCCCTGCAAATGATTCTGCTCAATCCATTGAAATAGTTGATGACAATGAAACAAATGACATCCCAACGCCACAATGTGACGAATGTAATGAAACCCCACATACACTGTCACTCTCGCAATCCTCTGAAGATGTAATCACTATTGATTTAGATGGATCATATGAGAGTGGAAATGATTCAGCAAAAGACATAAATGTAGATGACAAAACAAAGGATAAGGTAGAAGTTCCTGAAATAGAAGTCCTGGAGAGTTCATTTGAGATTGTTGATGATGATGTAAGTATGAAATACAATTGATTTATGAAATGTATACATTGGTAAGGTGGTTTAAGGCAGTCTATGGAGGAGGCCTATGTTCAGCAGTGGACGGTTAATGGCTGGATTGATGATGATAATGATACATTGGTAACGTTAAAAACTTTAAATACCGGATTTTTAAAATATATTGCATTATTTATTATTTTAAACAATTTTAAAATTATAATATTCATTGTTATATTTTCTAGGAAAAACAGAGTAGTGGCAGAGGTAGTCCAAGTCTAGATGACCTTGAAAAGAAGAAACTATTATTATTACAAGCTCTAGATAGCTCACAGGAGTCTGCTGATATAGTTGTGTTAAATGACTCAGTAGATGAAGAAGAAATTAAAACACCCGATGATAATGTTATCATTTCTATGACTGATATTGAAGAAAAATCTGACAGCAATACAGATAAGACGGTTATAAATTCTCCAACAAACTTTGAGAATGGTAAAAGAAAACATTGCAATTCGACCGAGAGTGAACCCGAAGTCTCTAAAACTCCAGAGTCGCGAACAGGACACGTAAAAACGACTTCTTATGGTACACCAGTTGTAAATATTGCATCACCGTACATCAAGTTACCTAGTGATGATAAATTCGCTAAAGACATATGTGATGTTATCAATTTTGAAAATCTACCAAATTCAACAGGCAAGTACAAAAAAATAAGTAATTTATTAAAGAAAGTGAAGAGTAAGGTAGACAAAATACAAGAATCATGATCCACGTCGCCTACCTCTATAACTAGAGGTGGCAAAGACTCTTACTAGTTTGTGAAATTTTTGTACAATTTGAATCTACAGTTTGTCAAGTCATAAGTATTTTTATACTGAAGTCATTATGTTATTAGATGTAATATTTACATTATATAATATTTTTTGTTATTATGTTTTGTAACCAGCCCTTTAAATCATTGCTTTAAATATTGCTCTCAAGAAAATTTTATACAGAAGGGTTGATTTTTGCGCTTGGTGTAAAGTAGAACGTCATGCTAATGAAGTGGCTAGTAAAAGGATCTGTAAATGATCAAACTACTTAAGACAAGCATGTATATTTTGTTTGTAAGAGTCTGAATTGCTTCATTTTTGTCTTACATGTGTGATTTCACCAGAGGGAGACTTTGTACAAAAGTCGATTGCTTGGGTACCTCTGTCCCATTCGTGTTTTAACCTGTGAAGCAGTTGTGTTTGCATGGCTGTGTTTCGGATTGAAGGGTGGGATATGGCGTGAATTTACTGGGTACAGAGGAATAACACTGAGTCCTCAGGAATGGCAACGCATGGGGGGTATCATGGGCGAAACAATATCTCTCTGTCATGTCCATGGTACTGCTCATGTCTATAGGCAACGGTTACCATTTTCCATCAAGTGGGCCGTCAGCTTGTTTGCCATTCAAAGTTATATAAAAAGAGAAAAGATATGTCCTTTAACAAGCTGTTTGATCGTTTATTGAGCTCCGACCGCATATTATCAGCGGTGAGGTGACGCCAGTTATATCTGTTTAGTCACCCTGTACAGTTTATATACATCTATGTGAAAACCAGCTCCAACTCGAGCATTACACGTACGTACATACGAAGGCGTATGTTTCAATTGACAGTTATACCTCGTAACTACATCATTGATACACAGTGCTGGATTTACTAATACGTCATAGACTGTGTCATATATAGCAAATTTTGTAAATATAAAATTTCGTAGAAAATGTTTTTTTTTTTATTATTTTAGTTTTCACTTATTATTATTAATTACTAATTCATTCAATTTATCACTTTACAATACCTCCTTTGCCTATCCGTACCCAAATATTTGTCTAAACAATTGGACACTATTGTTTGTTCCCGTCTTTCTTAGTGAGGTTACAGGTCGTGAAGTTGCTTACACTTTATAAAAGTATATAAATCCAGCATTGTCATATACTATATAATACTTTATATGTTAATTAAAGTATCGAATTCCTTAAAACTGGTGTTAGTATTTATTAATAGAGTAAAAAAATGTTTCCCAGAAACCATTATATACTACCAAAAAAAATAAAAAAAATAAAAATTTCGATAAAAGAACATCTCATCTGTACTAACGGCATATAAAGTACAAGTATGTACAAACCTACTATTATATAGTGTCGTAGATACAATTTTTTTTTAGTTTTTGAGATCCTAATAATGAATACTATCACCAGTTTTAAGGAATGAGTTACGTTAATTAACTTATTGCATATATTTATATTGAGAGCGATAGCCATCATGTAAGTGGTTACAGTTGACGCTGGTCGAAACGTGGTTTAGTGGTTTCGAAAACGTATCGATTTATTATGGGTAAAATAATATCGCAAATAAATGTGATAAGAACTAACTTAAAAAATAAAACATTTGAGATCATGATTACGTGTCTTCACGAGCTATTCTTGTAAAGTCTGTAACTACGTATGTTTAAATATTTTTTTCTTAATAAATTGATCCGTGTTATATATAGCAGGGTGTTAATTTTTAGTTTTCAATATTTTTTGTTCTACAATATTTATTTAGTTTATAAATGAAAATGTAAATAATATGAGGATAAAAAAAGAAACTATTGACTTGCAAGTAAGTTGTTTTATTTATTACTTTGCACAATTAGGTTGCACAGGGCAAAAATCTCATTTTTATAACAATGATATAATGATGCACAAATTAAACCTATTATAAAATGATAACCCAACCCGAGACAAATTAATGTGAAAAATTATCAACTAGTGGAATAATCACGTATTACTAAAAAAATAAAAAGTACCATAACTGTTTTGACATTTTTTTTAAACAATGTCTTGGACAATCATCTTGATCACATTGATTTAATAAGTTAATAATAGTTTTTATTTTTTTTTCAGTAATTCGTATTTTATATGGAATACGAAACGCGGTGCATGCTACTATATAAACAAAGCCCATATAGTCCAAAATAAACAATGGTTTTGAGAAAAATAATACACTTAGGATCGACCATACAGAACATGTTCAATCATACAAATCAATTACTTCTATATATTGCACGTAATTGTTTGAGCTGTCGATCACAGATAATTAACAATTTGGTGCATGCACGGCTATTTCATTATTATGTGAAATTCAATCAAAATAAAGTGCTACTAATTTTAAAATTAATATGGTTACAATATAATCAAGTCAGCAACTAGTGGAGATCACAGTAATTTAGTCATTATAAAGACAAAATATTCGAAATAAGATATAAATTTGCATTAAATTAGATTTACTTAAACGTCACATAATATTACAGTTCATAAGTAGATATTGTGATGCAATCAAAAGTTTTATAAATAATGTGACCTAATTTCAGACCTACAGCAAAATTAGCGATATTAACTATAGAGAAGTTAGTATCTCATTTTATCAAAAAGTTTATCTAATAAATTATAGCACCACAAGTACAAATAAAATTTGTCAATTAGGTACAACGTATACCTGCACTGTCAAATGGCGATTAAAACTGGCATATTTATCTTCAATTAGGCTGACATGCATGCGCACTAATTTTTGAGAAAATGTTTGAACATTTCTACCTTTTTTCGGTTTCATTAATTCATTCAATAATCCATTCTATTCTCCTTCATTGTGAATTTACGACAGCACTGTATACAGGCAATAATTAATATAATAATATAATATATTTCATTTCATTACTTACTGTAAATACTTTATACCTATACAAGACCTATGGTGTAACATGTGTTACCATCTTTACATTATATCCGCAACCGAGTGCGACATAAACTAATATGTTTAATATACTTTTATACAAATTACAAGAATCGAAATTATTGTGATTGAATCCAAACTGGACACTTTGATAAAATAATTAAATTCTTGGCGGGGTGGGTGGCGCTCCGTCACGGTCCTGGAATGAAAATATATTTATACTATATTTTAAATATTCAAGATTATTAATGTGATATATGCGTATAAATATTAACAATACAATTTGTTCGACATGTATAACCTATACGGCATACAAAAATATATAGGTACACACAGCTTGTATTGTTGGAAATAGGGCATTCAATTGTTAGTATTTTTAAGATTAAACATGGCTTTTATATGCACCTTTTTTGACCTTCAAATACAAATTCTTCCTTCGTCGAATTCAACCAAATATTATGCAGTACCATAATTTGTGACAGTAATACTGTAATATGTTGTAATTTGCAATATATTAAATATATTTAAATGTCAACATATAATGTAGAAGCGTTGCAGAATATGCATAGAAGTCTGACACAAAATGTATTCGTGTTTATGGGTTTAATTCAATATGTTACATAATACCTCTTAGTCATATTTCCGCGTCATATATACTCGTACATATGAAGGTTCCAACAAGGTAAAAATATAAACTTTTCGATTTTCTGTTTTCGTCTTATGCCGAGTATAATGTTACTACTATAATTATAAAAAAAAAGTATATAAATTGAGTCACGACGCGGCTATGTCGTGAGATAGTAAAGCGTGATAACAAAAAAAAAAATGTTTACGACTGTAATCCTAGATGCGGTATCCTAGAATTCCTTTTGTATTTAACATAAATATAATATATCGTATTGAATTAATAATAATAAGTGCCTAGTTCTTAAGCGTACATAACCTATGTTATGAGAAACCACACCACGAAAATTTAAGGCCACATCCCAAAACACCCTTATCCGAGCCAATTCAGAGCTTGTTTTCTAAATTGATCTGACCGGAATTGAATGGGGGACCTTATTTACGCAAAGCAACGGGCCCAACAATGTGCTGTGGAGGTCAATTAAAAGATTAAGCTTGTTTCAGATAGATCGCGTATTACCCACCACATCACCGTATATTTATATGGCCAACTGAACATATGCAATTATCGTTGAGTTGCCATGGTAAAACCGACATTATTTAGTGTTCGTGTGCAAAAAAAAGCCTCTAGATATACATTTACAAACTATTATAATGGTACTGCTCATGTCTATAGGCGACGGTTGCCACTTTTCATCAGATGGGCCGTCAGCTCGTTTGCAATTCTAAGTCATAGAAAAAAAAAATATTATGGTCGTTTACAGTTAAAAATTGTGTCCCACAAAAAAAAAACCGACTTCAATTGTGACAAAGCCAGTTATTTTGATCTGAAAATTACACTACTGACGCGATTTTAATAAAATTTCTATACGACAAATTTGTAAGTATATCCTTTCAGATAAAAATAGGATTTTCCAAATCGGTTTAGTACTGACGGAGTTATGTGGTAATAAACATTAAAAACAAGTTAGAACCATCTTTTTTTAAGTAGGTTGGTAAAGAAAATTCATTAAAACGTTCTAATCGCTTTCAAGTGATATTTTAATGATGAACATTAATTTTTATTCAAATATACCCAGATATCATTGTGCAATTACCCATTATATAGTTATTTATCCATACGATACGACATAAAATCGGTATTTCCATAATATGACCTTGCATAATCTACATTATTCCTATAACATTAATGTTTTAATAAATGGCACTGCAATAAGTAATTACCGTTGCTGATAACGAAGTAGAACATTCTAGAATAACAAAACGACATAGTATCGCGATGTTGAACAGTTCTGACTTTGTTGCAAAATATTTTCCGTATTCTATAAATGTAATGTTTGGGAAAGTGGTGTAGCGGTTTAACAAACTGCCTCACCTTACGATGGTCGTGATTTCTATCCTCTTAGAATACAAATGGTCTAGTTATTTTTGTACTTGCAAATTAAATGTTTATACCGTGTGGTTTTGGCATAGAATGGGCCACCCCTTCCTTTCCTGTGAGTGTAGTAAAAAACGACTAAGGGAACTTAATAGTCAAGGGACGGGCAGCAGCGTCCCTTTGATAATATCACACAATGTCAAACTACGGTTGCCAACCTCCCTGCCAAGCGTGACAACTCTGGCAAAATTCCCCTTACGAAGAAGTGTTCAGAAATGGACAGGAGTTTTTTTTTAGGAGACGAAAAAGGAATGGTTACTTTACCCCCGCTATTGATGATATGGTGCTGTGGTACTAGTAAGGGAAATGGGTAAGCATAAAATCAGGTCAGGTCTCTGTGTGGTCACTGCATAGAATAGGCTACCCCTTCTTTTCCCGTGGGTGTTGTAAGAGTCGACTAGTGGAGGGTGAGAGATGGGCAGCAGCGTCCCTCTTAAAACATCTGTAAAAGTCTAACTGCGATTGCCAATCCGCCTGCCAAGCGTGGCAAATTCTGGTAAAGCTTCTCTTATGGAGGTTTATGTCCAGCAGTGGACAGTTAACGACTGAAATAAAAAGTCAAGTCAGTTGACTCATTCTTGAATTTACCACGATGTTTGGACGTGGAAATTGATCAAAATTTACCATACAAATTATCGACTCTTTAACGACGTATGTGTGTTAAATTTGCACTAGAGACTTAGGGCTAAAGAAAATAATAAATAAATTATATGGCGCTCACCTGAGTGTTGCGATCCGGTTTAGCGACGTCCTGGATCTGGTTGCGGCGCGGGCGCATTATGTACATGGCGAACGCTAGTGCCATCATGAGGAACATCACGAGGAAGCTGTTGCCGGCCGACTCGGGCGCCGGCATCGCCGGCAGTTGCTCCAGACACTCGCTGTCAGTGCAGTACGACTGTCCTTGACGTAGCTGCAAAATAAAAAAAAAACACGGTATATTATATAATGTTATTTACATCTAACGTATACTTACAGAGGAATAACATTAGGAATGGCAACGCATGGGGGGTTATCATGGGCGAAACAGTATACTCCATAGTTATGTCCATGGTATTTTTCATGTCCATAGGCGACGGTTACTACTTTCCATCAGGTGGGCCGTCAGCTTGTTTGCCATTCTAAGTTGCATAGAAAAAATACTTATTGATAACTGAGGTGGTGTAGCGGTTTAACACATTGCTTTATATTGCAACGGTTGTGGGTTCGATTCTCGGACAATGTAAACATTTGGGGCAGGTAGAGATGGTTAATAACGAGTCCCCATTACTAACAATATCCGGTCCTACCTGCAAACCATTACAGGTTATTCCTGTTATTATTATTAAAAGTGAAAACAAATGTTTTAAGGAAGTCATAATAAGTACTTAAAATAAACATTTTTTTAATATACGATAATAGAATGGTAATCCCGCCTGCGCTAACGATATACACTGGCGGAACACCAGTGAAAGATGATAAATGAGAATGAAAAGGCATGCCCATTAGCCCATCGTGATGAATACATCTGGAATTCAGCACAATGGTTTCTACAAGGGACCACGTGGGTGTCGAACTGACAGGGTATATTGCTAGCAATGGGTCAGGTAGTTCACATTACTATCAATCAGAAGGGATTATTGGTAATATGAAGTACCCGTGGTAGTTTGTATTAGGGGAAGCTCTAAAATAAACATTAGGTAATGACCAATGCCCTGTTTCACACCCACGGTATAAACATAAAACGACAAACTATATATAGTATTATAGTTCACTGACACAATAATATATTATGATGTCATATTATATTCATTCTCGGTTTTAAGCTGTATCACAGACAACATATATTTAATGTTACTGTTTTTTATTAGTAGTTTACCAGAGGGAGACTTTGTACAAAAGTCGATTGCTTGGGTACCTCTGTCCCATTCGTGTTTCAATAGTAGTGTTTGCATGGCTGTGTTTCGGTTTAAAGGGTGGGATATGGCGTGAATTTACTGGGTACAGAGGAATAACACCTGAGTCCCCAGGAATGGCAACGCATGGGGGGTATCATGGGCGAAACTGTATACTCTGTTATGTCTATGGTACTGCTCATGTCTATAGGCGACGGTTACCACTTTCCATCAGGTGGGCCGTCAGCTTGTTTGCCATTCTATGTTGTATAAAAAAAAAATAAAAAAATGTTTCGTAAGTACACAATTAAATGTAATATTTGCCAGTTAAACTTACTCGACAAAATTACATGTAAATTAAACCAATAGTTATTACATTGAAATATATTTCATTGAGTTCTACAGTTAAGTTCCAAATAACAAGATTATACATTGTATTAAAAAAAAAAGATAATTAATGTTTACTTCAACTTAGAAGATTATGTGAAATTTTTCAAAATTATTATAAACATGAAATGACACAAATTCATAATAATCAATAGGGTTTTCTTCAATAAGGTTTTTCTTAAATAACCCTGTTTACACCATAGATGATTACAATATGTATATACTGTAATTTCACTGCTATATAGGGTGGGATATGGTAGTGACATAAAGAGTATGAAAATATAATAACTTACACTACATAAATGATGGATGGATCATTATTATTATGAATCAGAATATTTTGATATACATGATGCAGTTAATATCATGTGCAAAACAGTATACTCTATTACGTCTACAGTACTGTTCATGTCTATAGGCGACAGTTAACACTTTCCATGAGGTGGGCCGTTAGTTTGTTTGTCATTGTAAGTTGCATAAAAAATATCTACAAGTGACGATTACCATTTTTCATTATAACTATCCAGTTTGTTGACTAGTTTAGGTTTAAATTTCACCAAGATTTATGTATGTATTACCTATGTAGCACAGTAACCGGCTATGGTAATTTTTAGTAAGCAATGAGTATGTAAACAATAAGACTGTGCTGTAAAAATTAAAATAACAATTCTCATCACGAATACTATTTGATAGTTGCACAAATGGCCAATTTTTAGTGATATGAACACAGGAAATTCAAAGATAATTAACAAATGTTTGCTAATTTAATCATCTCTTGTATTACATAGAAAATATATAGATAAATGTTTAAATATGAGCCTATGTAATTATTTATGTATTCTTTATAAGGCAATATAAAAAAATATTATTTAATAAAAATACAAAGTTACAAACATAAGTTATAACAAAAAATATACAATGGGTGGTTATTAATATAAAAGAAGAAGAATATAAAATTGTCATAAAGATCATTTGCTAATCAGGCAATCCTGAAAAATTGTAACATTAGTGAAATCAATAAATATAAATGTACAAGTATTTATAAATCATTACCAATATATGCCCCTAAGAGAAACGAAGGTTTGTAAATGAATGTGGGTATGCTCATGAGTACGTGTGAGTGTATGTTGTGTAGACTATCTGAAAGATGTGTACTGTGTATGTTATTATTTTCCAGACTAGTTTTTCAGTTGCCTCGTAACAATGATAAAAGATATTTAAATATAATGTAATAATAAATAAATAAAATACACTTAAAGTTTAACAATTTGGAAAAAAGTTATCCATTTTGAAGGAAAAGCAAGAGCTTATTTATACGCCTACCAATATTTATGATATTGGCAATGAAAACTTGAAATAATTGGAATGTTGAATCAATAAGAATAAAACAACAGAAACGGGAATAATGGCAATTATTGTAGTTTAAGGTAGTAATATATCCATTAAAAGCATGTTGTTGTTAGAAAATTTATAATTTCAAGGCTTATTTTATATACAGTTTAGTCATCTGCCTTATTTTTCAGTAACCATAAATTTATTATTGTTCTGATTCTAATTTTAAAATTTATTCTTTTTGAATTAAACATGTAGGTTAAGTGGATAGCATGTTGTTTTGCAAGAAATGAGGTGCTGAATTGATTTTTAGTCAAATCAATTTATTAAAGAAATATTTCTATATTGGCATGTGTCTGTGTGTTCTTATAAATATCTTTTTAGTTTACAAGGACTTCTCACTTGAGGACTAGCCATATGGTTTGGGTGTGTGGCACTTGGTTGGATTTTATAATATTAATATGTTGATAATTAAACTAGGCTTTTTGCATATAAAACAGATAGCATATTACCCAAATAACTGTAGCAGTGTGATACACCCACTACATTGAGTAAGCCAAGGTCAATAGATAAACTTACCAGGGATATGAGTCGTCGCATCGCAAGCTCGTGATTCCAGAGGCATTCGCACGGGTCCATTTCGTCTGCCATTTCTGAAATGACACATCAGCTATTAAACAACGTATTAGCTATATTTATTAGATTTCCTTGAACATATTGAGGAAACTTTCTACCCAAATTAAAACAAAATGGCATAGAACTGAAACCATCGAACTAATATGATAATAACATTTTAGGTCCTTTGTTTTATTTGTGAACAATAATTAACTGTGTAATGTTAACTTTTGTTATTATTTACAAATACAAAAAACAGTGAAGTATCATCTGTCATTGGAGAAAGTATTTTTTAATAATTTCATGCTAAAACATACCTGTTTAGTACGACTTATAGAATAACAGAAAAGAAAAAACTATTAGAATGACGTGTTAGTCGTTGAAAAGAGTACGCCCGCGTTAGGTTTCGTAAAATAAAGATAAATAACACGAATTGCTAAACTAGCGACGACATTTTTACGCTGTGTGCTTGGGTGTTCTTTATTGGTTGTGGCGAACAATACAGTGTAAACAACAACCAATCACAGTTTCGCATAATTGTTTCTTAAAAACTTTGACGGCATTGGAAACAACGATTTTATGCCAATTATAATAATTATTATGTAGAGTAGCAATGCGCGAATCTGATTGATTATGTTACTAATAAATTAGTAATTACTAATTTTATATTTCGCCTACTAAATTAATAATTTTACTATTCTAATGATTTTGACAAATAGAATAAGTATTGTGCAACTTTTTATTTCAATCGACTTTAAAACTTCAAGGAGATTTTTTTTTATTTCATTCAATTGATTTTCACCAATTTTACATCAAAACAAAATCATTATTCTTGTTATTTTCATAAATTCGTTGACTCCATACAAGTTTTATAAAGTGGGAAAAGAGCTTTTATTTATAGGGACTAGCGGTCTCACTGCTAGCAATGCATTTTTCACTGGAAACTGTTACATAAACTACATCAGCAATAGTCAATGATATTCTTCTACTCACTCCATTAAGTAGGTATTATAGTCATAGCATGTTTTTATTTTTAATCATGGCACTCGATTTATGTATCAAATCGTTCATTAATTAAATAAATGGCGTGTTTAAGTAATATAATGTCAAAGTAATTAAATAACATAAATACGGACGCTCAACGATTGTACCTATTCCAAGTGTGAAAGTGTTAATATATTATTTATAAGTACCTAGATAGATAGATATATTAATTTCCCAGAAAATTGTTTTTATAGATCTTGATTTATTGTGAAGTACAAATGTTCGCCTTATAGTCCAAAACTTAAAATTTGTTAATGGGTATAAGTTACTATACTTAACTATTTCAATATTGCATTAATAATTGTAGTGGAAAGATTAATCATAATTTTAATGGATAGATTAGCTGTACTTAGAGAATACAATCCCGGGAATGGTAACCCCGCCTGCGCTATCGATATATTATATCTGTGCCTCTAGTGAGAAAGGGTATAACTCAAGTTATAGCTTTTTTCTTTTTTAGGCTACTTTAAATAAGCAAATTTTTCTCTTTCGAATGGTATAAGAATCGTAACGATATCTTTAAAAACAATAGAGATAGTAAACATGTAAAAGGCTACAATTAACAAAATATTTGTGGTATAAAAGTCATAGTTAGAAATAAAACTACAATATTTTACAAAAATTATTTTTGTAAAATGAATCAGTTCGATTTGAACCCTTTTACACCATTTAATAGCGATTATTTTTTATAGCGTAAAATACACAACATTGTTTTTCTTCAATAAAATAGTTTTAATTCAACTTAAAACTATTTTCACATCATAATTTTAATATTTTTCTTAAGTGTGATTAGGTATAATAGAATTATTTTTAAAACTATAGGTTTTACACAAAAACCGACAATTTCATAAGAAAGAGGAGAAAAAATTACTATAAATGCAATCATTGACTTGTTCAATTAGCAAATAATAAAAGCAGCAGAATTTTTTTTCTTTATTTAAAATAGTTTTTTGGCTCTCCTGAAAAGTGGCCATTTTGAATTGAGCCCTTTCTCACTAGAGGCACAGATATATTATATGCTGATTTCTATCCCGGGATTCCGAATGACAAATGCAACCATAACAAATATTTTGTATATGAATCGACAGAGAAAATTATTACATTTAAATCAATTCTCTAATAATTCTCTAGTAATCTCTGAAGGCTCAAGTATTCGAATTAAAATAATAACAAATACGTGAATATCTACAAATAACTTCAATTCCTTAGAGATTGCTAATAAATGTTAATGACTTTAATCGATTGAATCGATCCAATAAATTGATAGAGCAATAGGCTGTTACACATACATCTATAATAATTATATACAAAAAATTATAAATCATATTTGAATGACTACAGACGCAAAAATAAAATTATGTCATCGTTAATCAATTGTAATACAAGATTTTAATGTTATTCATTTATTTTATTATTTCAATATTATTATTTCAACTTTCACCAAAAACTTCTATAGTACGAGTAATACAGAAGAAGTAAGAAGATTATGACATAATTTTATTTAGTTAATTTTAAACTTTCGTTGTTCACACATATTTTAAATACCTACTTACACAGTCGGGACTTAATGCGATGTAAAAGCGTTTCGATATGGTGCATTCCACGTAGAAACGTCGGCAATAAAAAAATATATATGTAGGCATTATTTACCTATAAAAGATTTACATCGCGTTAAGTCCCGGTTGTGTATTCAAAATATTTTTTTATTTTTTATCCATTTTTCATCAGGTAGGCTGCCAGTTTGTTTGCCATTCTAAGTTGCATAAAAAAAAGAAAAAGTATTGGACGTTAGTTTTGCCCATGTACGTAATTTTCAAATATTTAAAGAATTATACGTGTACCTACAACTAAATAGATTTTATTGTTAATATATTTATTTCAAAAGGACTATAGTCTAGTTTCTTTCAAGATTATAATGGAATCTGTGCTTGATTAGGTAATGTGTAATAAAAAGTGACACAAATATTCCAGATGCGCTTATAAAAATTTTGATTATTTTATTTACTTGATGATAATATAGATGATAACATGTATTTGTAATTGACAAAGATGGAAAGACATATATTATATGTACTACATTTAGCCAGTTTTGGCATGCAAAATTAAGTTATGTACAAAATTATGTCAATGTAATAATTCTAATAACTACTAATAACGGAAGCTAGAAGCTTACGATTTATTTCTAGTATAGCCTCGTACAGACAAACGCAGTGTAGGACGACCCACCAATAGATGGAGTGATGAACGCAAATGAATTACATGGAGTCAATAGATGCAGGCTTAGGACCGTTCTTTATGGCAGTCTATGGGGAGGCCTATGCACAGTTTTTTTTATGCAACTTAGAATTGCAAACAACCCGACGGCCCACGTGATTATATCATCGCCTATAGACATGAACAGTACCATGGACATAACAGAGTGTACTGTTTCGCCCATGATACCCCCTATGCGTTGCCATTCCTGAGGACTGAGGTGTTATTCCTCTGTACCTTGTAAATTCACTGCCATATCCCACTCTTTAAACCGAAACACAGCCTTGCAAACACAACTGCTTCACGGTAGAAACACGAAGGGGACAGAGGTGCCCAAGCAAACGACTTTTGTACAAAGTCTCCCTCTGGTAACAGATAACTAACAATAGCGGACAGATAACGGCTGCTGTGACGATGATGGGAAGCTAATTGTTTTGCGAGAAGAAAATAAGAAACTCAATAGTGAGCAAAAATTTTTGATACCAATGTTTTTATTTATTGACGTTTTTCGTGACTTTGCCTGCGTGCTTCAGTATATAAAGTATCCTATGTATTAGAATATAACCTATCCGTGTACTAAATTTCATTCATATTTATTCAGCCGTTTAAGAATGATTTAGTAATAAACATGGGTATTTATAAACATTTTTGCATTATATTTATAATATTAGTACTAGGATTAGGAGGATTTGGGTATATGTGTAGAAGGTAGCAGTGAAAAAATAATATGATATTATTCATCGTGCCTCCAATCAAACTGTATATAATTTACTCCTGGTCATGGCTGGAAAGAAGCCATATAGTAGAATTAAAAAAAGAAAAAGAATGATTTGAATTTTTTTATACCATTCTTGTATCTCTTCATGTAATGTTTTATAACTATAATTTTGATATATAAATATAAAAAAAAAACACTAGTTGAACTATAAAAGTAGTATTATTTTGGAGTACATCGTCTAACTTCTCTCCATACAAAGATTGCCTGCAAGAGATCGCTTTTAGCGATAAGGTCACACATTGTTTTCTCATTGTGATTATTTCTTGTAATTGTTTATATCTAGAATAAGTTTACTGTTGTAATCTTTTGGAGGAAACAATTAAGAGTATCTATCTATCTATCTATTATATAGATAGGTACAAGACAAGACAAGTATTTGAATAGAAAGCAAAATACAATATAAAAAAATTTCCACATATGAATGTAGCTAGACTTCAATTTATATAACGACTAAAAAGAAGTTTCAATAGTAGGTACCTATTATATGGCATGCAAAACAAATGATATATCCATTATGCCTACATATATCTATTATTAGATAAGTACAGATGCTATGTACAATTGTATATCGTACATTTAACGTGAGTATTGACGAATAATTGGCACGAAGTGGCCACTTTTTCTGTCAGGGCGTGGTACTACGTGCCCCGCCCACGCGCGAGGGCGTTCCGCCCGCCTACTGTTAATTGATTACTTGAGACGAAGAAAGTACGTTTCCTATATAATAATATATATACTCTACTATAATAATACTTTATCTCAGTCTATATGTATACGTTTGTATGTAGAGTCGTCAAAATAAATTTAGATAAGATTAATTTTCTTTAAAGGAATCCCAATTATAAATAAATGTTCTCGATCATTGTTTTTCTACAGTGTTTAATATGAATGTATTATGTAATCAGTATAAATGTAGAAGAAATAATATAGATGGGCAACCCTTTAAATAGCTGTTACAAATGCAAATAGGAATAAAAACAAGGTTAATTGTATTTGGTTATCATGTCAAATGTTACTGCCTAACTACATACATGAAAGTGAACAACTTGCTCTAAGCAGGCTGTAGTAAGCTCTAACCATAATAATTTAATTTTTTTTAATATATTAAAATGAATAGACAATATTAACGCGCGGATTGTAAAAAAAAATAACTTTTAGACTTTCACGTTGCATGGTTTGTTGTTTATGAAGAACGGGAATTACGCAGTCACTTGATCCCTCAAGGGATTATTAGTAAAGCAAACTTCTAGTTTCATTGTTTACAATATACCCTGTCAGGTCGACCTCCACGTGTTGCCCCCTGAAAACTATTGTCCTGAATTTCAGGTGATGAATGCATCACGATGCATTCTAGGAGGCTAACTTACCTGTCTTTTCATTTCATCTCACCTATCATCCTTCACTGGGGAGAAAGGGATTGTTAGTAATGGAGACTGAGAATCCCATTTCTAGTAATATACCCAAACAGTTCGACCTCCTCGCGGTTCCTCCTGGAAACTATCACGGTTAATTCCTGATGAATTCATCATGATGGGCTAACTGGCCTGTTTTTATTCTCAACGATCACCCTTCACTGGTGCTCCGCCAGCGTAACCCGTTAGTGCAGGCGGGGTTACCATTCCATTTTCACCCATAAAAAAAAATCATCCCTCACTAATGCCCCGCCCGTATAGTATAGCCTGTTAGCGCAGGCGGGGTTATCACTTCACTATCATTCATTAAAAATATTGCAATTATTTAGCTAAACTATGTTAATTGCCTGGGTTATCTGGACATTTTGAACACGTTACACCGGCCGCGGTCACGAGTAGACTGATGCAGTGCTATATAAGGATATTAATTATGTGACAAGAAGCATCACACGATGCATTTAGCGTTCCATTGTTTCTGCCTACCCTAATGGGAGACAGGCGTGACAGATATGTATGTGTTTATGTATGTAATTATGTGATGTAGAACAATGAGTGGGTAGAAGAAAAAACTTTTGCCTTGGAAGCAGAGGCATGATAGCGCCACTTTAATCTTGTCGTTAGATAGAGATAATTGAGATAAATTATTATGTGATGAAATGATGAAACCATCAATCATCATGATAAATGATTATGATGATTTAAATGATCGCCTTTTTCCCCATTTTTATATAAAAAATTCAGAAATTTGATACCTTAGATTTAATTAAGTTATATTAAACTAAGCATACAATATAGTTGCAAAATTGGCGTAGACTGAATAACGGTCAGAGATTGATGCCTAATAAGGATGGTTGTAGAACCTTTACAAACAATAATAGTAGTCGATCCTCAAATGCTGGCTGTCACACGCGTACTATTGGTAATGGACTTAAACAAAATAAATGTAATGAACTATTTATTGTCTAAAGTACCTATTTGGACTATGTTCCTTGCGGAAATTTGTTATAGGTACTTAGAAGAAAAATTGAATAGTCATAATAACAAATTTTTTAGCTCTGTTGTGTTCCTAAGTGGATTCTAACTGTAATGGTGGGTACTTATTTAAGATTAGGTTACTTAACTATAGGAGATTCAAATGGGATAATTAAGAGTTAGTAAACAAAAAAACTGATATAAATATTTATCATTTTTTTAACTCAGAAATTAAATAATCAAGGAATTTAAAGAGAGTTGGAGATTTACACCATTGAGGCGGTAAACAAACATACGGCTGTTACTGTAGCCTATGAACGCTACATACAGCCTATGAATGAACATTTTTCCATTTATTGGCCAGAGAAAATGCTCGAGTCCAAAACTGGAGCATTATAGAGGGAAATTTTAAATAAAATTCTTATATTCAAGCGGTCTAGTCAGCGTATTGATGGTTGGCTATCGATTAGCGCACAGCTCTGTCATCACATTTTTTGCTCTTATGGGGAAGAGAAAATACTCGGGCTCAAAACTGGAATATTACCTAATGATCTGTTGTATATTTTCTTAATATTTGCTTTATAATTAATATAAAAAAAAGGAATACAAATACCATAGTCAGTCTCAGTATAGTCATGTTTCGATTGCCTCAATTCTAAATCAATTTATCTTTTGTGAGGCATTTAATTCTTATATACGTCTTGTACTAATTCAATCAAATTTTAATTGAACTACTAAAAAAGAAGGATTTTAATTTACTTGTATTACCTATTTTTTTTTTTTGTGTTTTAAACGGGATTAATTAATTAATTCTGAATGTACTTTGTGAAACCTTTTTTAATTGAAAATATTTAAGTAAGTTCCATTTCTGTCTCAATTGACTGTTTCTGGGATATAATCTTAACTTATTGTACAATCGATGGCGCAGAATCAGGACAATGCAGGGAGTGGTTGTGACGAGAGACCCGCCCAGCGCTGGCGAAGCTGGTGGGTCTGAGAGTAATCCACGCCCGTGTATTTCACTTCGCCTCGGTCACCGCGCCGCGCGGACATGGCGCGTGTTCTGCGCCCACCGAGCCGCACGTGAGTACCAATCGTTATACTTTTACCACTTTTCTTTTAGTTTTTTTTTAAATATTTTACATAGATAAGATGAAGGACAAAATAATTTACCTATTGTTTAATAGCTGTATTTAACATTCTTTTGCGTACTGGTTGCTTTTTGTTAATATATTTAGTTATTTTATTTATAAAATAGTAAATGAAAGTATTGCATTAGTTACTTACAGATACGCACAGGCGTTATTATTTATTTATACAAAAGTTTCATTAGGATGTATATAAAAATAAATAAAAAAAAAGAAATGACTCTAAAAATATCAAAATCTGTTGCGTGGTTTAAAAGAAGTAAGCGGTAAAATAGACAGACGCATTACGACTATGTTTTATACCTAATATTTAAAAATAAAATCATAAAATAATCGGTTTTGACTTTCGTATATTTTTATCGAGAATGTTCTATTAGTTTCGGGGCCATTACATGAGCGGTCACAACACGAGCGTGAGCTTGATTTCGACACTGATGGTCGCAAAACTTATCGAGCATTTTTTAAAGAAACACGGAATTATTTTGTATTTATAAAACTTTTAACAATAAAAGTACAGTTAGAACAATATCTTAGGTTTTTTATGGATGATAATGGAATAGTAACCCCGCCTGCGCTATTGGTATACGCTGGCGGGGCACCAGTGAGGTGTGATAGATGAAGATGAAAGCAGGTTAATTAGCCCATTATAACGAATTCCACAAGAATTAACCACAATGGTTTTACAGGGGGAACCGCGTGAAGGTCGACCTAATAGGTCATATTGCTGGCAATCCTTTCCCCCCAGTATCTTAGGGTTAAGAAAAACTAAGAGGAAGTCCCTGTTTTAAACCTTTGCATTTTTTTTTATTCCTATTTGCAACGTTTAAAAACTATTGCCATTATTAATTTTGCGCTACAAAGGGCGCGTAAAACTGTATTCCGGTAAACCAACACAACGTGTAAGGTAGGCGGTTTAGTTTCTTTTGATATCAGGGAGTGCCATCTTCATACGTATAAGAATAGCGGTAGATACTGAATTTAGTTACTTTTTTCTCGTATAAAAGTATAAAAGTAAAATCGAAAACTAACATTCTTTTAAAATATCGTTCTCTCGGTGAAATTGAACACTTTCCAAAGCTATGAGTCGAAAAAGAGCAAAAAAAGAATAAATATACTTAAATATAGAAAAGAAAATTCAGGTAGTGATTCATCATCATCATATCAGTCATTAACTGTCCAGTACTGAACATAAGCCTTCCCCATAAGGGGAGTTTTGCCAGTAGTTGCCACACTTGGAAGGCGGGTTGGCAACCGCAGTTAGGCTTTTAGAAATGTATTAAAAGGGACGCTGCTGCCCATATCTCAACCATTAAGTTTCTTTAATCGCATTTTACAACACCCATAGCATCGGATATCTATACCGGACTAAAGCTATAATTTATTATTATTTCAGTCGTTAACTGTCCACTGCTGGACATAAGCCTTCCCCATAAGGGGAGTTTTGCCAGTAGTTGCTACACTTGGAAGGTGGGTTGGCAACCGCAGTTAGGCTTTTAGAGATGTTTTAAGAGAGAAGCTGCCGCCCATCCCTCGCCCTCCCTTAGTCATCTCTTTATTATAGTATTCAACGAATTCTGGACGATAAACTATAGCTATTATTTATAAGTATGATATTTCTTCTATTCATTTGTGTATGTAATTTGTTTTATCTTTTTAAACTTTATCGTGGCATTCTATATATTTGTATATAAACCAAGCGATAAATAAATTTCATTCGTAATAGTATTATATATAAGAAATTATAATTTTTATAATATAATAGACAAAATTTTAAGTATCGAGTTTATTTGTAAAAGCTGTAACCCGAATGTATTTTCGTTTTATTTTTGCACACCCTGTGGGTAGAAGGCGGCATATATTTTTTATATTTCAATATTGTGTCACCATTATAACCTATATTTCTTGTAAATAAAGCTTTGATTAATCTGATTTTGATTTGAAAAATAATAAAAAAATATCGAATAATCAATATTCGATGCCAGTCAATAAGTCTCTATAGAGGAAGCGAACAAACTTTGTAATATCTACTAATAAAATTATTATGTGGTTTATCATGTGCTTTGAAATAATTGCACCCGCAGTATAATACTTGGTAATTTAGCTGGCAATATGCCCAGTTGGACTGGTTTTTATTTAATTCCCCGGGAAACAATCGTGGTTAATTCCTAATGAATACATCGCGACGGGAAAACTTATCTAACTTCAATTCACTTTTCATTCTTCACCGGCATGCCATCAGTGTAATATAATAACGTGGATAAAAATGAAACGGCAACAGTTCCATTTTCATTTGTAAAAAAATATTCAAAGTCCAAATTTAATTCACGAAATTCATTACAATTCAGTTTCTTGCTAATTCCTCTCGGATTTAACTGTTTACTAAACTGGACGATGCCGAGATTAAAGAAATAGAACAAAAAAATAAATGAAATGAATTAATATTGATGTCACTATTCTTTTATTAAACTAGTAATTATTTTTAGTAAAACCACAATAATGGTCCAAATATTAGTTTCTTTAGAAACCAACAACAAAACTTCTAAACTGCTATGAACTTTCTATGGGATCAAATCGATTTATAAATGACAGAGTTCTGTGGTAACAAATATAAAAAAAAAAAACGCAACTGAATCGGGGGATCTCCAACTACTCACTTCTATCTCTTTTTCTTTAACCAAAGGTTGTCTGTAAGAGATTGCCCTAGCGATAAGACCGCCTTTTGTACCTTTATGTATATATTTCAATCTGTATTTATGTTACTGTATTTCACTTGAATTATTTAATTGCCATTGTGTATTTTTATGTTTTTGGTGTATTAAAGAGTTAAATAAATAAATAACCTCCTTCTTTTCTAAAGTTGGTTAAAATTAAATAGAGATCTATGAGAAATAAGTCCACCCTTGCTAGCAGTATTTATAATTGCCTTATCTATAGTTGTATATTTTTTATTGCACTCAGAAATACAGTAATAGATACAAATATTAGAAATAAGGTGAGCTTAAGGTGAGCAAAGGTGATTTTTTTGTGAAAGATGATCTCTTAAAGAGATCTCTTCCAGTCAACCCAACACTATTGCGTAGGAACCCTTATCTATGTACCTAATTTACAAGTGCAATAAAGAATGTTCAATATTTTTTGTTTTTATTTGATAAGTATGAATTTCCATATAACGAAATTATATTTCGCAAGAAGTTTACAATTCGTATTCATTGGCGTATCGCGAATAGACATAGACATGACAAAGTAGGTAGAATAATACCTAAAAGCGTCGGATAATACGGATAACACTTCATCATATCATCATATGTACTTCATCACCCTTTAACCGTCCGCTACGGAACATAGGCCTCCTCCGTAAGGGGAGTTTTGCCAGTAGTTGCCACGCTTGGCAGGCGGGTTAGCAACCGCAGTTAGGTTTTTGGGGATGTTTTAAGAGGAACGCTGCTGCTCATCCCTCGACCATAAGTTCCCTTAGTCACCTCTTACGATACCCACAAGAAAAGAAGAGTTGGCCCATTCTATGTCGGGACCGATACGGCGAATATATATGGTACATAGTTACAATCAAAATTGATATAAAATTATATTTTTACCTAATCATCTGCAGTTTAATCAGATCAATAGACTGAACTTACTATTTAAATAAAAACTATACAGTTTTACATTTAATAGTTTTTTAACCGACTTGAAAAAGAAGGAGGTTTTCAATTCGGTTATATTTTTTAAGTTCGTTATCTCATAACTCCGTTAGTTGTAAACCGATTTGAAAAAATATTCTTTATGTGAAAGGATACTTGTTAGACCAACAATCTCCCCCCCCCCCCCGTAGAGTAAATTTTATGTCGTTTCGCACTAAGGCTTTTTAGTGATATAATAAAAACACCTAGTGTCTATATTCTGGCCTAATTTCGGATTTCTGTATATTTCACAGGACATCATTTGTAACTTAAAGCTGCGAAGTTATAGAAATCCTGCATATTGCAGTAGTAAAAGTTTTGTAGGTCTACACACTACTAATTCGAGATTGGACATATTAATAAAAAATATTTAAAAAGTTATTATTTTTTAATTATAAAAAATATTTTTACGATTACGGATACGGTAGAAATCACCGATGGTATTTAATGTCAGCAGTAAACCTGCAATGCCTTTGGTATTGTGGGCGATCATGGGCGGTGGTAGTCACTTACCATCAGGTGAGCTGCATGCTCGTTTGCCTTCTGTGTTTATAAAAAAATATTCACATTAAAATGCTGGAACACGCTGATACTATTTTTCCTCGTATTTCCATCAGTTAGTATGATACATTTTAAGTTAAAGATTCAGTTAAAGATTTAAGTTAAACTGTATTCAATTTTTATTTAGTAGTTTTGTTGTGATGTCTGAAATATACAAAATAAAATAATTAAAAATTAAAAAAATATGTTTTTGGCTTTTATTGTTTTAATATAGATTTCTCATATTAATTTTTCTAAATTATTTAATATGTATAGAGATCATAGAGTCACAATTTTATTAAACAAATTGATCGTGAATTTACTATGTTCTCATTTACCGGTCCGCTAGGTTCGATCCATTGCTATGGAAATAGTGATTAAAATGACATATATTTTTGGCTTTCTAAAATTAATTCAGAAATTTTATTCAGAAAAATATTCAAATATGATAATTAGAAACTTAAGACTTGGCAGCTGACCTTAGCTTATTTCTGCGAGGAACGAACGTATAAAAAAAGATGTTACGCCTGGAAAAATTAATACTTTTTTTCTAAATCCCTAAAAATAGATAAAATCTTAATAAATGTATCTATATACAAAACAATCTTTTTTCAGAAATAATACTTTATAATATTAAATTAAAATCATTACTTACACATTAAAATAAAATAATTTAACAGCGAAACCTTTTCTTATTTAAGATTGTGTTCCACAAAAAAAAAGCCGATTTCTCTTACGGTTTTACCGTAAGTGAAGATAGATAGATACTAGATATTTAGATTTAAAAATTAAATTACTGAATCGATGTTAAAAATTTCTGTGAGACTAATCTGAAAGTATATTCTTGTAGATAAAAAAAAAATCGAAGTCAGTTTATAAATGGTGGAGTTATGAGGGAACAAACATAAAGAAAAACGAATTCCTAACCTCCTATTTATTTTAAATTGATGGAAAAGAGGTCGTAAAATGATAAAAATTGTTCTATATTTCAATTAGGAAAGCGACAAACCTATATTTAATTTCATTTGTAAACAAGGACGCCAATGTTTTCGTTTTCACTTTGTACATTTGTATAGTATTATAATTTTTCTTGATTAAATTTTTTTTCTAGAGTCCTTTCAGTTGGTAGTTGATCTTCAGTACAAAATTAAGAACTTCGCATGCTCAGTTGTACATTCGTAAGGGATTATTCTCTGTACGGTTTTTTTCCGTAGTGCACATACACTTTTTATATTATACTGCAGAATAGTCGATAAAATTACAATACTGTCATAATTACATGTACAACAATTAGTCCATTACCTTAAGGTTGTCTTGAAAAGATTGCTCTCAGCAATAAGACCGCCTCACTGTATTTACACAATTGTATCGTTGTATTTGTTAATTGTCTCGCTTATTTCCTATATTGTATAAGAAGAGATTTTGCCTCACTCTGCGTGTTCTACCGCTTGTACAAAGGATTGTGTTCAGAGGAATTGTTCAATATGATGTCCACGGCCACTTTCTACGATCGTACGGCTCGCCATCGACAGGGAGTTCACCCTCATACGCTACAGCCTGAATGGTCGCGTACAACGAGAGATGTTTTCTCCCACGAACACTCAGGTTATGAATGAGCTCCGTACCGAGGTTTTCCTAAGAGACTATAGCAAGGAGTTCTTCAAAAGGGGGGTAAAGAGCTTTCTTCAGGGTCGGAAACGCGCGCGTAATACCCTTGGTATTGTAGACGTTCATAGGTTACGGTAACAGCTTACTATGAGGTGGGCCGTATGCTTGTTTGCCACCTCACTAATAGAAAAAAAAGGCAAATAAAATATATTCATTCATTCATTCATAAAAATTTGCGCCGCATATAGATATTTTTGTTATTTTTATTAACTTATATACTCTTAAAATGTGGTCAAATTTAATTTTTAGATTCATTGTCTTCATCACTTGCATTGGCACATTCAATTTGTCCGGTTAGTGGTGTAGTGTGACGTAGAGCTTTTTCCGTGAAATTGTGGAAGTGCGGTGCCGCAAGCTGGACGTGACAGCCACTCCGGTCTGCCCGACTCACTTCGAGAGCCATGTAGGGTTGCCAAATTATATTGTTCTAAGCGATTAAAGTTAATTCGTAACGTTATTATTTACATATAAATAAGTGAATTTAAAATGTTATTAAATAATAACATATTAAAAAATAAGTAGCATTTAAAAATTATAAAATAGTATTGGATATTAAAACTACTTGACAATAATCAAGAGAACGTACTCGTTAGATAAAAAAATCGACTTAAATTTTAAGAAATTTGTAGTAGATAGTAAACTTTTAACTAAAAAATATATTTATATCTTCGCTCTGTTCTGAGCATATATTCTGTACATTTTATTACCGAGAGACCCCTTTCCCCTCCCTTATTGGTGGCTCTATCGTGCGTCATTCATATAAATTGATAATAAATTGGCAAATATATTGTATATGTATATCATTTATGTCTGATTGATTAAGAAACGTGTAAACTTTTTTTAGCAGTTTTTAAATTTATAACATTAATAGTATGTATTCTTTAATCATTACTTGTTGTACCAATAAATTGCAAATGTTAACTCTCTGAAGAGTTACACCCCTAATCAAAAGCTAGTCGATCACCGCGGACACGGTCGAGTGCCGGCTCTCAGTCACCGGCGCGCACGTAACATTTGTCACTTCATTATATCGCTGTCCGGTGTCCGGCGCCGCGTCCGGCCCGTAATGGAGAGTGTACGAGTGGGCCACGATTATTTCTGCGGTTAATTAACCGGCAGACCACAGATTAAAGGTCAAGTGTTTTTAGTTCTTCACGCTCTGAAAAGAGGGCGGCGGACACCGAACAGTGAATGAGTTGGGTTCGTTTGTCTCAAGTGCAATTAAAATAAAGATGAAATAATTTTTAAATTTACTTGCTTGAATTGAAGTAAGTTACATTAAAGATAATTCAAGTAAATTTTATTTCGTTGATCACATTATACTATATACTAATGGTAGTGGAATTAAACAAAATAATAGAACTATTTTGTTTAATCGATGTATTTTGTTTAATTAAGGTGTTATCTTACGGAAATCCATATTAAATAACCATTGATATGGACTTCCGCAAGATAACACCTAGTTTAGTAAAATAATCAATAAATTAACCTAATAAAACCATTATAATGTGATTTAAATAAAATAAATTCTAATCAAATAACCAATTTATTGTTTGTTATCGTTCTTATTTTATTGGCTTTAATAATGTGAGTTAAAAAGAAAAAATTAAGTATTTGTTACTAATTAAAAAAATTACTAGTATTCTGTTATTGCAAAATATTTCTCGTTTTTGTAAACAGCAAGAAGATTATAATTCTTAAACATGCATCTAAATTGACGATGTAATCGTGTGACAGTCTTTTTTTTCGAAATCACATCGTACCATTAAAACAAACAAACAAGTGTAGTTTTAAAAATGTATACAGGGTGTGGCGGCTTCGTGTCGATCGACAGTAGGATGGCGCTGAAGACGCCTACTCCGGGCGTCGGCGAGCGCGAGACCTGGGGCAAGAAGGTCGACTTCCTGCTCTCGGTGATCGGGTTCGCCGTCGACCTCGCCAACGTATGGCGCTTCCCATATCTCTGCTACAAGAATGGGGGAGGTAAGTACTACAATTAGTTACAATTTTTACGTTAAAGCCAACGCAGATAGTGAACATATTAACATCAAAGAACATTTTCGAATTTCGACCTAAACAATAAAAAATTTGGCATGTATACCAAAATTATCAGCTAAATTTTATAGCAGATATGACAATTATTAGAATTTAAGCGACATTTTTTTAGTAATTCTCGAATATTTTAAAAAGTAACTGCAGACATAATGTTTTTTGTCTAGCCATTGAGCGGAATTTTTTACCCGACTATTGACAAAAACACGCCTGTTTTTTTTTATAATAAATGTATGTATGTCAGGACCTTTGGCGAAACGTACATCTTAAACAGCTAGCACTAAGCAATTGGTAATAATATGGACTAGTAACTCCATTGCTAGCAATATAGCCTATAGCTATAGCTGCAAGTTCATATCCTAGGTCAAGCAGATTACTATGTGGTCCCCCCTGGGAAACGAATGGTTCATCTAACTTGACTAAATCTTTACTTAATATTGCTCACTGATCTGTCAGACTAAACCAATTGTGCAGGTAGGACATTTACTTTGCCTTAATTAAAAAAAAAATAGCTAATAATAGCTAGCTAAGAAAAGATGTTTAAACTTTTTTATTGTTTGATAATGATTTTTGTTTCACCTGTATAACGAGTCGTTACCTTACGACGTCGTGAGTTATATACCTGTAAAGAGGCTTTTCTTGCAATAATTAGCGCTTTTACTATACTTACTGGAAATACAGGATGCGTTACGTACCGTTTAAAAAAAATATTGAGCCGAATAAATATACACAACATCTATTCTCTTTCATATTCTATTTAAATATAAATAATGAAAGAATATAATATATTTATATATTATATTATATTCTTATATATTATTTATATTTATGCATTATTTGTATACAAATATAGAAATAAATTGCTATTTATATTTCTTATTTCATTAATATTAGGTAGATATATTTATATAACTAAGAAAACAGCTATACTATTTCACAACTTTGTTTTTATTATAATATACCTACTTGTACGTATTTCATTATAATGCCATAATTCTTAAATAAATCCTTTGTAGAATAATAAAAATATTTTTTAAGTAATTATTCATTTAAAGTTTCACTGAGTGCCAACAATAAACACTAACAATAATAATTACTTTTAATATATATATTAATATTTTATATTGGAATTTGGAAATTCAGTTAAGTACCAAAAAACTATAGTTTAAACATAAAATAAAGAGACAACCATTTTAATCGGTTATAGACAAAAAATACTCTCTGAATACTCCACGTATTATTCACTGAATCGAGCTCACTATAGCATTGCCAAAGCGCGGTGATTGCACGCCGGCTTGTGTAGGGCTCTCGTCGAATAATAGTCGGTTAACTATTCCGCACCTTGGGTCTTGTAGTTCGTACTGTAAGGGAGCTGAAGTGGCGCACTAAACCTGAACACTCGCTTCTCACTAATTGAACCTCCATGCACGGTGGGAGGACGTAGTTTAGAATACCGCGATTGTTGTTTAATTCGTAGTTGTATATTAGTGTATTATCATCATTGAATTTTGATGATCACACAATAGTTAGTTTGTAACTAAATTTAATGTCTTAATATTAAATGGAATTAGTTATGTTTCTGCATAACAAAACATAAAATTTTGCTTCATAAATAACTGAGATCGAGTTCTACAAAAAAAAAAAAAATAGACTTTAATTGTGACAAAACCAGTTATTGTGATTTAAAAACTAAACTGATTTCGATAAAAATTTTATAGGACCAATCTGTAAGTAATGACTGACTACGGTTGCCAATTCCCCTGCCAAGCGTGGTAACTACTGGCTGGTAAAACTCCCCAAAGGGGATGCTTATGTTCAGCAGTGGACAGTTAAAGGCTGATATGATGATGATGATGAATCTGTAAATAAGAAAATAATTTTCCAAATCGGTATATAATTGATCGAGTTATGAGGCAAAAAACATTAAAAAAATATCCAACCGAATGAAGAACCTCCTTCTATTTTAAGTTGGTTAAAAAGACTTCAAACTTGATAATGTTAATATATAATTAAGAATAAGATAATCAATTGATAAAAGTTTGATTAAAATTGCTTCGAAATTAGAGAAGATATTATATGATATACAAGTAATCCATTATAGTGAATTATGATATTCCTCCAATTTAAAATCCCAAAAAAATGCCAATATTTATGGAACTTAATTAGGGTACCTAATCTTTTTAGACTAAAAAATGATCAATATTAGAGCAATGTCGCGTAATAAAGATATGCATATATAAATACAATTGGCAAAAAATACTACAATTACATTGTCAACAAAATGCTTCGATTTAATTTAGTACGTAGATTTAGTAAGTTGTATTTTATAACTTACAAATTTTTTACACCTAGGTATACTACATCTAAGAAACTTGAGGCCTCGGTGTTGAAGGCACAGTATAAGCGGAAATTAGGCGCCTCAAGCAAGGCCAGTAAACGCTGCGACCCAACTGTCTGTAGCAGACCCGGAAAAGGACAAATGAGATTTCTTTGATCTGTCCATGCATGTTTATTTCGACGCAATCTGTGATGTAATGCATGACTGCCAAAGATATAGCATCATGTCTTATTACATGATTTTAATAAAAAAAAGTTCGTTGCTCTACAATAATTTAAGATTGTGTTCTACAAAAAAAGACCGACTTCAATTGTGAAAATACTAGCTATTTTGATTTCTAAACTATCAAATCAATTTTAAAAAAAAATTATAAGATCAATTTGTAAGTATATCCTTTTAGATAAAAAAAATAATTTTACTAATTGATTTTTAAGTGATGGAGTCATGAAGTAACAAACATATAAAAAAATATAACCTTATTGAAAACCTCCTTTGAAAACGATTTAAAAACAGTTATATCTTTCGGTCATTTTCACTTGTCGCGCATGCTTTCCTTTGGTAGATCGATGATTGGCGAGAATTCGTAGATATAATTATAATTGGACTGTCAAATCTTAAAATCATTAAACTAAATTTCTAATGTAAGAAGTATATGCATTTATTTCAACATTTATTATATAAATATTATATTTATTTATAGTGGATGTATTTATGTAATATTGTATTATATATTTTAATATTTTATTAAACTGTATACTTGTTTATATATTAATAGTTGTAGCACTTCAGCAGCCCGCTAATGACATACTTTCTCACTGTATTGGGTTGACTGGAAGAGATCTCTGTCAGAGATAAGCCTACACTTGCTCATAACATCTGTGTGTATATATATATATATATATATATATATATATATATATATATATATACTTGATTGAAAATATTTGAATTTTTAAAAACACAATATTGTGATATAAACCATTTTTGTTTTGTTTAGCTCCACAAAATTAATATAGACTAATAGATATAATTTTTATTCACGTTAATGGACACAAACAGCATGGTAAAAAAACATAAACAAGTATACTCGTACATAAAAAAATAAATCAGACGTCGTAGTTAATACAGGTAATAGGAGTAAGTCCTTAAAGAATTATCAAAACAGCAAATCAAATAGATTTGCTAATTTTAATACTTATTAAACAATAAAAATTGACAAAAAGAGTAATCTAATATACAATGCAATTAAATAGACTAAAAATAATTATTGTTCTAAAATAAAAGTTAACAAACAATCTGACAAAATAAATATTGATCAAAATAATAAAAGAAAAGAATACATGTAAGAACTATTTAAGGCTTTCCTTTTTTCCCTTTCAGCTTTCTTTTTGGAGGTTCTGGCATAGGCTCTAGCTCTGGCGGCGGCGTTGGTGGTAAGACCTTATCAGGCCATATCCGATTTATGTACTCACATATATTCACTAAATTTATATACTTTGCCTTTGCCGATTTGGGTCCTGGGAAGACATTCGCTAATTCAGCTATTAAGTCGCCATCTAGGGGAACATTTTCAGCATCTACTTTATCAATCAAATCTTTAACAGTAATAGCTTTTGGATATTCTTTAGTTAATCTTAAAAAGAATAAAGCTATATCAACTCTGCGTTTCTTGTCTCTCATACCCAGAAACTTTGCTCTGTTTAATATAACCTCTCTGGAATCTTGTCCATATACTGTCCAGTTTTGTATAACATGACCATGTTTTATAATGAAATTCTTACGAGATTTCATTTTCTTCACTCTGTCTAAACATATCATAAAGTTTTTATCTACACAAATATTTTCTAGATATAAATTTTCTATTTTAACTCGAGGTTTTAACATTTGTTGTAAAACGACAAGTGCATCATCAGGACTTAGAGGGTTAAAAGAGAGGTCAAATATTAAAAGCTTTTTAGCTTTAATTATATTACTGATCATTAGTGGAATAGACTCACCCCGAAACCTGTTATTGCTCAAATCCAGTAATGTTAATGTGGGTATAAGGAACAAGTTTGCAACAGCGCCTGCAATCTTTTCTCCTTCCATCGAGTTCCAAGAAAGATTTATTTCTTTTAGGACTTCGCTATTTGATAATACATCTAACATTTTTACTGTTGACGGAGAATGGAAAAAGTTATTCCAAGACAGATCAATATGTGTCAATGTATTCCTAAATTCCAGAGCGTCTGCAAATGCCAATGCAGTCTGTTTGCCTAATTGATTGTTACTTAGATTCACACGCGATATTGTCGCGCCCTGGGATATTTGTACGGCGAAATGTAAACCCCCCTCTTCACCTAAACAGTTCCGGCTAAGGTCAAGTGTAGTCAAATTTCGATTTATAGATAAGGTATCAATTAGTCGCAGGACGCCTGATGCTCCTATACGGCATCCAGCCAATATTAATTCTTTAATAGTAGCATTAGTTGTTAACATACTTCCCAAATGATAACATGCATCATCGTTTAGAAAATTGTCTGTTAAATTAAGACGCTGCACATGTTTATTATACTGCAATGCCATTGACATAGCGCGGACTCCAGGTGGAGTAACCCCATAGTAGCTTAGATTAATTTCTTGCAATAGTAAACTTTTAATGAACAATCGTACGGGACATACATTCATTTCTTTGCATGTGGCTAAATATAATTCCTGTCCGTTATCAGGATATATCACGGGTTTATTAGGAAGAGATAATGCCTCGTTGATGCCGGGATCAAGGACGGCTGGATAATTATAATAGACGTGCCTGGAAATATCACTGTCAGACATAGAGATATATTTACTGCATATTTCGCCACTACCGGGAGAGTACAGTCCTCGTGCGGCAAGAGATTTCTTTTTGTTTTCTGCTGAAAGCTCAATCACCAGAGAAGACCACTCACTCATTGGAGGATCTGAATCTGAACTCTTCTCTTCTATAATCTTATCTTGTTGAATTTGCGTATACTTAGAGCTGCTACTTGACGACATATTATTTAACTGGTCAACCTTTTTCGATCTAATTATACGTAAGCTAAACTGGTAGTTATTACAATAAAATGTAATTAGGTAGTCCTTAAATAAAAATATATTTTACAAAAATTAAATGTCAAAATATGTTGAGAAAAAATGAAAAAGAATAACTCTATAATGTCATTGTGACAATTTTTTATTGTTTTCTAAATTTAAAGTCAAAATAGGACTAAAGGAAAAAAATTATACAGACCTTATTCTCTAGACATTTTAGGTGACAGTATCACTTCTCAATAGTAGAGTCAACGGTTCGCAATTCCAAGTAACTAGTATAAAAAAAATCTTTGAGCATGCTCTATAGCCGAAGTTCAAACATTTGTGCGGTGGAAATGGAAAGTTTCACTCACACGGTTAATTACATCCTGGTCTTTACTTTGAGCGTCCGTGCCGCAGTCACCCTTTGGCGTCCACGAGTCGGTAATTGACAATCAAAACGCGCCCTTTACGCGACGAGAAACTTAGTTAGCTTCTCGATGTGCAGGAAAATTAGTAACGTAATAATGGGAGAGGGTAATAAGGTAATAGAGAGGGGAGGTCATCGCTGCAGAGGCCGATCGTGTCTGCCCCTGATCTAATTAAATGGCAATTCTCGCGGACTGTTCAAAGGTGATCTTGGCTTTCTAGCTCCTGAGCGGATATTGGATACCGTTAATGTATTTAGTAAATGTTCAATAAATAGACATATGCTTTCAAATAATAAAAATGTTTTTTCAGTTCACTTGATAAATATTCGTTATTGCATTAAGAAATACAGTAATAATAAAAATTTTAAATAATTGTGAAATTATCTCTAAAAAAGATTTCTATTACTTAATGGTAGAGTAAAAAAGTTACGATTAATTAATAAATATATTACAGATTTAATATAATTTAATGAGCACTTAAGTTATATACCTATTCTAATAGAAATTATTTCCAGCTAATTAATAGAGGCACTTGATCAAGTTGACCCCACTATCAATCACATCGGAATGACGTGTGGAGCGAGTAAATCCAACCCTTGCTTATTGCTGAGAGAGCATTACTGAAGTTTCACTCCAATGTAATAGCATAAAAATGGACGTTTTTATTGAGCCTACTTCTTTAAAGATTCTATACTAGAATTCGATTTTACATAGATTGAGAGACCGAACTTAGAAAGAATCGTACGATTACAGTAAGTATGATCTATTTTTTGTGTTTGTAACAGTGATTTTAAGGCATCCAATCCTAATAATATCGCGTTCGTGATTTATTGTTCAATCCAGAGGTTGACTAGTTGTTATTTAATGAGTGAAAATGTAATGGTAACTCCGCTTCTGCTATTCATATATCTTGCTGGGGCACTAGAGAGGGGTAATGGGTAAGGGTGAGCAGGTCAGTTAGTCCATTGTGATGAATTCCACAAGAATTAACCATAATAGTTTCTAGGACGAATCGCATGGAGGACGACTTAATAGGGTATATTGCTAGAAATGGAGCTCTTAGATTCCCATTACTAACAATCCTTTTCGCCCCAAGGTTGACTGGTAGAGAATACTACTAGCATTAAGTCCACCTTTTTTAACGTATTTTAATTTAGTCAATAAATTTATTTAAAAATCGAAGCCCTAAAAAATAATGTTTTAAAATTTTGAAAGTTAGCTGCATTATGATTATTTGTATGTACCTACGTAATATGTGACGGAAATTTGAACTAATTTTCATTGTTTCATTTCAAATGTTTACATTAACTGTTGGATGGAATTTATTAATTTTAATTGCATAATAGAAATTCTTTATAAAAATATTTAGGCAAAAATTTAATATAACAATATTTTTATATTAGCCGTGTGCCTCGACTTCGCACGAGTATATTTTTTTTAACATTTCCTTTCATACTACCTTGCCTTGATAATTACAAACACAATAAAAAAATTATCCAATGTGGTACAGGCGTTTTAAAGTGATGCGCTTATATATATTCCGCATACATATTTTTATGTAAACAGATTTTTGGCTGAACATAAGCTTTCGGCAATGTAGATGAGTGTTTAAATTTATCCTTAAATATTTAAATAATTTCTATAATCTTATTAAATTTAACAAAATCTATTGCAAATTTTAAAAATATTTATTTCATAAACATTTTAAAAATTATAATAAATTTACTCTACTCGTAAATTGTACTCACGCCATTCATTTATTAATTTATTTCTTAAAGGGTTTTGTTAGAATTAGCTTGCTATATACCTAACAATATATCAAACATTCAATTTATAGAACTGTTAATAGTTATTTATAGTTCGCCCACAGTATAATGAATACATTTCCGTCTGTCCGTCGAAACAATCGGGATAAATATCTCTCTCTCGATGATTTAATACGTGCCTACCGCCGCTGTAGCTGGAAATCTCATAATACCCAATCATCCGGGCGATCCTTAGGGAGCACTCGAATGCTCGGATCGCATCGGAATCGAGACGATTCGATTACGCACCTAAGTCCAGCATCTCAGAGGGTCAATAAAAAATGTAAAATCTATTACGTATTGTAAATCCGATTAGGAGCGTGCTAGAAGTTTAGAATCAATTAGAAAAATTTGGGAAAGATTTTCTTTGATTAGATTTGATCTACACCTTAAATTTTAATAGATTTATTGTAATTGTCTAGATTCGTAACGGAAAAGAAAGCGTTTTATCAATGATAATTTTCATACTTTATAATATTATGTTTTATTCTTAAATTTTATAATTATAGTGAGAAAATTTATGTTGCATAATTCTTGGTGTAGTGGTAACGGCTCAAGACTGTAGGTACCTATATTTCAATATAGGTACCTACAGTTTTGAGTCGTCCGATGGGTACGAGTTCCAACTTCGCGCAATATTTATATATAACATTTATTAATATATATTATATTATTTTACTGGCAATAATTTAATCACTGCAATGAAAAACAGAAAGAAACTTCGAAATAGGTATATATTTAGGTCAAAATGTAGTATATATATATATATATATATATTTGGTTTTTTGGTTTATTTTGGTTTGGTTTTTTTCTTAAATACATTCATAAGAGTTTTGTATCGTTTTCATTTTTCAATTTAACCTTACAATATAATTTCAACTTTGCACTAAATAATAAGTACAATATAGTAACCCTATCATGCGCACAAAGATAAAAATTTGACTTGTTTCTGTCACAGCATTTGTATGGCGACATTCTATCTATATAATCTAAGAAAATAAATTTGTATGATGACTAATAACAATAAAAGCCTTATGTTACAGTAGTGGTAGTCAACTATAAGTGCCGTTCAAAGGAATCTAATGAATTACTTGGCACACATTGTAAGACCCCGCTCTCTCCGTTCGAGTAAGACATAACTTCTCAAGTGACTTCGGCACTTCGGTCGACTTACAAAAGTTCCAGTGGAACGCCTCATCCCCTTTATACTCGCGACCTGTTGCATCCGGCAATAAAGTAAATCTGGGCTATCTTCCCTTGCCTCCGTTAAGACGTGGGGTGGCGCATAATATCACTACCTTCTATCCTCTGTTAAGACATTGAGAGAATGCATTCGGAAATTAGATTCTTTATTAACTTATCTATATTAATATTATATTATAACTATTCTTAAAAAATACAGAGGAGACTTGATTTATTGTATATATATATATATATGTTTGTTATAGATAATCTCAAAAACTGAACGACATTAAAATTTCTTTCGCCTTTAGAAATCTACATTATCAGCGAGTGACATACACTACACATTATTAAAAAAAAACAGAGTTACCTGCAAAAATTACAATAATGTAATCTACATTTTAAAAAATTGCCTATTTGTCGTACAAAAGCGGCAGTTTGACTAAATCCCAAAGTATATTTCACGTTATCCATGGTACTAAATATGTTTGCTATTCTTAACAAAAATCAGCTAATATTTTTTCGGGTACGTTTTGAATTTCCATTTGGTTTTAATAATTTACATAGAATTTTAGTTGACATCGAGTGTTTTTAAGTTTTATAGACTAATGATTTATGTGTTATTTTAAAATTTTAAGATTTCTATAGGAAAGAAATTGATAACTGTAATTTTAGATACACCAGAAGGAGACCACCATTTTACCAGAGGGAGACTTTGTACAAAAATCGTTTGCTTGGGCATCTCCGTCCCATTCGTGTTTCTACTTTCTTGTACTTGCCATTTTAAGTTGCATAAAAAAATATACAAGTGCATTAATTTATCGTCATCATTAAATCAGCCGTTAATTGTCCATTGCTAAACATAAGCCTTTCCCGTAACGGGAATTTTGCCAGTAGTTGCCACGCTTGACAGATTTAGCTTTTATTGTCATATAAATTAAATACAAAATTAGTCGTATAATGAATTAGCAAGAAGTATGTGTCAAGTAGTTACCTAGTTGTAGAATTAATGTTATCAACGGATGTCTCTCGTTGAACAATTGTGACAGTTAATAGTTTAAGAGATACTTAACATTCTAGGCATTTGTAACAGCTAGTTAGAGCAGTTTAGTCTTTATGAGATAAAAGTAACGAATTTAAAATTTCATCAGTTTTGAGAACAAACGGGACTTTCACCGTCTTAGTCCACATCATCGCTTACCATCAAGTAAGGCTGTAATCAATCGCGAGAGCCTTCCAATAGTAAAAAAAAAACTTCGTGTAATTCCTGATTGAAAGATATTATAATAATATAATAAACACAGTTAAACATTACTTAGTTATTTAAGTTAGTAAACATACAAGTAATTGAATATGTAATATGAAAAAGAGTTAAAGAAATCATACAAATACAAAAGACGTAAATAAAATAAATAATACACGTAGAAATTAAAAATAGTCTTACCACATGTTTCATACTGTTTCATCATATAAATTAGTCAAAATAATTTTGTCATTATTTACAATATATATATTTTATTAATAGTAATTAAACAAAATAGACACATATATACGCAATTGTCTTATAATGAGATCTACTATGAGTTCAAAGCAAATGGAAATATCTACTGGATTTATAATACGTAACTAAGTTTTGTAATAAAACAATGACGTATTGCCTCGAAGTTTCATAAAAGCGAATGGCGGGAGAATGCAGGAGTCTTAAAAGGCCAATTAGAGCACAATTTGCCTCGTCCTCCGGGGACCCGGGGCGCGGTGCCGATATGAAATTATTGCCCTACGACGCGCGCCGTATTGACGCGATCTTAAATTGCCATACTCTTCGGAGGAAGTCGACTGAAAAAATTGCTTCTTAAATACATATTATTGTTATCTGTTATGAGTATTTATTGAATTGATCCTTTTACTTTTTATAGTTCTGATTTCAAAATCTAATTTAAAGTAGGTATTACGAACAATTTAATAAAATATACACTTGTCTACGTACCTATTATTTAATTTATATTAAGAGAATTTGAATTTGGAATTAGAACTTTTTTATTTCGTTTTGGCGCGAAATTATCTTCTAAATTTCTAATCAGACATAAACAACCTAAATTCCTTTTACTAGGATTTAAATATTAGCAGAAAAATACATACAATATTTCTCTATTGCTATTTTGCTATTACTATTTACAACATAATTAGTCAGAAAAAATAAAATTTAAAATTATTTAATTGTACCTGCAAATTGTCATTTTACGAGTATATTTAACGTTGTCAACTTCGTAATAAATAATTTTAAGCTCTATTAAGTAAAATTTAAGGTAAAAAATAAAAAAATACATCTGGTATGAATTGGTGTAAGTAGAATCAGTTCTCGATGATATGAATTTTTTTTCTGTTATCACACACAGGCGCTTTCCTGGTGCCATATTGCATCATGTTGGTGGTGGGTGGGATCCCGCTATTCTACATGGAGCTGGCACTGGGACAATTCCATCGGAAGGGTGCCATCACTTGTTGGGGCAGACTTGTACCACTATTTAAAGGTAAGCTTAGGAGGATTAATAACATGAGGACTAGTTCCTAAGTTTTTTGGCTAAAAAATACTTTAACAAATCATTAGTAATTATATGACATACACGTATAATTATGGTATATACGTAAAAATAAATCAGATGTAATTAATTAGCATAGTAATACAATTAACATTTTTTTTTATATACATTTACATTAATTTTTACCATTTTATTTTCATTAAAACATAATAAAAATAAAATTGTAACTCCGCCTGCATTATCTATGTGCTTTGGCGGAGCAATAGGATAATTTTAGATTATAAATAAAATATAATAGACGAGGATCAAAGCAGATTAGATACTCCATCGTGGCGAATTCGACAAGAATTAACTATGACGGTTTTCAAGGGGGAATCACGTGGAGGTCGATCTGATAGGATATTTTGCTAGCAAATAACGGTGGTAGTTAGACCCTATTACTAACATACCTTTCCCCACAATTGACTGAAAGATAGGCCAGAGATCACTATTTCAATTATATTTTAGAGAATACGATATACCGTCTAGAATATTTAAATATAAAATGATAGCCTGGTCAGGTAGAGTTCGATGTTTAAAATTTTTGGACTGTTTTCGTTCTTAGCCAAATTAAGTTGCATTGCGAAACAATAAAACAGATTATGTTTTTCTAGAAAAGTAACAAACGAAACGCGTAGATAAGTTTTCGTTGGTTCGTGAGAATGAACGAGACGCCGGACGTTGCTATCTCTTATATCTAGCGATAAATATGTTCACCACTTGTATAGTGAAATAGAAAAACTTTAAGAAAAATCTAGAAGTAGGGTACTAAAACTACCTATTATATTTCTCAATCGGTTATAGTTTCATAAATGGCAAGGTCACGTAGAGCGAAATGGAGTCGCGGTGTTCCGTCTGAGATCTTGACTTATTGCCTGCTCTTTGCCGCAGACAGTTATTGCAAATGTAGCTCTACCCGCCGGAGTGGTCTTGAAGTTAAGCTTTATTGCTCCACACTCCAATAACGATATGGATAATGCTAAAGTTATAATACATTTTACCAGAGGGAGACTTTGTACAAAAGTCGATTGCTTGGGTACGTCTGTCCCATTCGTGTTTCAACCGTGAAGCAGCTGTGTTTGCATGGCTGTGTTTCGGTTTGAAGGGTGGGATATGGCGTGAATTTACAGGGTACAGAGGAATAACACCTGAGTCCTCAGGAATGGCAACGCATGGAGGGTATCATAGGTGAAACAGTAAACTCTGTTATGTCCATGGTACTGCTCATGTCTATAGGCGACGGTTACCACTTTCCATCAGGTGGGCCGTCAGCTTGTTTGCCATTCTAAGTAGTATAAAAAAAAAAACCATTTTATAAAATGTTTCAAAGTTATGAAATTAATAATAAGGCTTGATAACAGTGTTATTAGAAATACTGAGTAATTTGTAGTGTAGTATCAATAGTAAACAATAATAGGAATGGAAATAAAAAAAAAATCATGTTTATAATGTGGTAGTCAAAAGCATTTGTTAAAATAATTTGAAGAAAAAAATATTAAGCATATTAATTTATGCGTAATATTTCGATAAAATTTTGTTTTATATAACTAAATGTGTTCCATAAATTAAAAACTATCTTCAATTGTAGCAAAACTTGTTATTTTGATTTCAAAACTAAACTAATGAATCGATTTGTATAAAATTTCTATGGAACTAATCTGTAAGTATATGTTTTCATATAAAAAAAGATTTCCCAAATAGGTTTACAATTATCGGAGTTATGAGGTAACAAACATAAAAAATACAACCGATTTGAGAGCTTCCTTTTTTTGAAGTCGGTTTCAACCCTTTTTCAAAATAGTTTCAACGTACCTTAATATAAAGATACAAACGATTTGCGAAATTTTTCAGTATTTCATCTAATATATCATCGTCAAATCGTTTCTTAGTGGGTAACAAGTATCTAAATATCTCTATAAATTTCCACGTTTATACTATTCATAGAGTATTATATACTTATCTACTCTTGACATATTTAGTAAAAAGGGTCAGTATTTAAAAACAAAACAGAAAATAATAATATGCAATAACATATATGTAACCAATTAATACAAAAACCTCTTTATTTTAATTATTCCTTCCTCTTATTCACTATGAAAACATGTGAAAATAATTTATTAATTAAAAAAAACAGATTATACAAAGATATTAATTAAAATTATTTAATATAATATTTATTGCATTTAAAAAAAAAAAGATATAGCTATTAATTTCATTGAATATGATTAAAATATTTCGGCGTATGTCGCAAAATATACAAGATCCGCGATGCAGTGATAAACTTCGTTACCTATTCCTCAGATGCGATTGAAGCAAGGTATGATACGAGTCACCGCGAGTGCCGCGCCCCCGCACTTAGCGTCCATAATTGACACCATTTCCAAGGCGCCCCTTAAGTGCTCGTCCCATACGGTCGGCTCTCAAAAGACCCGGTAGATTTGCGGGGCCGGCTTATGCCAGTGATTTCATTTCAGCCGATTGTCACGTCGCCCTACTGAGTGCCGGCGACGATATGATTTTTGAAGGGAAATAAAATTGGTAATGGACTGGAAAGATGCTATAGAAACTGTGGTCGTATACTTGTCGGCAATATGACTCGGTTTTGTTCTTTGCAATAAAAAAGCGTGGAAAAAAGGCTTTTTAGTAGTAATAACATAATTTTTCTTCTATCGTGCTCTCCTTTTTACCACGAGCACGCTCAACTGTATTTCAAATTATTTTGTAATTGAATAATTAAAAAAAAATAACCTTATTTATGCCAAAGAATTTTGCACGCCTAATTTCATGACGATAGGTTAGGATTTCATGACGCACGTTTAAAAAGTAATTTATTTTCTAAACATTTAATTATTATTACATCATTAGAAAATCTTTTTAACTGTAAATTGTTATAGAAATTTTATTAAAATATAGAATCATTTTCTAATATTCCTTTCATTTCGAAAGTTTTCAATAGTATAATAATTATATTGGTAAACGATTTTTATGTTTTAGTAATATTTCTATGAATAAACGTTAGGTATTTATTCAAATTTTGAATGGCTGCATAAGGTATCAGTTGTCATATGGTCGCGACATAGAATGGGTCACCCCTTCCTCTCCCGTGGGTATCGTCAGATGCAACTAAGGGACCTTAATGTTTTTAAAACGTTACCAAAGTCTAAATGCGGTTGTCAATCCGCCTGCCAACTATTGGTAAGTCCCCCCTTATGGAGGAAGCCTATGTTCTGCAGTGATAAAATAATTTTGCATCATTTATAATAAATCAGGTTCTAATTTAATGTTACACATAACATGTTGCTTTTTCATGTAAAAAAAGCGAGCTCTAATGTTTTATATAATAAATTTAATAAAAAAATTTACGAATGCCGACTATATTATTATTAGCTATATGTATATTATTATAATTTGTGTTAATATTAATTAGTTAGTATAGTTTATAGGTAATGTAGGTTTGTGTATTTTTCTCTGTGTTGTATAATTCAAATAAAGTTTACGCATTAATTCATTTATTAAGTTACTTATATTATATTTAATTCAATTTAGTACGCAAACAATTTACTTACTTATATTCTCTTTTCAAGTTTGTAAAGTCGCTTGTTATAGCTAGTTTTGGATTATATCCACAGGAATCGGATACGCCGTGGTTCTGATAGCTTTCTACGTGGATTTTTACTACAATGTGATCATCGCTTGGGCTCTGCGTTTCTTCTTCGCTTCCTTCACCACGATGCTGCCATGGACCAGCTGCGACAATGAATGGAACACTCCCTCTTGCCGACCGGTCAGATATATAAATAAATAAATATACTTACGACATTATTCAATTCAAGTGGAGTAATCAGAGACTGCTTGAATGTTGCATTGCTACACTTTGCTGTACATTTTTAATCCAATGTAGCAATAGGCAGCCCCATATTGCCGTCACTTGGATTAATAATATATTTTCGATCACTTATCTTAATATAGACACAGTATAAATATCAATACTGAAGTACCTAATATAAGTATAAAATAACATTATTACATATTGATATTGTAACATTATCCTGTTACAATGTTCCTTTACGCAAATATCCGAAACTGCATAATAAATTTTAATGTGTAAATTTATTTTTTCATTAATTAGAGAAATAGGATGGGTTTCTCGATAGGAAAAAATGAATCTGGTAAGTATCAGTAACAAGAAAAATAACGTTTGCTAGGTTAGCTAGATATTGCATAACTTTCGTTGGTAACAACTACTTAAGTGTTCATTCACCCTGGACATGGGTATCTCCTCTTAATTAAACATTATTATATCGTATTAAAAAAAACAAGCCTGCAATTACTGTTCTCACTATATTAATATTTGCAGTGAAGAGAATCTTTTAATAACAGTATGAGGTTCTTTAAAAAAAGTATATTAAGGTTTCGTCTTACGCAACACTAAATATATAATTATAAATAATTAAATAAAAACAAATAAATATTTAAATTAAAAAAGTGACTATTATAAAATGTTTATATGTATTACAGTTTGAAGCTGTATGGAATACTACTATCATTGCCAATAAATCTCGTTCAAGAAACAATAGCACCTCTTCGACCGTGGGCCCTGCACAAACCCCTCCATTTACATCTGCCGCTTCGGAATATTTTAAGTTAGTCATTTTTAATAATATTAAGTAAATATTATAATTTTTTAAATATATATAATGTTATTTGCCGTGTGGTCCTGGCATAGATTTTTTTTTATTTTTTGGTGGGTGAAAATGGTATGGTAACCCCGCCTGCGTTAACGGGATATGCTGGCGGAGCACCAGTGAAGGGTGATAGATGAGAATGAAAACAGGCCAGTTAGCCCATCATGATGAATTCATCAGGAATTAACCATGACAGTTTCCAGGGGGAACCGCGAGGAGGTCAGCCTGGTTGAGTATATTGCTAGCATTGGGATTCTCAGCCCTCATTACTAACAATCCCTTTCCCCTCCCTGGCATAGATTAGGCCACCTTTTCTTTTCCTAAGGGAACTTTATGGTAGAGGGATGGACAGCAGCGCAGCAGCAGCGCTTGTTCGCGCAAGAGGTGTTTTAACACCTCTAAAAGCCTAACTGTGGTTGCCAATTCGCCTGCCAAGCGTGGCAACTACTGATAAAATTCCCCTTATGGGGAAGGCTTGTGTTCATCAGATGACGGCTGAAATGATGAATGACGAAATATTATAATTAAGTATATACAATATATTGCCGTGTGGTCCTGACCTAGAGTGGGCCATCTCTTCTTTTCTCGTGGGTGTCATAAGAGGCGACTAAGGGTCACTGGTCGAGGGATGGGCAGCAGCGCCGCTCTTAATACATCACCAAAGCTTAACTGCGGTTGCCAGTTCGCCTGCCAAGCGTGGCAAATACTGGCAAAACCCTTGAGGGTAAGCCGATGTTCAATAGTGGACAGTTAACGGCTGATATCATCACCTTTACAACGCAGAATCTGAGAGGAGAGAGGGCGTACAATAATTCAATATTTACTAATGAGTATTTATGAAATTGAATGTTTAAGTCTTCTCAAAAATTAAGTACGGATAAGGAGATTTGTTTTCTTAATGCTATGATTATTGAACGAATTTTTAATAGAGTCTTCATTTAGATATTACGGGAGGATCCCTGATGATTTTTTGTTATTATAATATAAAGCTTTTGTAATAAAACAATAAATTGAGTTGTAACCAAGGCACGCAAGAAAGAAAAAAAAATTTGATACTTTATATATATTGCTTTTTTGTGTATACATTATTTTATCTCTTTACTGTGTATGTCTGTTGTTATTTGTGTGTTGTAAATAATCCATATAAATTATTATTATTAAAAAAAAAGATTAATTTGAAATTAGCACCTAAATTGTTGTTTACAGTCGTGCAATATTGGAGCTTCAAGGTAGCGAGGGTTTACACGATTTGGGCGCAATCAAATGGGACATGGCGTTGTGTTTGCTCGCAGTCTACATCATCTGCTACTTTTCACTTTGGAAAGGCATCAGTACTTCTGGCAAAGTATAATGAATATTTTATATACATGTATAAATAAATATTACTCTGTGTGGTCCCGGTAAAGAATAGGCCATCTCTTTCATTCCCGTGGGTGTTGTAAGAGGCGACAAAGGTATTTTAATGGTCGAGGGATGCGGAGTAGCGTCCCTCTTAAGACATCATCAAATCCTAACTGCTGTTGCATATATATATATATATATATATATATATATATATATATATATATATATATATATATATATATATATATATATATATATATATATATATGGCTGTGTTTCGGTTTGAAAGATGGGATATGGCGTGAATTTACAGGATACAGAGGAATAACACCTGAGTCCTCAGGAATGGCAACGCATGGGGGGTATCATGGGCGAAATAGTATACTCTGTTATGTCCATAGTACTGTTCATGTCTATAGGCGACGGTTACCACTTTCCATCAGGTGGCCCGTCAGCTTGTTTGCTATTTTAAGTTGTATAAAAAAAATAGTTTAAGTTAAACTTGCTTTTCTTGTTTTCCAGGTGGTATGGTTTACAGCTCTTTTTCCTTACGCGGTGTTACTAATCCTTTTTGTTCGCGGCATAACTCTCCCAGGATCTGCTAACGGCATCCAATACTATTTGAGTCCAAACTTCGAGGCGATTACGCAACCTCAGGTAATAAAAACTTAAATCCAAATTATATATTTAAAAAATTACATATATTTTGAAAGATATAGTATGAGCTTTGATACTGAGTTTTAGACAAATGTCTTTGTTATCCAATAAATTATATCGTTGTGCAGGTGTGGGTAGACGCGGCGACACAAGTATTCTTCTCGTTGGGACCTGGATTTGGAGTACTTCTCGCTTACGCATCATATAACAAATACCACAATAACGTATATAAGTAAATACCCTTTTTTATCTACTTATCTACATTTTGCTTTTTCCATGTTTTTTATTTTGAGATTTTGATGCGAGAATTTGTTGGATATAAAATTTTAAGTCTAAAAATGTATAATAAAACTTTATCAACAAGATAATAATACCTAATTTTCAACTTTTCGCTTCTTTACTTAGTAATTATATGTAAATTACATATGTTTTATAGAAAATTCCTATAAACCTGTATGGTAATTCATTTTTGGCATTGATTGTACTAATAAACAACATTTGACTTTGTCTTTTGTATGAAAGCAATTTACTTACCTTTGTAGATACCTTTGTAGTACTTATGTTTTACTGCTGCACAGCTGTGTTGCATGTCTTATTAAATTTTCATATATTGTGCTGCATTTCATTTCATTTATAGCTATATGTAACATAGTACTCAACGTTCCTAAAGAAGTTTTTAGTTGTTACTAAGTTTATGTAATTAATTATTCATTTTGTTTGTAAACAAATTTTTAATCTTTATAATCTGCATCATTCTTTGAAAGAAACAATAGTTTTCATTTATTCATTGATTCACCTCAAAAATTTAGGTAGTAATAATAACTAGTCATTTGTCTTTCTATTCTTTCAGAGACGCTCTCCTAACCAGCGTGATCAATTCGGGCACCTCATTCGTGGCCGGCTTTGTTATCTTCAGCGTACTCGGCTACATGGCGAAAGCTTCTGGAAGAGATGTTCAGGATGTAGCGACGGAGGGCCCCGGACTAGTATTCGTCGTTTACCCAGCCGCTATAGCCACCATGCCCGGCTCTACTTTCTGGGCTTTGATCTTCTTCATGATGCTATTGACACTCGGTCTTGATAGTTCTGTAAGTCGAAACATGTTGATTTTACTAGGTAATATTATACTATATATATAATATAATATAAGGTAATATTATACGTTATACTATCATTTTATAGAGCCTATGTGTTACCTTTGCGATATCCCATGGTTCAAGAAATCTATAGTCTCCGAGGCTTGGCATGAGCCGTTCTTAGTAGACTCATACGCATACTTGCTATCGAATGACAGTTGCAAATCACATGTTCTACGGATTCCGAGAGATAACTTCTTTGTAACTATGTTATAAAATTTGGCATAGGTACAAAGAAATAAAGAGAAGTAAATACTAAATAAATACCTAAATAAATGGTCTAATATCCCCATCCCGTACATACCGTGCCGTGTGGTCCCGGCATAGAATAGGCCATCACTTCCTTTCTGTGGGTGTCGTAAGAGGCGACTAAGGGAGGGCGAGGGATGAGCAGCAGCGTTCCTCTTAAAACGTCTCTAAAGCCTAACTGCGTTTGCCAATAAGCCTGTCAAGCATCGCAACTACTGGCAAAACCCCTCAAAGGGGAGGCTTATGTTCAGCAGTGGACAGTTAAAGGCTGATATGGTTATCACGTACATACAGCAGGGATAGATAGTAGGTACCTATTTGTATATTTTAGATAAATACTAATGTTTCTTATTTACCTTTACAGTTCGGCGGTTCTGAAGCGATAATAACAGCACTGAGTGACGAGTTCCCTCCAATCGGTCGTCACCGGGAACTGTTCGTGGCATGTTTGTTCACTCTATACTTCTTCGTGGGCTTGGCGTCTTGCACTCGAGGCGGTTTCTACTTCTTCCAACTGCTGGACCGATACGCTGCGGGTTACTCTATACTGGTTGCTGTCTTCTTCGAGGCCATAGCTGTGTCCTGGATTTATGGTAAAATTATTGGATTCTTTTCTACGTGGGTATCGAGCGGATCTAGGGGTCCCATCGCTATCAATATACCCTTGCTAGCGATGGGGCCACTAGATCCATTACTAACAATCAATTTTTTCTTCCCATGTAAAGTACTTGAAAAGATAGGGATAAGGGGATAGAGATAAGTACTAGCGACTATACAGGGTATAATGCCAAAAATGGGACCCCTAGTCCTTGTTGCCCCATTGTAGGTTAATTTTCAGTCTTCCTGAACTACATCCACTTTGGAAAACATAGTAACCATTAATTAATTAAATTCACTTCTTCTTCTCTGTCATCTATCACAGGTAAACCCACTTCCCTAAACAAATAACGCTGGGGGAGTTACAATTTTATTACCATCCATTTATAAAAAATACTATGACAAAAGTTATATTTCCATGAAAGTTTGAAATAGGAACGTTCAGGTATAGAAAGATTCTGCTAAGATTTGTCATTAAAAAAATACCTATAACCAAAATGACATTCTCAATCATCCTATATCCAGGTACAGAAAGATTTTGCGAAGACATCCGGGACATGATCGGCTTCCGGCCTGGACTATACTGGCGCGTGTGCTGGCGGTTCGCAGCTCCTCTCTTCTTGCTTTTCATCATTGCGTACGGTCTCTTGGACTATGAGCCCCTGCAGTATGAAGACTATGTGTACCCTGTCTGGGCTAACGCATTAGGATGGGCTATAGCCGGTTCCAGCGTCATGTGTATTCCGACCGTCGCTATTTACAAGATTATCACCACTAAAGGGACTTTCTTTGAGGTATGTTCACATTTTTTTATAACGCATGGGCAAATTTGCATGTAGCTCAGCTGATGGTAAGTAACTCATCATACCAGCCATTGTCTGATCACTGCTGAATGTAGGCCTCCCCTATAGACATGTAAAGCATAATATACCAGTACAAGAGAAGAAAATCTCAAAATAAAACCTGATACTAAACTGCCTTGCCAGCATTGATTGTAGACAACGCCAATCTTTTTTGGGAAAAACTCCATACCCAGCAGTGGGGTGTTAATAGACTCAGATGTGTGTTACACAAGGGATTGAAAACAGCGCAGTTTCTTTTAATAAGAAACTTGCTAAAAATAATCCAAGCACCTTCCTTCCTCATCTTTATCAGCTCAAATATATGATTGTATTATTTGTCAATTTCTTTTAGCGGTTACGTATCCTCACGACTCCATACGCGGACACGGAGAATAACGGTGCGGTCCACAACGGCGTGATAGTGTCAGAAAGCGGCGGAGTACGGCTGGCCTCAGCATGTCACACCCCCACCTCCCCCCAGCCACCCTCCTCCACTACCCCGACCCTCACTCCCACCGCTCCTCCTATATCCTCCTCCGCCGCGCTCGTCTGAGCACAACTCTCCTTTGACGTCTACTACGTCTAGAACCGTCTAGACTGGCAACACTCCCGAGTTGTTATGTCCCGTTGTCTTTATGTTAAAAGCATTATAAATCATTTCATATGCGCGAAGACTATTTACTTTTAATAATAATCTTCAATCATTATCGTACTATTCTTATTTCATACATATATATTTCGTATTTCATACATATATATTTCGTATTTCATACATAGTATAAAAAATATGGGTATAAAACTTTTGTAAACAATTCTATATTTTGAAATATTTTTAGATTGGTAGTACTTGTAATGGAAATCAAATAGGATGTATCTTTAATTAATCGATTAATAATGTTAATTTTATTTATATAAGTAAGCAATTATCAAAGTATATAAACTTAGCTAACCTGTGCGATGTTTGCGTACAAAAGTATTTAGTGTCAAAAATTATAATAAGTACCTATTCATCCCTACTGTAGACGGTTAAATTTAAATGTTTGAGAACGGAAAGTTGAAATGTTGAGAGATCCGTGATGAGCTCCTAAACTAGGCATATATTGCGTCTACATGCAATAATTATCTATGAAACCATATTGAAGAAAAAAGTTTTGAATATTGATAATTTATGGTTTCATTCCCTTCACTCACATTACATTTTTAAATATTACAAAACTTGTGATTAATTTTAATGTTATTGAATTATTATGCGATGCTAATAAAAATACTTTTATTTTATATTTTTAAATATAACATAAGACATATTAAACTAATTAAGTAAAAGGGTTAGATTAAAAGGGTAGTTAAAATGGATTAAGTAATGACTGTTTGTATGATAAGCTCGGCAGCTCGTGCAATGGGGTCAAGTACCTTAAATGTAAATATTTAAGAAAAAAAATGTTTAATTAAACAAATCGTGTGTTACTCTTATATTTACGGTATATAATGTAGCTTATAATAAGTATTATAAATGTCTACTATTTGACATCTATAGTTATGTATAATACGAATATAATTCAGCAAACCGTCGATGTGTTTAGTGTTAGTTTCTATAGATATTATTGGTCACAAGCATTGAGGTTGAAGCTGGAACAACTACATTAATTCACTATCCACCGATTTTTAGCATATTCTGTGTTGTAGTGTCTATGGTCAGAGACTATCCCCCTTATTTATGGAAACTAAAACCTACGAATCTATTTTATCTACATATTATACTGTTTTGTCACTTTCAAATTAGGAATTTAGCACAAGAGACAAAGCAGTTTAATAGCTATAATAGGTTTATTAGAAGTTTGACATTTTTAGAAATAAGGGGGTACATATTTTACTAATTATATTAAAATATATAGTCTCTGGTATATTGATATTATTTTGATTTGAATATTTCCCCGTACACATTCGGTGGCAGTATTTTAAATAATTTTACTTCCCATCATATCGAATATTAAATCCAAAGGAAATATATATTAATTTACTTTTAACATAAGGTTGTATATTTCGGAAACGTGTATTGTAGCATTAATAAAAATAGTATAAAATGTACGTTATAATATTATATATCTACTTACTTATCCATTTTAAAACGTACATTTTTAAAGTAGAAATTTCTGTAGGTTGTTACCAATAGATATTTACATAGAAGAATACTATAAAATATGTCTATCTCCTTCGTATATAAGTATATAATATGATTTCTTCTTATCTCGTTAGAGAGAAGTTAAATACTTACAAAAAATATTTAGTCCTAGTGTTGTTATTAAAACTAAATTGTTATGAATACTTATTATCAAATAATCATAAGAAAAATGAAATGCTGTGTAGATAATAGAAAACAGTAGTATTAATTAAAATAGGTACATTCAATGTTATTATCACGTATACTAGTATAATAAATGTTCATATACCCACATACATGTACCAATACATATGTATGTCATTTCGCCTAAATATATACATGTTATAATTATATTCACTTATGAATGTATTAATTATTGGACACCTATAAATGTTTACTCATCCTTCTTCTCTAAATGTTATGGTTATTAAACGTTAGGTGCTCCATTTTTTTTAGACAGAATACTTTTAATTTACATATTTTTATTTATTTGCCTACCATTCATCACTCCGTCCTGGGCAATGCGGACTGATGAATTGTAAAATATTTTAATTAGTATTGACAGAGACTGTATACATATTACTCATAAATAAAATATATAGTCTCTGGTAATTATTTATATCATACTTATTTATCAATGGTTCTTCCAAAAATTAGGCTGTGTGCACTGTATTCTACACATGCTACACTCGATTTTATTCTGTGGTTTAATGGAGTAGTTATAGATTAATCTTTTCACATAGTAAAAAATTGCTTGTATGCATTTAACAATTTTAAACCAATATTATTGGGTATATTAATATTAATCTCACGATACTAGTGTTTCGTAGCAGTAATGGTACCATTTTCAATGTTCTTCAAATATTCGATGTTAGATTTCAATGTGGCGAGTAATTATTGTCTCTATTATAGTTGTTGATATTATATGCTCACGATCACTAGTCATACCAGCCATTATGACTACTGATTTTAGAATAAATTTGTTTATACTTACTGTAGACGTGAGTTTCATTTAAAACCTTTTATGAAATTTAGTTGCACGCAGTTGTAATTTTGAGATTATCCTCTCAAAATTACAACTGCGTGCAACTAAATTTTTAACTCCTCTGTCTGCATCTCCTCTATCATCACTGTATCACTTTTCGAAGATCGCAGGTTCGATACCTACAAAACATATTTATATGAATTCTCTTTTATGGCTCTGGATCTATTCTTTACCTATTTAGCTAAATGCGTAATATATGCAATATTAGGCATTGTAACTTGTGGTTTCGCCAATGAGATTACAGTCGTGACCATTAATTTAAATTTAATTTATTCATAATTCTTTTAGCTTTCTAAAGGTTGAAATTATAAGTATGTATATATGTATATATCGATAATGTATCTGGAACAGTAGAAAGTTAATTATAAATAGATAATACTAATTAATTTTTGATATCTTTCAATTTTTATATATTAAATTCATTAGCATTCTCTTGAAACTATGATACTGCCTCTGCAGAGCAATTTAATAGCTAAAAGTATTATTTTTATTTCAATTTTTTTTTCTTATAAATTGCAATACCGTTGTTTATCGCAGAAAAGCTAAGAACGATTTAAAAAAAGTATATTTAATTTATCCAGCAATTAGAGAACAATCTTGCTACATAATATAATAATTTTCTTAGTTATTAGTAATTTAATATTTTTTTGTGATTAAAATATTACTTTCGAAAAAGAAAATTAAATTGTTAAATATAGTGACAATTACTTTTATATGGATGTAACAACGAAAAATTAATAAATTTTGATGAAAAATTTAGTAATCGTTGATAAATTGGTGGCACATTTAATTTGCACAATGTTTGCTGTTACTGAGAATAAACTATAGACGATTAAACAGTAAAGTAATATTGTGCAAGATGAAGAAAAACAAAAATCACGTGTTAAGATTTTTTCAAAATGTTCTTAGTCTATGACGGCAAATTCCAACTCTGACATTGACATTTAATGTATTGACACTTAAACTAAAAAAAAAAAAAAAATGACTTTTGATGGCGATCTCGGAATTGTGTGAATATCGGCATCTGTGGAACGGCAATTTTATAGAATTTTCTTGTTGCGATTTAATATTTCTATTTAAATTTATTATTGTAGTGTAAAATCGATATGGAGTCTAAAGATGAAGTAAAATCTAATACGGAAAAAACTATATTTGACGCGATCGCTCAAGGCGATTTAACGGAATTCAAAAATATTTTAGCGCAACATAAGGGCGGCGTCGATTTCTTTGACGAAAATGGTATGACTGCTCTTCAACATGCAGCATATAAGGGGAACAAGGATATGGTGCAATTGCTGCTCGATAGAGTAAGTGTTTACAACTTCAAATTACAATTATTCTAGAATAACCTATCGACAATAAATGTTGGTATGTAATGTAAAAAATCAATTATTTATGATATCAACTTTATCTCGTTATCCAAAATTGACAAACGAATATTCTGCGAATTTAATTCAAATCATTTTAGTATGTAATATTTTGATTATTAGTACATTAAAACATTTCTATGTACCCAATTACTGCTAAGTACTATGTATTGCTTCTGCATATTATCTTAAAAGACCGGCAGTCCATTATGGATATCAAGCTCATTATATTGTTATCTTCATATCAGCTGTTGTCCACTGTTGAACTTAGGCCTTTCCTAAAAGGGTTTTACTAGTAGTTGCCATGCTTGGCAAGCAGGTTGGCAACTGCAATTTAGCTTTGGTGATATTGTAAGAGGAATGCTTCTGCCCATACCTCAACCATTAAGTTCCCTTCATCATCTCTTACGGCAATCATGGGAAAAGGAGGGGTAGCTCATTCTTTACAGGGATCACACAGCATAGAATCGACCATGTCAGTAATAATATTTAAAAATATTAGTACTGACAACTCTGATAGAATGTATGATAAATTTTTTTAATACTTTTTCAAAAAATGTAATTTCATTTTGTTTTTGTTCAATTCTAGGGTGCAGATGTAAATTCTGGGAAACATGAGTACAACTATACAGCATTACATTTTGGTGCATTATCTGGCAGTTCTGAAGTTTGCAAATTACTACTGGATGCTGGTGCCAAGCCTACTGCTACAAACTCTGTGGGACGAACTGCTTCACAAATGGCTGCTTTTGTTGGAAATCATCACACTGTAGCCACTATCAACAACTTCATACCTCGCAGTGAAATTGCTTACTATTCTGTACCGCAAGGACAACAAACTGAGCCATATTTGCTTCCTATTTTAGTTGATCCTCTCCACAAGTTTGTTTTGGGTGTCAATATTCACCCTGTCCGATTAGGCCTCAATTTGCAACATACACCTAGTTTACTAGAGAATGCCGATGCAGTAAGCAAAGTGCTTGAGATGCTATGTAAAAGAGAAATGACACGAGGCAGTGAAACAAATGAGGTGATGGCTTTCAAATACCATTATCTCTCATACATTGTTAGAGAAATCAATAATATAAGAGATAAACAGAAACCTAGTTCTGAAAAAGAAGACAAGAAACATGATATTGTTGAAGTATTCTCTAAAAAGCTATTAAAACCTGGTAAAGATGGTGTCTCCTTAGATTTGATGGATACATTTCTCAAGGATTGTGTGAGGGAGTTTCCATTCAGAGAGTGCACAACATTTCACCAAATGGTGTCTTCATTGACTAGTAAAAATCCTCCTTCTGCATTATCTGTTATAAACTGTACAATTAATGGGCAACGTGGTTTTGTTGACGCTATTCCTTATTGCAGTACATGTGGAGAAGAAAAACCAGCTAAGAAATGCTCTAAATGTAAGTCTGTGCAATATTGTGACAGAGAATGTCAACGTTTACATTGGTTTGTCCACAAGAAAGCATGTAATAGAGAATGCAGTACACCCAATTCTGCATCTAATGCAAAAGTTGCTATTGATACCAATGAATTGAGTTCGGAGCTTCAAAATCTTGTAGCTGGATAGACTTTAAAATGTAATTGTGACATATAAATATTATTGATCTATTTCCTCACTTTATTGTAATTAAATGTGTATGTATAAATGGAATGGCTGCTTACTTTATTTCAGAATATAGAAAACATTTACAACATATCTTATTTTTTATTTATTTATATTGAATTTAAGACTATACACTTCTCACTAGAAAACAGTGTATAGTATTCAAAATGTGGCAAAATTGATAGAAACAGAATTCATACTTAATTATAAAAGATTTTAATATACATAGCTAATATATAATTGGTGTTTTATATATATCATGAATTATTTCTCTCTGCCTATCTTACAAGGGGTCTGCTGCGAAGATGCAAGTAGTAATTAGCGTGTTGTTGCTTGACTTTCACCGGATGTTTCTTGATCCTGTCGTAGTTGTATGAATATTCATTATTTGAAGTCCTATAATCTATATATATAGTCTGAGAAATCCCTAAAAGTGTGAGAGTTTGATTCCCGCATAAAATTTGCATTTATGAGTATGTATATTTATATTGTATGGATGCTACGCGTGTAACATTATAAAAAAAAGGTTGATACATCACTTGTACCTCTTACAACCTTGTACCCCATAGTGCATACATTGGTTTTTAACTAGGTGGCGCTGGGATATGTCCAACCTTATTTAAATATTCCGATTTGATGTAAAGTTTTACCTCGTAAAAATAACAAATTGTAAAGACAAAACATAAATTTTGTAGCTACTTATTTTAAAAATTCGATGAAGACCAATCTTAGAGCTTAGTATGGAAATAGTCTCTTTATACCAGAAAAAAATCATCATGTAGTTATACTATATTCCTTCATTTAAAACAGGCCTTGTGCACAAGTTTCTAGTATGCAAAAGCGCCTACATTTTAAATGTAAGCAATATGATAACCAGCAAAAGTATTATTATCTATACTTCTACATTACATTATACCTAAAGAGGAACGATTTGTTTGTTTGTGATAAATAAACTCAAACTACTTAACTGATTAAAAAAATTGCAAATTCTATTTATCCGCGCAGTTACTTATATCGTCATAGTCGTAGAATACTGACGTATCTTTATATGTAACATTTGTCAGATCTGTCAGTATTCTACGACTATGACGATATAATTAAAACAGCTAAATATACAGAATAAATTCATCAAGTAGGTATAATCTTTTTCAATAGTACTCAATGAAAATATAATCAACGAATAATTGACTCAGGCATGAGACAGCTTGGTGATGTCCTATAACTAAATACAAAAATGGTTAAATGTTGCTATTTGTTAATAATTTTACTAAGAGCTGCGTTTTTATATTTATATCAGCCGTTATTTGTCCACGGCTGAGAACTGCATAGGCCTCCCCCATAAACTGGTATAAGGAATAGCGCTGTTATGTAATGAAATGGTCATCCAGCCTACGCTAATGGTGTACGCTGGCGGGGCACCAGTGAGGGATGATAGGTGACGATGAAAGCATGTCAGTTAGCCCATCGTGACGAATTGCACTAGAATTAACCACGATGGTTTCCAGGGGGAGCCACGTGGAGGTCGACCTGATGGGGAGTAGCAATACACTATACGTTAGCAACGGAGTTTGACAACCGCATTGCTAGCAATATGCCCTATTAGGTCGACCTCCACGTGGTTCCCCCTGGAAACCATCCTGAACAATTATTGTTGAATTCGTCACGATGGGCTAACTGACCTACTTCATCCTCACCTATCATCCTTCACTGGTGCCCCGCCGGTGTATACCGATAGCGTGGGTGGGGTTACCATTCCATTATTATCCATTAAAAAAAATATACTATATGCAATAGCAATGGGGCAGTTAGACCCCATTACTAACAATCCCTTTTTTCCGCGATTGGGGGGATTTGCCAATAGTTAGCACGCAGGTTTTTTTAATGGGTGATAAAGGAATGGTAACCCGCGCTATCGGTATACAGCGGCAGAGCACCAGTGAAGGATAATAGTTGAGTATGAAACGTATCAGTCCCATCGTGACGAATTCAAGAAGAATTGTTCACGATGGTTTCACGTGGATGGATTCACGTGGTTCAGGAGAAACCACATGGAGGTCGACCTAATAGGGCTTATTGCTAGCAATGTTAAACTCCATTGTTAACAATCCCTTTTCCCCTTTGATACGCAGGTATAACTACAGTTTGGTTTTTGGTGATGTTTAAAGAGATGGATCATTAAATTCCCTTAGTTGTTTTTTACGACACTCACGAAAAAGGAAGGCTCATTCTATCGGCCATCGGGACCAAATGGTAACAATAATAATACCTTTTAATAAAAAAATGGTAATTTTTTCATTAAATAAAAAAAAAGTTATTTTTTTTTTATTAAATTCTATTGAAACAAAACATAAGCCTTTCCTAGAAGGGGACTTAAAAGTCATCTTTGAGTAGCTTTGTCCCACTCGTATTTCTCCTGAATCAGCACTGCTTGCATGGTTGTATTTCGGTTTGAACGCTATATCCCACACAGCAGTGAAATTACAGGCTTTCGGGAATGGCAGCGTGTGTTTAATACCTTGATCATCATAATTTATTTACGTCGATTAACATTTTCCATCAGATGTGTCGTAAGCTTATTTACCATTTTAAATTGCATAAAAAATTGGTTTAAAAGGTATCAACATCTGTTATGACTTGTCAGCGAGAATAATTTCAAATGTATACTAGTAAATGTATATATAGATATATATATAAAAAAAAAAAATTGTGTTACAAAAAAAGTCAACTTCAGTTGTGGCAAAAGCAGTTATTTTGATTTAAAACTAAAATACTGAACCGATTTTGATAAAATCTATGGAGGCGATCTGTAAGTTTAACTTTTTAGATAAAATAATAATTTTGCAAATTGGTTTACAACTGACGGAGTTAGAAGGTAACAAACGTAAAAAATAACAGTAAATTTATATTGTACAGACTGACTGTCGACAAAAAAAAAATATTACAAATACTTATACCAGACAGAGCACTTTAATAGCAGGTAAAAAAATAACTATAGAAAAATAATATATTTACTTTATAAAAGTTGACTTTGACAGGTAAATACAAGATATTTACATATTTACATTGATTTTATTATATACACTAATCGTAATCGATATAAACAATAGACAATTATTTATTTGTTGCTTATGTAAATTATCTTACGTATAGAACTTAAATATTTCATAATAAAAAATTTACCTTTTAACATTAAGCACTTTAAATAAAGATCTTTTGACAAACTTATGAACTACTTCATATAGTAATATGCAATATTAACATTATAATAAGTACTAAGCATAATAATATTATTTCATTTGCTTCAGATAAGGCACGGTTATCACAATAGCATAAATTCCAAGTACAATATATTTAAGTAATACTACGAGGTAGTTAATGTAATAAAGACAATAATATTATAAAATAAGAATTGGTATTCATAAAATCATCTTTACAAATAATTGCTACTTTTAAATTTTATATTAATTGGCAAGTATTTTGTGGTAAAGATATGTATAGACTCTTCCAATAGAATTAATGAAAATATAACCAAATGTTGAAATTAACCATTCATCCAGAAATATTCTCCAAATGAAAACAATAACGAATTGAAACATGTTATTGCTTAATTGATTTTTTATTTATATTACTGGACATCAAAATACTGTCAATGGTCGTAGCTAACTATTCATTTGTTTACATTTTCATTTAGTCTATTCCAACAGGATATAGGTACTAGTGGTACATAAAAGAAGGACGTAACAATTTTTAAAACACAAAATTTTGAAAGCACAATTTCTTAACTTATCTAGAGCGATTAACATATTGCAGATTAAATTTGGTCCCTCGTCTTCTTTTAATACTTCAAAATAATTAGCTGTCCTTATTTATCAGCCTTATTTCTATTAAATCAATGAAAAAGGTCAACCTTCGCCAAGTAGAGCGCTGATCGTGAAACTCTTGATACGTCGGCAAGGCGCCGGAGCAGCGGAGGGTGGGGAAGGTGCACGGGGTGGTGGTGGTAAAGACGGTCCCCATGCGAACCCATTATGTACAGAAGTGTTTGGCCAAAGACCTAAAGGCATCGGCATATGAAGAGGACTCAAGTATTGCAATTCAGGGGGATACAATGGAACAGGAGGAGGGGTAATATTTTCAGGAGAAGCGACCAATGGTGCAGGAGACTCAACGAGTGGCGGTGATCTCGGCGATGACGATCTTAAACTTCCTTCTTCGGAGCAAGAAGACGCTGCGTCGGAACACGGACGCTTAGCTTCACTTGATTCTGTACATGTTTGCTCTGTGCTGTCGTTCCCTGGTTCTACACTCTTTCTTTTACATTTAGACTGACCACAAGCACGGAAACCTTTGGCGAAGGGATTGTTGTCAATCTTCAATTTGGTGATACGATCATTCTGTGAACAAAAAATGAAATCGTTGTATTTTTATTGGCTGTACAGCTTTAAACGGTTCGTAACTACGGATATGTTCTTATCTCATTTCGAGAATGCAATTTAAACATCCGCTTCCGCATACAACCCCGCTGCTAATAGGTTGTAAGGCATAATTGTCGCACATGTGCTGTAGCACGGCTTGGCGACAGGCCAATTAGCACGGCATGCAAGCATGTCGCCGTCGCACGTCGCTCGTCGCCCGCCTCTACTGCGAACTGCGACAAAACGACGGCGCCAGCGCAGCCACTGCACACATCGTGCTTAGCACATACCGTAAAGCGAAACACGATACTGGAACCACCCACCCCTTGTATTTTCTTAAGTGACGGTGACGTTTTTGGGCAGGTCAATTTAATAATTTGTAATTAATGTTTAGAGCTCCTTACGGATTACCTTTTCTTGCATTTGCTCTTCTAACTTTCAAATCGTTATCTAGCAAAATTTCTGACCACAAATAGTCTCGTCTTGATATGCGAAGTCGCTTGTAAATTATTGTTTACATGACATGATAAGGCGGCGCCGGCGGGTACCGTTTGCTCAACGTACCACCAGATAACCGAAATGCTTACTGAGATAGCAAGGAGTGCTAAAAGCTTGTTGTTACGTGGTTGAAATTCACTTTTTAAGTTGGTCGGTTAAGGCAAGAAGGGTGCTTGAGAATTGTCGGGCGCCGCCCCTGGTCCGCCCTGTCGACCGTGACGTCACGCCAAAAACTTGCATCCTATTACTTTTTACGTGACTGTTCCACATATTGGCGACTGTCGCCAGTTTTTTTTAGTACTGTATAATTAGGGTCTGGGCAAATTTGCTCTATTTATCTAGTGCTGACTTAAATTATTGGGTAGAGGTTTACAAACAACGATGACAGGATAACGGATGACGGTTTTCGTGATTGAATTTCGTAGTCTTTTGTGGGTGAATCTATTATATGTATGTTTGTAATTGAAGCATCGTGCCACCTAGTTACGCTCTAGTATAACGTGTCGGTGTTTATGAAAGAGATTTTCTAATTCGTTGATAATTCATAACAATTGGTTAGTCGGCAAGCGATCGTCTACCCGAGTATAATGTGCAATGATATGCCGCTGGCCATTGTCCGATGTTTAGTCCCGTTAGCCGGACAATTCCCGGATAATCCCTCAAAGCTGCCGAATATTGTCATTGTAAATGGACGCCACAGTAAATTCGCGCCTCGTTGCAGTCAACTTCAAAAACGCTGCAGGAGCAAAGAGACCGACTATGGTCTAATTACGAAGGGATGGATTATGCAAGAAAACTGTACGCTGCGTTGAGCAACAATGAGATAAAGTTAAAGTTTTGGTGTCGGTAAACAAACAGCAGGGGGCTCTATTTAAGAGGTACCTATAAATTTAATAATTAAATAAATTTATACGGAATTATAGATACCTTAATGTTTGGAAACCAAGCTGAAAAAGCAACATGCTCTGTCCAACTCATACAGGGACATTCACTGATCAAAATATAGATAAAGTAAAAGTTGCACAAAGGATTTTTCGGTTGTAAATAATGTACTAAATGTTGTAATTTGATCTACAACTAACATCGAATACGCTGGTGACCTAACGACGAAGTAAAATGGACATGGGCAAGATGGATGGACTTTGAACTAACGCTGTATCGAAGATACTGCGAATAGTAGAGAGTCAGTGAATTATGTTAGCAAGCGACTGTAATAAGTAGTAAAACAACGAGAAAACTTACGACCCATAATGCGTGGATGTGGGCTGATTAGATAGATTTCTTATTTTATCTAACCTCAATTATAATAATTAGGTTCATTACACTATTATCACAAACGAATTTATATACCTACTTATCCATTCATTTAAGTAAAATAAAATTAATGATCAATTCAATTACCAGAGGCAGACTTTGTACAAAAGTCAATTGCTTGGGTACCTCTGTCCCATTCGTGTTTCTACCGTAAAGCAGTTGTGTTTGTATGGCTGTGTTTCGGTTTGAAGGGTGGGATATGGCGTGAATTTATAGGGTACAGAGGACTAACATCTGAGTCCTCAGGAATGGCAACGCGTGGGGGGTATCATGGGCGAAAAAGGATATTCTCTTATGTCCATGGTACTGCTCATGTCTATAGCTGACGGTTACCACTTTCCAACAGGTGAGCCGTCAGCTTGTTTGCCATTCTGAGTTGTATATAAAAAAAACAATGAATGTAGTCTTAGAAATACTACTTACAGATAAATTGTTAGCATTTCTGTACAAAACGGTAAGCCAATTACCGTTGTTCAAATTTATGAATTCTCGCACTTTGCAGCAATGTTAAGGTTTCGAACAATGCGGGGCTATGTAGGTAAATGGACGCAAACCTCGAAATTAGTTGCCTTTGTTTTGTTAAGAGTCCTAATACAATGCCCACTTGAGCTGACGGTGCCGCCGACGGCCCGGGCGCAATCTCTGTCGGGTTTTTTCTTACCAGTGAGTAACTGGCCTGCATCGTATACTTTCATAAAAGCTTTGGCGCCTCGGTCGAGCGAATGAAAAAATCGGACGCATCGATACAAGTGCGAAATCACCGTATGTTCCCGGAATCGTAGTACATTTTCTTGGAAGCATGTTAATGTGATTTTATCTTTGATAGGGGTTCCGTATCACTGGGCTTTACCGTCAACATCAACCTATGATACTGTATAATGATTAATGTTTGCATATTTTTTATTTTTACAAGCAGTGAATCCATCGTTCTATCCAATTAATGTATCTACAATCCATACATAGGTACTTTAAATAATAATATACCATATTTGAATATGATAAGTACAAAAATTGATAAAGTAATTATAACCTGACCTTACCTAACTAAATAAAAAGTTATCAAATTAGAAGTCTTTCAAAAAAAATTATTATAATAATTTTTAAAAAGCTAGTGCCTATATATTTTAATTTGTGATCTCTTAACCTCTTATTAAATAATAATACTTCTTCTAATAATAAAACTTCTTTAAATGATTGAAACAGGCACTTAAAAATAAAATTCTAAACTTTAATTTATAATACTGAATACGGAATAGTGCAAATAGTTTTGTTTTAATAAAATACAGATCATGTTACTGGCTGATAATATAGCTTTATATAGTTTCATTACAAACAAAAAAAATCTATCCTATTTATTATTATATTCGTTTAATTCTGAATAAATACGGCACTGAAGCGCTCAAGAAAAGCGTATATTTCTTCACATACTTGTAATTTTTCTAATCTTATGTGTGTCTTATCTATGGACAGCAGTAATCACACAGGTAAGCCGCATGCTCATTTGCACAATATATATTATAAAAAGAAATTTTTACACCTGTAATTTAATGTAAAACTTTTACAGCTTTGAAGAATTTTGTTGACACACCAATACGAATAAAGAGTTACAAAGTGAAATGAAGATGTACAAACCTGGTAAGCAGTGACGGCTATGAATTCCGTCTCCGGGAATGAGAAGGAGGCATGAGGCGCGCCCCAGGCCAGCGCGGCTGCGTCTCTTGCTCGTACTACTAAAACTCTTGGTCTGTATTTGTGCATTGATGTAAGAACCATCTGTAACAATGAATGCTTTATATAGTTTTTATATGGCTATACCATTCCATCATCATCATATCAGCCTTTAATAAGCCATGGCTGAACAGGCCTCTCCAATAAGGAAGTTTTGCTAGTAGTTGCCACGCTTGTCAGTCAAGTTGGCAATCGCAGTTAGGCTTTTGGTTATATTTTAAGAAGGATACAAATGCCAATCCCTCGACTATTAAGTTCCCTTAGTTGCCTCGTACGACACCCTCAGGAAAAAAAGGGGTAGTCCATTCTATGCCGGGCCCACACGGCAATAATTGGAGACTAGCGGCCTTATTTCTAGCAATATACTTTATAAGGTCGACTTCCACGTGGTTTGTACTAGAAACCATCTTGTTTAATAATAATTAATAGTGCTTAATAATAATTCCACAATAGTGGAAGTTATCACAATGGGCTAACTGATCTATTTATCCTCACCTATTACCAGTGTCCCGCTAACGTATACCAGTAACATAGGCGGGGTTATCATTCCATTTATCATCCATTAAAAGAATATACTTATATACACATTTCATATGTTTTATATATATTAGGTACGTAATATCTTGGAAAATTTTGTACCTATTTTGATAAATCTTGTAATGCAATTCTTTTCTGTTATTGCTTCATGTTTGTCACGATTTGGATAATTGCTTTTTACACAGTAAAATCTTTACTAGTTGTATAAAATGTCTAGAGTAAACTTAAACACACTTATTCGAATAATGGCGCCATATCAATTAATATTGACATTATGAATAATTTAATTAATATATAAAATAATTATATATATTGTATAGTATTGTAAAATCTTTATTGTACATAATTCACACTGAATACATTATAAGATTTAATATACTCGTACAATAGCGGATTTATCCCATAAAGATGATCTCTTACAATCAACCTTTGAGAAGCTGAAAGAAAACTGTAGAATGTACAAGGGAAATAACCGTACAGCTAAAGATAAACTAAATAAACCCAGTAAAAAAATAAATATATAATACAATAAAATAAAGTATATTGTAATTGTGACCATTTGGGAATTTATTATTTTTGATTGTTGTATTTAATTCTGTTCTAAACTTTAATGACGACTTCATTGTATAACTGTAAAATAATTAAAATTAAGTATGTAATTGTATTGTATGCCCGATGTATGGGTGTAAATTTCCTTAATGACGTTGATAACATTTTGCAAATATTTATAATATACAGGTCACAATTATTCTATTGTATTCTAATATTATCTAATATCCTATAAAAAATACGTAGAACAATCCGCACAACGTACTCACTAACTAAAATGGTAGATCGCATAGGGTTTCACTTTATGTCTTCTAAAGTTGGCCACCCCTGACCTAAATGTTAGCAATGTTTTAAAGTTACTTTACACTTGGGTAGAGTGTGCAGATTGGCGACAGGAGTGTCGCGTCAGTTAGTCGCCGAAGCGGTTTGTCTGTGTTTACAAGCTTATCTGGGGTACTTGACGTGCAATACACCTACCTGCGTAGGCGTTGCTACCAGCATCATATATTAAATGAAGATTTTTTTTTATTTGTATAGATAACTAAGTTATTTATTTTGTAAAATAATATAAATAAAAATATTTATAAATTAACAAAGTATTCACTATTTCGTAGAAAGTATATACAATAATTGAAGTGAAATAAGTATAATACGACAGCACTTATATTTTTATAGTCTGAAATCTTTTAAGAAAATAATATCTTATTAATTAATTAAAATTAATAAGAAAGTGTTGTATTGAAAATTAATTTAAATTAAATATTTTTAATTAATTTTCAATACAACACTGAAGTTGTAGTTTTATTACCACATTTTAATCTCTCTGCTGTATAAATAGGTGCTAAAGCGATATTATGCTAACACGACATGCTTTCACTGGTGATAAAAATATTATTTTAATGGTTAGAAATTAGTAGTATAAATTAATATGACTAATTTATAAGTATATCAAGCTATCGCTAAAGTTCAATAGATTTATAATTAGTAAACATAAAGTATAGCATTGGAACTTGTTAAATAGGCGTATACGGACAAGTGATGTGGCAAGTCGTTTGTAGCACACTGGTTTATTACCGACAAGTAAAACATATATATATATATATATATATATATATATATATATATATATATATATATATATATATATATATATATATTTATATATATATATATATATATATATATATATATATATATATATATATATATATATATGTATATATATATACGCCTATATGTCTAGACGCTCTGCATTAATCAGGATAGTTGCACACAGAATTGGATTATCGACGGGGACGTATAACGACGATCCTTGTAAGTGCACACTTGCAAGTGGCACTTTATAATGGGTTACAGGCGCCACTGTAGCACTGATAAAGGTTACAGTTTCTGCTACATTTTTTCAACCGGTTTCAAAACTTCAAAAAGTTGGAGGTTTCAATTCAGTTGTATTTTTTTTTATGTTTCGTTACCTTATAACTCCATCAGTGGTAAACAGACTTGAAAAATTCTTTTTTTTTTATCTGAAAGGATATACTTACAGATCGATTCCATAGAAATTGTATTCATTTCAGTGCAGTAGATTAGTTTTGAAAAAAAAGATAACTGGTATTGCCGTAATTGAAGTCGATTTTTCTTGTGGAATACGATATGAAATTATTTTTATATATATTCTTTATTGCACCTCAAACAAAAGATACAGCGATTAGTTCAACAACTTGTCAGCAAGATCTTATCTCTAAAAGAGATCTCTTCCAGCCAACCCAATGCAATGTTAGAGAGAAAATAATTATTGTCAAATATAAAAATAACTTTAACAATCTTTACTTTTTTGTGGAACTCCATCTTAATTTATCATCAATACGAAATACAATAGCGGTAACACGATGGTGGTAGATGTGATAAGAATGAAAGACTATTGAAAATCATAAAAGAGTGAAAGTTTCCTCGAAATAGCATCAAAGGTTTGCGATTTTACAAATATTTATTTACTTTTTAAAGTTTGGACCACCCAGTTTTTTTGTCAGAAAAATTTATTGTTTGTAACTTTTAATTAGGGTTACTTTTAAATGTTTAAATTTATATTTTATTTATGAATCAGCTTTTTGCCCGCTGCATCATACGCGTGGATTTTAGGAGTAGGAAAAACAACGAAATAGACTACTTCTAGAAGGCGTAAAAATATAACAGACTTTAAATCAAACCTTCATGAATTTAGCTATGAAAATTACATTCAATTTGGTATTTTGAATTATACCGAAACCAATATACAAACAAACATAATTTTTAAAAATTATTGTTTTAGCTTCTATTGCCCTAATTAAGATCTCACATATATTTTTTTTAATATCTTCTTTGTAGAGATATTGTTTAGTTATTATATTATTAAGAAGTAAGATTATTTTTATAGGACTTTTTTGGAGATAAATATTATGAGACGAACTCGGAAGTAAACCCTAAAAAAAATCATAAAAATCGATGTACAAAAATATTAAAGTCCGACCAAACTTCATAATTAGACTTATTTATTATTATGTTGTAGGTATCTATTTTTTGTTATGTTGTACCTTATAAAGATCCCGACAGATATATATAGATGGGAGATGTATTGAATACGGTAGAACTATGTAGAAAGTAAGTTCATAAGGTTAACAATCAAAATAATTTTAATCAGCCACTAATCAGACATTTATATCATAATAAAATTGAGTTTCTAAATGCGTCAGGTTAACAGACAGACAGATTGACATGCCGGCAGTGTTCAGAAGCTGTTCAATCAACATGATATGTCTTCAATCAAATTTGATTGAAGTATAGATTAGAAAAGGGTAGATCGGATGTTTTTGCGTAACATTGTATATTTGTTTAAAGGCATGTGAGTAAACAATTATTGTATTTTTATGAGAATAAAGTGAACAGATCAAATTTATCCAATTAGTAATAAGTAGGATAAAAATGAGAAGAAAGAATTGTTAGATTTTAATGGTATTTTCAAATAAGGATATTTTTTCTTTTATTTGCGTATGGGGTCGGCCAAGCAGTTGCACATCGATCTTTTGTATTTTCAACTGCTTTATATAATACTATCATTTTATAGATCCTATGTGAAATCTTTGTGATGCGGTTTAAGATATCTACAGTCTCCTAGCTCTGGATAAGCTGTTCTCAGTAGACACATACGCATACTTGCCATGATATTACAGTTGCACATTAGGTGTTCCATGAATTCCGATTTCTCTCTGCACAATCTATACAGTGTGCCCGAATATAGATCCATCTTGTATAATATATGCCTTGCATACGTGTACTTAGGATATCGATTATGAGTACTATCTGTTGTCTGTCACCACTGTAGATGAGTTCATCCCATCTCTCAGCCTTGCCGATTAAGAACTTTTTAGAATGCCTGAGACCCTTCAATTTTCTTCATTTCTTCTGTTGTTTTATTTTCGCATACTCCTCAAGAGCTTAGTTTACATTTGATATAAGTGCGACGTATGGTTCAGGTATAAATGTGAAAGTGAGTTTGTTTGTTATAAACTGTTACACAAATACATTAATTATCGCCTCACCAAATTTACCGGAAAATGTAAGTTACTACATTTTTTTTTTCTATCCTAATTATAATCTAAGGCAATCACAATAGCGTGACAAAGATGCGCCTGATAAAGGGATTGGGGTTGTTTCGGGGCGACGGACATGCAAGGTACCGAACCCCAAACCAGTAAATGTCTACCGCGTTCTCAGATCCCACCGATAAGCTTAATGTGTTGTTAAAGTTTAACTTACATTTGTTTTTCGCCTTAAAAACATTGGTAACAAAATGCATCCTTTTATACGCTCTATTTTTTTTCTCTATAATTAACTACCTTTTTTTCACTATTTATTTTATATTGCTACGGTAGCAAATAAGCATACAGCCCGTCTGATGGTAAATGGGGTCACTGTAAACCATGGATGTCTGTAACACCAGGGATGTCACGCACGTGTTGCCGATGACGATTATTTCAATTTTTTTTCGATTAATCTTATTCATGGACCATATTGTTTCTGTTCACTCAGTACGGTGTAGTCATATGTCGTACTAAAATTAAAAAAATATTTGGCATACCGTCCGCCTGACAGTAAGCGGTTACTGTAACTTATATTTTAAAACCTATTCACTATTCAGAGGTAGATAACCTCTTAACGCCCTTTCTGAAAAGCCCATGTTATAGGTAAGTACCTACTCATAATTCTTTTTTATCAACTTTGGTCACTTCACACTAAGAGCAGTAATAAAAGGAAAGTCTATATTCTATTCACCTTATTCATAAAAAAAAAAATTCATTCAACCCTATTGTAACTAGTACCGTCAGTTTCTTACAAATCGGGAATTTAGCACAAAAGAAAAAGACAAAACATTGCAATTCCGAAAATAGGTTTATAATACTTGCCTTTTGTACCGAACATTTTTTGCAATGTGGTCATTAAAGAATAAATAAAATAGATAGATAGATACTCATTATTGTTTCCTCCAAAAGATTACAATAGTAAACTTATTATAAATATAAACAATTACAAGAAATAACCACAATGAGAAAATAATGGGCGACCTTATCGCTAAAAGCGATCTCTTCCAGACAACCCTTGGATGGAGAGGAGTAATTATAAACAATTTGATCGGAGGAACGATGAAATACATTATTGCTAAAATATATAGATGTGATACATGTAATAATGTAAATATTTATCCCTACTTATTATATATACTTATATACTATTATATACATACACACCTACATAATAATATGTTTATAAATAAATTTACTTGATATTGAATTTGGTGAAGGGTTAGTTTGAAAGCTTCACAATGTATATGGGGTGTCTATTAAATTTCATAATTCTGAAGTCATCAATACCTATTATACTCGTATTATACTTTTATTAAAAAAAATATAATTATATTATTAAGTTTCTTAAGATTTTTATATATATTTACTTACCTGATTCTATGTATAAGTTACGGATCATAACATATACCTATATGAGCATATAATAGATAAAGATAAATAAATTGTACTTAGATGTATTTATTAAGTGAAAATATTTAGTTTAACTTCTTGTGATGAGATTGATCATTAAAAACAATTCTTCGAATTGCTTTAAATATGCTTGTAATTAACTAAGCACTTCCACAATTATCGAACAAGGCGTCTCACTTACAAATCGATAAATACATTCCTTAATCTTTTCACTATAATTGCTTTTTATTTGAACGCACACAAATCCGTCTCGTAATTAGTTGGCGTTCTCACAAGAACCTCTCGAGCGTTCTTTAGAGGTGGCGTCAAAAAATCGCGAACAAAAGGGTGAAGCCGACCCTTTTATCGCAGGTGGTAAATCCTCAAGTGCACAACAAGCGAAGCGAGCGATTCTCCCTGAAAAACACCCGCTGACGGTATCTCGGTAGCAGGGTATTGTTAGAGTGAGTGCACAAAGGCACCGCCCGCCGGTTCGCGTCCGCGCATCTTGGTGCTTTAGCGAGGCGCATTCGGCGCGCACTCAAGCGTGCCACCCGACGGAGCAAAAACTCTTCAGTCCCAACCCGTCATAAGACATGTTATGATGTTTTGTTACATGTCTGATAGCCATAAACACGGTCTGTTTTGATAGGTAAACGATGTGTCACGTGTGTTTAAAACAAAGGGTTAACAAATATGTAGTTAAAAATAACCCTCATGCCATTTAAAGAGATAAGGGTATTTTTTTGTATAAATTAAACAAAGTTATGTAGAATTTTACAATAGTTTGTTCTGTAATTCAAAAGGTCATCGCGATATGCACACAGAAATACCGGATGCTGAGGTCGGACGGGCCGGAACTAAAAAACTTTTTAACACTGGTCTGTGTAAACGGAGCTTAATAAATAGTGTTGTATATTTAATAGGTGTTTTTAATGGATACTTTAGTTCATAAATGATTCATTGATTACAGAATCTTAGTTAGCGTCTAGGTAGGCAGGTTTCAAGAATAATAAATAAATGCATTTTTTGTCGATGTAACTTGTACGATATAGGTAGGTACTCAATATTAATTTGAATTGCTCTTGTCAGGTATTTTTTTTTTTCTATTTCAGCCGGTATTCTAGAATAACTACATATCTAAGTAGTTACCTTAGTAAAGAACGACGAGGTTACAAATAGAAATGCACATATTTCATTGTTGGACTATAAAATTTTATTTATAAGCGTAATATAAAGAAAATCTGTGTGAATAACAAATACCAACATGAGCATACCAACGGTCATACATTTCTTCCTACCAACATTAATAAACACTAAGCCGTCACTTTTACGACATTTGTGTATGCTTTTACAATTACCGTAGCAGCATTTCCTTAAACAAGACACTTTAAATAAACTATGTACATAGAACCTTGGAAGGCATACACGTGGTCATATACAGCGTTATTAATCAAGGCGTCAACCGCCTTGTTTAAACACCCGGACAGTATAAAGAAATACAGTTATTCACCGCGCCAAAGCCTCTATTCAAAACTTTTCAATTTATTTGTTCCAGTGACGAAATACTTATAGACGTCTTTGTAGTCTAAAGACTCCTGCGGTGCATATTAAGAAACACAATGTGCGAGCTGATTTAAACTCTATCCGCTAACGTTTAAGTTTGTTTTCCATTCCGAACGCTGTAACAACTATCTTTTTTATGTTAAGAGAATATAGGCCCGCGTGTTGTTATTGAGTATCGATTTCTATAAACATAGTGATAGAGTCTAAAACTGTTTTGTGTTCGCTAACCAATATCAATGGGGAAGTGGTTGCTTGGTAGGCGTTTCCTTTGAAAGTATGTAGGCAGTCTACGGCCTAGTCACGAATGCTACGACTAAAAATCAGAGTGTGCTCACGTTGCGTATATCAGATAGAAGACTGATAGATGTTTGTTAAAAAATATTTTAATAAAGTACTGTAATAAATGCAGTCATGTTAGGACTAGATTTTGACTTTTATTGCGGGTGAATTGAGAAGACGAGGTTGGTAGAGATGTGTAGGTATTTCCGCTGGCTTATAACTGACTCTCAACTAACTATATTGGCAAATAAAAATGATCTTATATACTAAATATAAATATAGGAAATGAAGATAACACTGGTGGGACAACATATCAACCTAGCACTTACGTGCAGTGCTAAATTATCAATTATTATATTTTTAAATGAGCAAACAATTTTCTTACTGCACTGCACGGATAACCATAGACACAACCTCCTTTAACTCTATAATTTTACTAAGTATATCTGGAATAGATAATTATTAAATACCTACCTTTTTAGAAAATTAGCAAACGAATCTATCAATATGTTTTCGTCAGTGTACAGAATAGAAGGAATAAGACGTGGAAAGCCAAGAACTAACGATATGGGCTAGATTAAAGAAAAGCTAGGCGGATTTGGCGTGAATTTACTGGGTACAGAGGAATAACACCTGAGTCCTCAGGAATGGCAACACATGGGGGGGTATCATGGGCGAAACAGTACCTATACTCTGTTATGTCCATGGTACTGCTCAGGTCTATAGGCGACGGTTACCACTTTCCATCAGATGGGCCGTCAGCTTGTTTGCCATTCTAAGTTGTATAAAAAAAAATGTTGCATAGAGTTGTCAAGAATATAGCCTTAAAATTGTTCATCAGCTAATTCTGTATTACCAGAGATAGGTATTACTGGCACGCTTTCGACCCTTTTTTCGTGAAAATTTTAAGTCACAGTATCCAGAAATATCATTTAATCATTATCATTACTACATATTAATTATTCAGTGCATAACTAAGATTTTTTTATACGAGTATCTCATCTCATCTCGAGTATCTCATCATTATGTAGGTATGGTCTTGGGCATTTAGCTCGCATACATCACTTTTGAGTTCATTCTTTCGTGTCTCTTACTACATTTTACATAGAATGAAGACTACTTACATGGCCTTGTGCATCCATGGTGTTGTTCGTCAACTTGAGTTTACTGAATGATACTGGGTTGGCAGTCCAGTGGTGTCCGGGAGCTGGTGAGTCGGGGTGCAGCATCAGCCTCCTTGGTGACTGGGGTTCCGCGCCACCAGCGGCTGCCCACGCTCCCCCGGCCCACCGCCAGCGTCGGCGTCCCACCAGAGACATTTCAAGGAGAACGCAGTACTCTTCACGAGGGTCCAACCCGGCAAGCGAAACCCGGAGTGATGGAAACATGCGTCTGTAACAAACATTTAATATTATGTGGAAATTGTTTGATGATTTAAATTTTTAATCATTTTTATAAATACAATAGTACAGAATTTACCAGACGAAAACTTTATACAAAAGTGTTTGCTTGTGCACCTCTGTCCCATTCGTGTTTCTACCGAGAAGCAATTGTGTTTGCATGGCTGTATTTCGGTTTGAAGGGTTATGGCAGTAAATTTACAGGGTTCAGAGGAATAATACCTGAGTCTTCAGGAATGGCAAGGCATGGGAGGTATCATGGGCGAAATAGTATACTCTCTTAGTCCATGGTACTTCTCAGGTTATAGGTAATATAGGTCAGGTACTATAGGTGACGGTTACCATTTTCCATCAGATGGGCCGTCAGCTTACTTGCTAAGTTTCATAAAAACATAGTAGGTATAGAATGCTTTATGAATTTTAATAGATAATAATGGAATGGTAACCTCGTTTGTGGTAAAGAAATAAGCTAGCGGTTTACCAGTTAATGATATCGATAAGCCAGTCAACCAATTAAGATGAATTCATTAAGAAGTAACTACAATGGTTTCGAATGAAGATCGAGACATTTCTACTTCGTCGGGTTGTTTTTAATATATGCGTTTTATATACAAAATTGCCGTGTGGTCCCAGCGTAGAATGGGCCATCCCTTCTATTTCTTTAGAAGTCGTAAGAGGCGACTAAGGGTTAAATGATGGGCAACAGCGTTCCTCTTAAAACAATACGAAAATCTAACTGCAGTTGCCAATCCGGCTGCCAAGCGTGGCAACTATTGGTGACTTCCCCTTATGGAAGAGGTTTATGTCCAGCATTGGATAGTCAACGTCTAATATAATAATAAAAAGAAAACATTATTATATACATGATTTGTCGTAATTCAGAGGTAGCGGGGGAAACGGCTTCGTTAGTAATGGGGAGGTTAGTTCTCATTGTTATCAACTGCCTGAAAACTATAGCGACTAATTGATCTTTGAATTCGTCACGGTGAGCTATATGACCTGCCTTTTTATTCTCAACTATTATTCCTTACTGATGCCCCGCCAGTATATAGGTAACTATAGCAGAGGCCGGGTTTCTATAATAATCTTTCATAGTCAAAGCAGGTCCGTCTCCAGGTTTGAATTTGGATGTCTCGATAGTCCTTTCCCTCACTGTTATGTCATACACGCCCTGATAAATTATGAAATTTCCGTATTATGATAAAAAAGAATCCTAAAAATCCTAAAAATGGACATTTTGCATATAAACTATTATACATTATTTTATTGATATTATATATTATATTGATACCTATTTGTTATTTCTGTGCGTACTACACGATGTAGATTAAATGAGAAAACCAGTTTAATGCAAGTTTATTGTAGCATCTTCTAATCCAAGTATATAAACGAGTATTTCATGTATAAGTATGTATACTTGTAAAACTCGTATCATATATATTTACTTAATATATAAATATGTATTTGCAAATTAAAGTAAAAATAAAAAAAGAACAGGTCGAATTTATAACTGAATCATTACTATAAAAATAAATACCAAATTTATTGAAGCGCTATTCAATGCAGAAATTTAAATAATTTCAAATTTTGCTCTGCAAAGTATACCATAAATAACAACTGCAATCATGACATAATTTATAATACCTACATGGGATTAAACCGTTTTCTTTTTAATGGCTGATAATGAAGTGGTAACCCCGCCTGCGCTAACGGTATACGCTGGCGGTGTTAGTTAGGGATGATAGGTGAGAACGAAAATGCAAGGCCGTTAGTCCATTGTGATGAATTTACCTGGAATTCAACACGACAGTTTCCAAAGGGGACCACGGGGAAGTCGACCTGACTATTGCTAGCAAAACGTTGAGTAAACGTTTATTCTTGTTTTAGTAGCGATGACAATTATACTCATCATCATTATATCAGCCTTTAATTGACCACTGCTGAACAAAAGCCTCCCTCTTAAGAGGTTTTGCCAGCAGTTGCCATGTTCGGCAGGCGGATTGGCAACCGCAGTTGGGCTTTGAAGATGTTTTAAAAGGTACGCTGCTGCCCATCCCTCACCCTCCCTTAGTCGCATCTTACGACACTCATAGGAAAGGAAGGGGTGGTTTATTCTATGCCGAAACCACACGGCAATTACACTAATACTTATAAATTAATTTAGAATAAAAAAAAATACTACCAGGCAAATTGAGTACCTCATATCCATTAACTACAAAAAAGACTCGAGAATAGAAACAAAGAAGGTGATAATAAAGTTACGGCACCGAAACGCGAGTGCATTAAACAATGGCCATCGAAGGATCCTTGCATTTATCGTTGTTATAAAAGACCGTGATAGGAGTAAAAGTGTCGACCAACGAGGGGCTTTTGGCACCCGTTTGTTCGGTCATAAAGCGACAGCGTGTCATAAAGACAGATACATGTGGCGCCGCTGTTTATCTCAGTGGCCGCCGGAGTGGATGCATACCTACTACATAATTCGTCAATCATTCCAATAAATAACTAAGACCTTTCGAATGTCATTTGAGGGGGTACTCATTGCAAAAACGGATGTATACATTTTGCATAATTTTTACTTTCAATATTGGTTTATTTTATTATAAACAGAGTTATTCTATTTGTTTATTAACTAGCTTTTACCCGCGACTTCGTCTTACCGGGATAAAAAGTAACCTATAAAATTTACCATCTCATAAAGTACGAGTACACCTACGTGTAAACTAAATTTCATAGTAATCGATTAAGTCATTAAAGATCTATAAGGAAACAAACAAATAAACTAACTTTCACATTAATAATATTAGTAGTGATTATTTTATGATGATTTAACAAAAATAGTTTGTAAGGAAAGGTCTTAAACAAATTAACGTTTAAAATTTTTTTTAAAAAATGTTTTATTAACTTCTGAGCATTATTATTGACAATGTTGCTGTGGTTTTTAATAGTATATGTTTGTTTAATTTTGTTTATATTTGTTTAATTTTAGTATTGTCTAATTTTGTGTTTCGTTTACTTGTATTTTATTTTGTGCAAATTCTAGTGGCTACCAAATTACTATTTAAGTATTTAATTATGTATTATTTTAGCTGTTTGTTTGCCTTAAATAAATAAATAAATAAATTTATAATGCAGCCTAAGTAAAGCTTCATACAAAAAGGCTTTACTTAGCAACACTACAGATAATATGTATGTACTTATGACGCACATATGAAGTCCATTAACTGGGTACTAAATTGCGAACCTAATGTGAGCAAACCGTATAATCAGTATTACATTTAATATTTTTTTCCTCTACTTCACTTCTTGCTTTCGTTTGTGCACTGGTTCCAGTTAGAGATTTAGATGTCTACAATTTAAGCGTTTGAACAAAAAATGCTACGGTACGTATATATAGTTTTAGAACAACGATCGAACTTGATAGTCAAAGATTAAGCCAAGTCGTCACAGTCAAATATTAAAGTACTTATTTAAAGGTGTTTTTTAATAGATGATAAGGGAATGGTAATATAAGTACTCTCAGACATAACTTTGTGAAACTTCGTTCGCATTCTGAGGTGGGCACGGCCCAAACCTGAAATATGTCTATGGCGTTTCTAGGTCTATATCATTAAACAAAAAAGCCTTGACGTGTTTTCATATAAAACACTAATTTATTTATCTATAGTTATATAAATTTTTAGTCTAATTTTTTTCAAATAATTTATTTCAGTGTTGTAAATACTTACATAAAGTAGGTACTTATAGTAAGACATATTTAATTTATAATAACATGACATTGTCATTATTAGTTTTGATCCGCGACTTCGTTCATGCTAATAAACAAGCTTACTTTTATAATATTCGTAAGGGTGCATGTACTTACTTATGAGTATATATTGTAATTTTATTCATAGAACATTGGAAGCATAGCATGTTGAACAAGAACCAGTCGGGTCACATCAGTCATAACAGCGTTATCAGCGGGCTGTGAGCGGCACGGCGGCGGTGGCCTGTGGTCGCTAATGCAACCTCCAGATAGCGGCCGGAGAGCCTCCCAACCAGTGCCGACACAAGTTCAATTAACAACAAACTAAATTAGCCCCCATTTAAAGTTTACGATGCCGGCTACTGCCTTACGTGGCCGCTGGTACGGACAGAAACATAGCCCGTGAGAATTACTTGTACTTGTCGATATAAATTATTCTATGAATCAGGTTAAATCAATATAAATATGGCAGTCAAAGATTGATAGCTAATAAGGAACTTCTGATAGCAATAGTGGTGGTCAATCTTCGAATGTTTGCAGTCATACACATACAAATGATAGCGGAATTAAACAATCACAAACATGTCTTCCGCAAGATAACACCTAGTTCAGTAAAAAAATATCAAACTAAAATATTAGGTTAAAGGATAAGTTTAGGGAAATAGTACCTCAGAGTCAGCTCCATTGTCACCTTTTGAAGATGTATAATATTATAACAGAGAAACTAAAGATTTTTCCCAAAAACACATAAGTTGAAAAATGTCAAACTTTTTTTTATTAAAATTTATTAAATCTACATCGAATTCGATACATATTAAGTCAAATACTTGTAATATACTAAATAGGCAAATAGCTTAAAATTAAATAAATCTGCCTCTCAAGGATTCACAGAACGCACTATTGACGTATGACATCTTTATGTAAATAAACATATTTGAATTGTGAAATAAAATTAGATAAACGTTATAAAACATCATATTATTGGGTATACACGTTTTTGACATATACTGTCGTGAAAGGACATCCTGCTTCTGATTATCAGTCATCGATAACCAAAGCGTTATGTACAGAACAGCTCCCTGACAAGCTGTTTAGGCAGCGATATGTTTACATTTCCAGGAAACATAACAAGTTTACGTATAACACAAATATGTATTTTCAATAGTGCGCGAGTATCGCCTCTCTTGTTAACCATACATTGACAAATCCGTCCACTCAGCTACCGTTCGGGCGAGATGGCTCTT